TAGAAGATGCCTTTTCCTTCTAGGTTGTCCCTCTATAGTTCAAACTATCTTTTCTAGTTCTCTCTTATTAGGATTGGAATCCTAATATAGGTCTAACTGTCCTTCTCTTCCTCYATTTTAGTRTGTAAATAGCTTAGTCCTRCTAAGGCTTTAGTAGTAAAGTRAAGGGTGTGTGTRTRTTTTAAGGCTTTAGATTYAGAGTCCTCTACTCCTTATAGCTATTAGACAATCCCTTAGTCCTAATAGTTAAATRTTCYAAACCCTTAGGAACTAATCTGTCTTCTATGTTTTCTTCTTRTCTAACCTGCTATTAAAACTCCTAGYAGTRYAAGATAGGGTACTAGAAACTAGTRTCCTTTCTRTRTTAGCTTTAYARGGTAGGAGAAACCTTTACTACTTTAAGGTTAAGGTCTTTTTCCTTCGGCAAACCCGGGCTTATAACCTGTTAAATATTAGTCGGAGGTTCGCGGAATTTTAGAGGTAGAGTACAAGAGTAACTTAATCTTTAACTAGCTTACTGTCTCCGACAGGTAGTACTTAAAAGTAGGAACTAATGTCTTAATTAAGTTGATTATCTAGAGATGTATCTCTATCTCCTAAGAAGAGATTTTACCCTACATAGAGTTATATAACCTTATAGCCACTTAGCTCTCTGTTATATTAGATGTATAGCCATTCTATAACTACACTTTCCAACAAGCAGTATAATAACCGTAATAGGCCTACTAAACTAGTATTTAAGGAATACGAAGGCTCGAGGCTCGCTCGTATCTTCCCGTAAGGAACGAAGAAGACGTATAGGGTGTTCTTAGTCTTTAAGCGGCCTAGCTAAYACGATATAGATAATTCCCTATTATATATAGCCGTAGCGGAAGAGAAGCTCGTTAAGGCTATAGCTAGGCTCTATAAAAAAGCTATCGCTAGTAATAATAAGAAGAAAAAGAAGAAAGCCCGATCGGAGAAGCCGAAGGTAGAGAAACCTGTACGTATTACCTGTATAATATGCATCTAGTTGCTATACTAATTCCTAATAGGCCTCCGACGACAACCTAGATAACATCGATGTTACCGCAACTACGGACGATAGCGACGAAAGCGACGCCTATCTTTTAGCGAACGTTATAGTTTATATACCCTTTCCTCCGTATAATAGTGCACCTACTAACGTACGTATAGGTTAAGCCCGAACTAGTAGTTAAGGAAGAACTAGTAGTTAAGGTAGAACCTACCGACGACCGCTAGAAGAAGGAGTTATTCCTTTAGAGACTAGAGCAATCTCGTATAGAGGTAAGTGGCTATAGTACTACCCTTTCTGCTATATAATAGATAATAATAATATATAGCGTTTCTCGGTCCTAGCTAAGTAGGGCGGAGGTTCTTCGCGGACCCCCCCCCCTCCCTAAGGGGTTAGTTATAAGCGTAGCTGTTCTTAGATTTCCCTTACTTCCGAGCCTAGTAGTGCGCTACTAGCGGATCGTACGCGCAATCGATTAAAGCGCCGTTAAGAGTAGGGTATACGTTAACTATAGATAGCGTTACTATCTAGAATTGTTAGCTAGAGTTTATATAACACTTTTATCCGGTCCTTTAACGGACTTCCCTCTTAGTTAGYATATAATATAGCTTTCGAATTRTACTAGCGTTTGCGATTYACGATATACTTATATCGYACCTTTRCCTTTTATCGTGTAGATTAAGCTATAGCTCTTAGAGGAACATACTAYTATATAATATAYACTAGTTTACGAYATCTCTAYACCTTAGCTTRCGCCTTCTTCTCTCTACGCTTTATATAGGTAAAYAGAAAAGAGATAAGCAATAGGTAYAAGGYAACGCCTTTAGATRAAATTATAAGAGTGTCGATATACTAACGGTAACTAGAACAAATCTTTACGATACTATTATAYAGCCTAGCACTCTTGCTATATCGAAACCTTATGTATAATACGATATAATAGCGTAGGAAACGCTGCAATACTCTAACTCCGGCGCCGAGGTAAAGCTAAGAGTNACTCTTGCTATATCGAAACCTTATGTATAATACGATATAATAGCGTAGGAAACGCTGCAATACTCTAACTCCGGCGCCGAGGTAAAGCTAAGAGTGGTAGTGCATTCTAAAAAGCTATTTATGGGTTGTTGCAGGGAAGTCGCTAAAAGACCACCGTACAGTACCGATCTGTGGGTTGTCCGTCCATCCCTTCGCATTCGATTCCACTGCTGATACCTTTGCCATCTACTTACCTTTAAAGGTATGACATTATTCACACTCGTTGATCTGCTCAGTGATTGTGATGACGACGGTTAGGATCAAGCCGGGGCCGAGACTAGAGTTTCGTAGCTTACACGGTTGGATCCCTTGAATGGAATCAGCACAACTCCAAGGCGGTACAATACTCTGCCTCGCCCATTTCGGTCGTTATCTCCATCATATCCACGTTCAGGATTTCTCGGTCATCGTCCTATGACAGCCGGTGTTCTGGACGATGGCGTTCATCTCCTCGTCACAGGCGGCTCGGGATTCCTGGGCAGCAACATCGTCGTCGACGTGCGACGACGATATCCAAGATGGAAGATCACCGTGCTGGATCAAAACGCCCCATCCCCCGAGACGATGGACCATACGGATGAATTCGTCTCCGCCGACGTTTCCTCAGCTGAAAGCGTGAGCCAGGCTTTCAGCAAAATCGGGGCCATCGACATTGTCCTTCATGCAGCTGGAGTGATCCCAGCAAGAAAGCTTCGCTATAGCACCGACGAACTTCAATGGGAAAGAGTCAAAGCCATCAACTACAGTGGAGCTCAGAACATTGTGTCCGCTATCATGGCGAGCAACTGTCGACGACTCGTATACACCAGCAGCTGCACGGTCGTAGCCGATGATCTCAAACACGATTACCACAATGTAGATGAAACCGTCCAGACTGGTCTCGCAATGCTTCACTATGGCCGATCAAAGATCCTGGCGGAGCAACATGTCCTCTCCCCATCACATCGATCCAAAGGGTTGAAAGCCTGCGCTCTACGCCCCTGCACCATCATCGGCGAAGGCGACACAGCAGTGATAAGCGTGATGCACGATCTGATAGCCAAAGGCGAGACGAACTTTATAGTCGGCGATGGGTATAACATGTGCGACTTCATGTACATCTCAAATGCTGTAGACGCACATATCTTGGCCATTGAGAACCTATTGACGACCGAGACTGCAGCCGGGGAGGTGTTTTTTATCAGTAATGACGAGCCGGTGTACTTCTGGGACTTTTTGGCTTTCCTCTGGGCGCAGTTTGGACATGTCCCACGATGGAAGATCTATATTCCGGCTGCAGTTGCGTATTTCGTCGGCGTTATTCTGGAATGGATTACTTTGCTGACTGGGACAGAGAGTACGCTGGACACTGGAAGCGTACAGGATGGGATCAGAACGCAGTATGCTGATATTAGCAAGGCAAAAGAGGTATTGGGCTATGTGCCTCGCGTGGGTATATCGGAGGGTCTGAGGAGAAGCTGTGAGGTTTGTTTGCACCCTCGATCGATCGATGCTCTCATGTGGTGTTGCTGATTCCCATGTGTCCAGGCCTACAAAAGACATCTAGCTGCTAATGAGAAGCGATGAATGTCTGTCGAAATTTGCAATTAGGATGGTGTGATATGTCCATTGCCGAGACCAGTCCGGCGTCTCAAAGAGACTGAAGGTCGAACATTGAGCACGGCTAGGGCCTGGCAGGGCTGCCAAAATGAATACAACAGATTGCCATGGCCGGAAGGACGTTCATCGCTGTGACACGTGACAGAAAGCATGATGTTGCTTACCATGAAAAGAGGATGTTGTAGACGCACGATCGTTGAAGAAGCTCAAGTAGTGGCACAGCTATCATGTTTCAACATCAACTCTATCAACAAAGGGCTCGCGAGCAAGAGTCATCTACATCTTCTCCACTTAGCTATGCGACACCCAGCTCTACTACCCTTCACATGAATCGAACATATCGTCAGCCACTTTCTACAACACCCTCCCAGCGGTGGAAGCGGTACTCCGATCCTTAGTCTGAGTCTTCTTCAATCCCTTGCCGAGCTGAATCTCGCCTAGCAAGCCCCCAATGTTAGGGACGGCGCCAGGCGGTGGCGCAGCAGGAAGAGCAGGAGCAGGGGGAGCACCATTTCCAGGCATCGGGGGTGGTCCTGGAGGTGGCGGTGGGGCTCCTGAGTTCGGCATCGGTGGTGGAGGAGGAGCTCCGGCGTTTGGCATGGGTGGTGGAGGTGGCGGAGAAGCAATACGGCCTGCCTGCGCAGGCGATGCAGGACCGGCCGAGCTAGGGTTATCCATGGCACTCAAGGGCCTGGGGGGAGCCATGGTTCCGAAAAGAATGCTGGCCAATTGCTTTGCGCTGCCACCTTGAGGCTTGTCATCCTCATCTTCGTCATCGGAGCTGTCAACCACAGACCAGTCATCCTCATCAGGCTTGGGCGTGCCTGTGAAGCGCCCCGGGATAGCAGCAGGTTCGGGAAGAGCTTGTTGCTGCTTTGTAAGGTCTTGCTGTGTAAGGCGATGGAAGGGATTCGTGTCGACCTTCTTCTCGCTGTCTCCCGGAAGCGTTCCAGCTACGGACGCTCCCATAGATTTGAAAAACGGGTTCTTGCTATTTTCAGGCRGGCTGACCACTGAGACAGAGGGACTAGTCGCTTCCGCGCCCTCTGGGAACGAGCCTGGTAGAGGTGGGGCTGCAGGTGGTGGTGGAGCAGGTGGAGATGCAGCAGGCTCTTGGACTGTGGGGAGCTCCATGCTTTGTGTGGGGGTGCTTTCCGCTGGAGTTGTCTTTTCAGGATCGTCATCGTCATCGCTCGATTCATCTTCATCACCCATGCTCTCGAGTTGCAGACGAAGCTGTCGTTCCTTTTCTTTTGCAGCCTCGATTTCAGCTCGTTGAGCGGCAAGTCGGGTTTCTTTCTCATTCGCCTCTTTCTTCGCTGCCTCGCGACGTCGCTTCTCTTCAGCTTTCTTGACCTTGCCAGCTCTGACTTGCTCTTCAAGTGCTTTGAGAGATGCGTTAGCGTCCTCCCGCTGCTGCTGGAGCTCGCGTTCTTGGCGAGCTTCCTCGTCCCTGTATGATAGTCAGTCACAACTTCTGCTTTTCGCAAAGCACGATCATATACGTACTCCATCTCATCGACCTCTCTACCCATGGCGACCTCTTGCTCTTTAATCGCCTGCTCCTTAATTTGTTGCTCGGCTTTCTTAATATCATCGGTCTGCCCGGATTTCCTCGTTGGTGGCGGCGGAGGCTTCGCTTTGCTGGTCAATGGCKATGGTGGAGCGACCGATTCGCCCTCGAGTCTAGCCATMCTCTCTTGCTCTCGCTTCGCATCCTCCTCCTCTGCTAGTCGGAGCTTGTCTTGCCGTTCTTTACGCTCGCGCTCTGCACGTTGGGCAGCAGTTTCACCACCCTTGGCCGGTGCCTTGAGACCGAGTGCGGCAAGACGCTCCGCCATGCGTTGCTCCGCCTGCTGCTTGATAAAAGCCGCGCGTTCTTCCGCAGTCCGATAGCTGGAATATGAGGACCCTCCAGCCGCAGCAGGTTTACTCGCCACAGATGGACTGCCAGCGCGAGGAGCAGGAGATGCAATACGGCCGGTGTTGTCCTGCGCAGCCGCCTTTGGCTTCTCTTCATTCCGCAAACGTGCGGATCTAGAGCTCCGCTGCAGGTCAAAGATGAAATCTTTGACTTCATCTTCCACGCCCAGGCCATCCTCCCACCTTCTTCGCTCATGCTCGTCACTTTTAGTCTCGCCTCCTTCCTTGAGACTCGACTCCAGACCCTTGCTGTACTCTGTCACACTCTCCTCCACATCCCTCACCATCGTTTCGTTGTCCTCTCTCTCCCTAGCAACACGCTTGGTCTCCTCCTCAAGTCGACCCGCAGCTGCGGTCCCATCATCGGACGCTTCGACCTTCTTCCCCGTCAGCGCGGCTGAACGCTGCTGCATCATCGCCCTCGCCCTCGCCTTGAGTCTGTCACTCTCGGTAACAGCACCCCCCGGACCAGTACCAACAACAGCAGCAGCAGAAGAGGGGTGGGCCTTCGCGTCGCGCAGTCTGAAAAGCTCCAATTGGGCATCTGCGATTGCTCGTTCACACCTTCTCACGTGGCTCGCAAGTTCCGGCAAGCGATCCTGCAAACCTCTGAGCTGTCTCTGCAGTGCACGTCTTTCGGCGTCAGAATCCCCAGTCTTGAACGCGGAGCCTGGGTGAGTGTCGATGTCTTCTTGGATTCTGCGAATCCGCCTGAAAAGCTCCTCACTCTCCTTACGATCCTTGCGGTCCAGCGCGTCTTCCTGATCAACTTGTCCTTCGTCTTCAAAATCCATGGCATCTAACAGAACTTGCTTTTCGCGGATAGCCTTTCTCAGCTGGTCGAGACTCATCTCATCAGCAGTAGCGCTGCCAGTGTCGCTCGCGGCAGGAGAAGAGCTCCTGCCATCCTGGCCCATCCTGCGCCTAGCAGAAGAGCGATATCCCACATCGTCATCGTTGTTTTTAAAAACAGTCGCGTCTTTGCGAGAGCTGTCTGCGGGACCATTCCCGCCACGGAATGAGCGAGATTTCATGTAGCTCACACCTGTCCGCTGAGGCTGCAAAAATGCACCCGTCGACTTCCTCTCCTGGGCGTCTTTGCTAAGCAGGCTCTTCATCGTGCCAATGCTGTCGGTGATGTTACGAGTTGAAGGTGGCACGAGCTCTGCTGGTAATGTGTTTGGAACAGGGTATCCATTCAACTTGCGGTAAATGAGATGCATTGCCACCGCAAACTCGTCCAAGTTCAAACGACCTTTATTGTGGGGGTCGCTGAGCGTCCACACGCGTTCCAAGTCGCCCTTCTCTAGTCCAGATTGGCTGAAGATCTCGATAGCTTGAGTTCCGGTAATGTAGCCCTTGCCAAAGCCATCCCATGCCTTGAACATGTCGTCATATATCTTCTTTTCATCCTTTGTAACGGCCCACGGCACGGTAGCGTTGCCGCGTAGTCCTGTTGCACTGAAACCAGACTCTCTACCCGGCTGTGGCATCATCTGACTTTGTAGCGCTTGAAGATTTGGCAGACCGCTCGCTGGTGCGTTGACTAATCCCCATTGGCCGGGCATGCCTGTTGGCTGCATATTCAGAGGAGCAGCCATGGGCATCCCCGTAGGTTGTGCAGAGAGTCCTTGCTGAAAACCAGTGGGCATTGGTGGCATCGGCGGACGTGGACCCGTGTATCCCTGCGCCTGAGGCATACCTCCACCCGGATATCCCGTCATTTGAGGCTGGAGGCCTTGCTGGAAGCCTTGCTGAATGAATCCTGTCGGCTGCGCCGTAAGCTGGCTGAGCAGTTGCTGATTGTTTGGATTCTGAGCCTGTGGTTGTTGTATCTGCGGCGGCTCACTAAAGTTGGGAGCATTAGAACTCGGGGGCTGCTGAGGCGCGTCATCCGCCACGCCGAACGAGATCATGTCGACCATGCTGGACACCTCGTTCCTCACCTTTTCTGGAAGGGAGGCTGGCAGCGCCTTTCCGGTTAGGCTCAGGTTGCAGAGGTACATGGCGAGCGCAAATTCGGGAAACAGTAGCTGCCCTGACTTTGTAGTGTCCGACAGTGTCCATATCTGCGCCAAACTATTGCCATCGAGCTTGCTCCTGATCAGGAGATCCTTGGCCTTGTCCCCACTCAATGCCTGCTCGCCACCCGTCGCACTCTTGAACAGCTGCTCAAACTTGGCCTGGTCCTGCGCGGTAATGAAGCTAAGACGCACGTTGGGGATCTTGGTGCCCTGCTTCGCGACCGGCGCCGGAGGAGGTGGGATCGCCGTGGCGCCACGGAATGAGTTGGCAATGTCGTTCGAGGTCATTCCCGTCGGTTGCGGTCGCTGGTAGCTCGTCTGTTGCGCATTTTGGGGTGGAGGCTGAGCAGGCTGAGTAGGCTGAGCATATCCCGGCTGTTGCGGGAGATTGTACTGTGGAGGGGGCGCCTGCTGTTGGAAGCCTGTTTGCTGGAAGTTCAATTGTGGGACAGGAGGGGCTTGCTGTTGTGAGAACTGCTGTTGGAAACCCGTTGCCTGTGGCTGCAGTCCAGGATATCCGGTGAATTGTCCTTGTAATGGGGGTGCCGGGGGATATTGTGAGGTTGGTTGACCGTATTGCTGTTGCTGTTGCTGTTGCTGGCCATTATTTGGGCCGCCCAGGTACGAATTGGAGGACGGGAACATGTCGCGCCAAGTGTGATTAAATGGAGATGTTTGAGAGATGGAGAGAGAGATGGAGATACCGGTAGAGACGTGCGTCACTAGCGCGAAACGCGAAACTCAAAACAAACAGCACTAGAACTATAGCAACATAGGAGTAGCCTTAGAACAAATAACTATGCTAGGTTGCATCGACCCCATATCAGCCTGCTGTCTCAAGCAATGTGCCTACCATGAAAGGTTGGTCGCACACACAAACACACACCATTTCAGCTGACTGTTCACAGAGTCCATCGTCTGACAATTCTCATTCGTCTTTGCCAACGTGGCTATCCGTCAATCATTTCCTCTTCATTGTCTCTACTCGCCACGCTCACCATCGCTGGTCTCTCCAAGAAACTCGGATTGCCACTGCGCGCGAGATTTCAGGGCGTGTCTCTGTACATGATCGCGTACAGCATCCGCGAATTCCACTCCATCAGCATGATACTCCAAAGTCGACATCGTACTAACTGGATCGGACACTTCAGCCTGAAACAGCAGTCCGTAGATCGTGTCAAGCACAGTGGTCATGTTGGTGTCTGTAGTCCAGTCGCGTCCGAAAAGAGGGTGGCAGACTCTACCGTGAGCGTTGACATTGGGGTGAATGAGCTTGGTGATGAAGCGGGCTTCAGGGGCAAAGGTTGGGTAGGTAGTTTTCATGTCGAGATAAAGTAAGAATGTGCCGTTGGCATAGGGCGAGTCCGATGGGCCGGCAATCACCACTTTCCAGAAGCACATGTTGTTCTCGCTGACATAAATGTCGTACGCTGGGTGGCTCCGATCGTTAGCCACCAACTGATTGATCTCTTTCATCACTCTAGCAATTCGAAAGGTTGAGCGGGTTCCAGACTGACTGTCGGSAGCAGTCTTTGGGCGATAAATGTTCGCAGACAGCTGCACAAGCTCATCGGCAAGGTTCTCATGCTCTTTGCGGGCTGGGAATCGTTCACTAGTGACGATGGTGTCTCTGGCCACAACTCTCGCATTGAGAAATCTTGTGCGAAATGTGAGACGATCTGTCGCTTCATATCGGGGAACGATGTCTGGGCGCTCAGTGGCTGACAGGAAGGGCTCCATTTCGCAGATTGCAAGAGCATTGGCGAGTGACGATGGATGGAAGCTGTAGCAGCCAAGAAACCAACTTAAAGCCTTCAGGTCAGGATTGTCCTCAGCGCCGATTGAAACCGTGTCGACAGCGACTCCAGCTTGGTGCATCTTCCAGCCAATGTTCTCACAAGTCCTGGTGGTGGAATTTGTGTTGACGCCATCACTGATGACGATGATGCGTTTCTTCGCGGCTGGGTACTTCTTGGCCATCTCCTGCACCTGATCTAGTGACAGCGACAGAGCGTCCCACAGGGCTGTATCGCCACCAGCGGTCATCGCTGAAGTAGCACGCCGGAAGTTTTCCAGAACGTGGGAGATTTCATTGGTGACTTTCGCATCGGAGGCGAATATGACGAGTCCAGCATGTGTCTTGTAGTTGTAGGCAATGAGCCTGTTGATCAAAGCCTCGAACATTTGCTTCAAAACATCCAGTCTCGACAAGATGCCGCGCTCACGTCCTCGCTTCTTGGACCACATACTAGTGACCATGACCTTGAGAACGAGCGGACCATCGGTAGGATGAGTATTGCCGAGCCCAGCCATTCCGCCCCCACCGTCTCGACTAATCTCGTTCTCGTAGTAGAGAGGCTCTGCATAGAGATGACCAGAGCAGTGAGTGCGGTTCAGGTAAGTTGCCAAACGATCGCCGGGGGGAACCGGAGTGCCCACACAAGAGTCGTCTCCAGTCCCTCGTATCCCTGTCCAAACTTGCCGATCTTGATCTAATGGAAGCCCGCCACTGCTGAATTTGAAACGCCAGAACTTGAAAAGGATTGAGTTCATGGATAGGGTACTATCCCGCCGAACCCAATAGCTGAACGAAGCGTGGTCACGACCTCCACGGTCATAGACCTTTATCAAGCACATCTCCCCTGAGGCTCTAGTTGCAGTTCCTCCCTCAGCAGAGATMACCATATCACCGTCATCGGCGAGACGAATGGTGATCTGATCTCGGTGTTTGAGGCCGGCTGTCCGTAATGATGTTGCAGAAAGGCCAAGAACACGGTCGTCCTTGGCGAGCTGGAAGGCCGTGAAACGTGCTTTGAGGCCAGCGAAAACAGCTCTATAGAGTGACGTGACCGTGCTGGCGTTGTCAACTTCGCGCTCGAAAGATCCAAGTCTGCTGTTGAAGACCAGCTTGATGACCCGATTCGAGCGGGTGGAGCTCGAGAGCGTCTCGTTTCCCATTATCCAGGCGGCAACAGAAGCGGACACTGCATCATTCGGGCGCAGCGCAGTATCTTGAAGCTCCAGGCCGGTCATTGGCGACGATTTGCGGATGGAGAACCATTGTGTGATGGCCGATCGAGAATACGTGAAGTTGTCTTTGGCCGTGACAGCATCTTCCATCAAGCCATGCGAAATAGGGCACTGAAGCCAATCATGGACATCTGTGATATGGCTGGGAAGTGCAGGTATAATGCCTGTAGGTGCTCCTGCTGGAATTTCTTGCCCAGCATACCATAACCATCGACCGGCTACATCTGGTGAAGTGGTAGCACGGAAAATAAGAAAGTCGACGAGAGAGGATTCTTGTGTTAGAAGAGCTGCCCAGAGTTCTTTCGCCTTATCGAGAGCGAGCTGTGCTGAAGCTATAGCAAGCCGAGTGCCGAAGGACGTGAGGCCTTGCAGTCWCTCCACCTTTGCATGATTCGCGACGACCTCCAGCGAGATCTCTCTGCGGACGAGTCCGATGACTTCGGCGGCGATTGATCGTCTCCGCGCAGTCGTCGCGTGGAAGACTATAGACAGCATGTCTTCGAAGCTCTCATGCTGGGAAAGAATTTCTTTCGTGTTGTCAAAGGAACTTCGCGTGAAGAAATGACCCTCCACCAAGGTCTCGGCAGTGGGATCGTCTTCATTGAATTGGTTCTCATCGCTGACGTCTGGGAAGTCGGTCGCAAGCTTCATCGAAGCGCTGCAGTCAACAGCAAACATGACGATCTCATCAGGAGCCTGTAAGCGACGGACGGTAGAGCCCCCTAGCATGTCGAACACAGATGTACCGTCTGATTCGTATCGAGACAAGATCGGTGCAATCAATTGCTCGACAACTGTTGCGTCCATGGCCTCATTCCCATGCATTGGTCGGAATATTCCGGACTCGTCACCTGGCTGTGATGATGCTTGTGGGCCGTTGTAGACCGCGAGATGAGCACTGCGATCGAAGGTGAGACAGGGCGCTACTGCGCTTGCCAATTGACTTGGTTTGTGGACCGCGAGACCATTTCTGCCACATACAGCAGCGATGTGATCAAGCTCCGAGAGCTCATGAGGATCGAAAGCAGATGTGATTTGACCTTTATCGGGGTATCGATAATTGTTCGCCAAGATTGATGTCGAAAAGACGGTGATCTCCGCCGCCGTGCCCCCAGACAGAAGTGCCACTCTGGAAAGGTCGGAGGGGCAATCCATGGGGACAAGCTGATCAGGTTGGAGGTGAGATTTCGAAAGCACGCCGTCCTTTTGCAAAGCCTTGTACAGCGCCCGCTCAATGTTGCCARCCTCCGTACACACAAGATGAATGGCAGGCTCCATCGTCTTGAAATCCTGCAGATCAACAACGGACCATGCGTTGAGATATGGCATCTTCTCGACAGCGTTGGTGTCATTTTCGTGGCTGGTGTCAGCCAGTCTGAGTGCGCGGGCCTTTTCGAGAATGAATCCGAAGAGAAGACGACCGCCTTCGAATAGCCTGGAGCCATCGCCGCCAATTATTTCCGTTGGGAGGTAGGTTTTCAAGATCTCGAAAATCGCATGACTGAGGGCCGAACTCTCCATAGGTGTGACTGTCTTACCTTCAACGAGCAAGTGCAGGCATCGTAGGGCAGGCGGAAAGGATGATAGCAGGTCGAAGACGTGGTAGATAGCGTCCTGGTGCTGATCATCCATTTCTTGCACGTTCGAGRCAAAGACACGCAGGGAAGAGAGCAACATGGCAATTCCGCGATCGGTTTGCTTGWCCGAGGGCTCCCAGTGAGAGCGATATCGAAAGATGGCGCTCTTTCCGATGCCTGGCCCTGGACCTTGATTGGACTCATTCGTCACAGCGCGGTTCACGGCGTAGATKTCGATGATTCCATCCACAGCCAGGGAAGCAATACCCGTATCATGCAAGGTAATGTCCCAGCATGCCCGACTGATGGGGCACTCTGAGGTATGAAGATCAAGGAGTCGGCTGTGTGGTTCGCTGCCGTCCTCGTGAGAGACCTTGGCATGTCGAGGAATGTGTCTGGAGTGGGCGCAAATTGAGACTACTGGTGTCTTGATGTAGTTCGTGTCGAATGCGCTTTGCGAGCGCTCAGCTCCGTGCATAGTGACGTGCTTGAGTGTAGAGATGCTGTCGCCAAACTGATGCGTCAAGGCCGCGTTGATATTGACCTCGGTGGCTGCCGACACACTCATGCGATGAACATCGCTTTTGCCAGAGGCGACCAAGAATGATCCTGGCGAAGATGGTCCGTCCGAGAGCTTCTTGGCCAGGGTGCAGTTGCATTCGTTCTGGAAGGTCGTGGCAGTGTGCGAGAGGTTGAGATGCTCGGCGACCTGTTCGTGGAGCTGTCCAATCGTTGATGATGCTGATATTGCGAGCGTCGGGATGTTGTTATTGTCCTTGGCGAGAGCAGCAGTGATGATTCGGACGTTCAGCATGTGGTCTGCACCATGAAGATTTCTCATGGCGCGGGTGGAGGGCTGCTCTGCTGGTTTGAAGACGGCGAAGAGCGCGTCACCGGAGAAGACAACATCGCCGATGACATCCTCGCAGTCGATGATGGCACCAGTCTCGCTGTCGAGGTGAAGGGTGCAGACGTGTGTGTCGGGCGCCAGGGGCACATTTTGACGCGATAAGCGAAGGAAGAGCTCTTCCAGAAAGGCAGCGACCAACGCGGATGGTTCGAAAGGAACGAGCAGCACTTTCGTGGCCGTGGTCATGGAAACGATATGAACAGTGTAGCGCTGCATCTTTGCTCTTTCAGAGAAAGCGACGGGACGGTGGGTGAGAGGCAAGAGGRGATGCGCGTTCTTGTTGTACTGATGGCTTCGCTGAAGCTAAAGTTTGCTGGATGCGGTTTGGTGGAAATCAAGAGTTTAAAAAATGTGTCGAATTTGGATCAAAGGTGCAAACACGGAACGAGGTTTCACTATGAGGAGAAAGAAAGGAATAGAATAATAAGACAATACCTTACTCGCCATGGAGCGTTTGCCGCGTTTGTCCACCCCGTAGAAGTCTTTTGCGCGCTCCGGGCCACTACAAACGAAAGTCCCAGTGTGTTCAACTCCTGAACTTCTCATCTCCGAGCGTCTCTTGTCTCTCGTCTCCTGTTGTTCCAGCGCGGCTTTGTTGTCTCCCACACAGCAGCGACTGCCCTCTATGATACACGCCTGTTTCCACCAATGGCGATGCCTTTTCCGGGTAGCTGCGCATGGCAATGTCCATCCAGCGCTGCGATTTCAGCCTCTTTCTCGTCGCTATCAGCCTGCTCCTGAAAGACCTATTGTGACAGCGCACTTCACTCGCCCGCGTGCCAAATGGCATACATTTAGTCGCGGTCCAAAAGTGGAGTGGTGGTGTTACGTGTAGTCGCAGAAGCACAGACTGCCAAGACTCACTATTCCTCTTCCAGCCGTTTCGCGTTTGGCACCAGAAGGCATAAGGGCATCACGAGTTCATTAATACACAATCGCTATGCTGCATCATCTATTCGTAATCGTCCTCATTCGTCTAGCAAAAGAACTTGTACATCCTCTTCCACTTTGGCCACATCGCCCGCTCGGCCCTCTCCTCCTCAATGAGCTCTGCGATGTTCAGCTCCCTAATCCCAGTGTGAAGATCCATATTGTGACTCCGCACAAAGGGAGTCTTGTAAATGATCTTGTACGGGATGTAGAACAAGAGAACAACAGGCACAGCAAGATAGGCCATGAACCAAGACGAAACCAACTCCTTGGTAGTCATCTCAGCATATCCAATAGGCCACGCTCCAGTCCAGAATTGAGCAATCAAAACGAGGGCGTTGAAGACAAATCCAACGTAGGAGCCAACGAGACCGGGCTGACTGGTGAAAGCAAGCTCATCAAGAGAGTGACCTTGCTTCCTCCAGCCGGACCGGAAACGAATGTGAGCGAGACAGATGCTGCCCCACGTGAAGATGCTTGACAGACCAGATAAGGCCAGCATCCAGTTGAAGGCATCGTCTTTGAAGTCGGATCCAGCAAAGAAAGAGAGCAGACCAATCACCGAGCCAACACCTATAGCGACGATGGGTCGGCCCTTGCGATCGATGTATCCCAGAATCTTGGGAGCCTGGTTCTGGTCGGCCAGAGCGGCGAGGGTTCGGGAACTTCCATAGACAGCAGAGTTACCGACGGACAAGACCGCAATCATAATGACCACGTTAAAGACTGATGGAAGTCCGGTGATACCAGCATTCACAATCGATATGACGAATGGCGAAGCTTTGATATCTGCGCTCGACGTCTTGTTCAACAGTCTTGGCTCATCGTAGGGTACCAGAAGGCCAACGATRGTCAGGGATACGATGTAGAAGAGGGTAATGCGCCAAAAGACCTGCTTCACGGCAGTCGGGAGTGATTTCCTCGGATTGGCAGTCTCGGCAGCAGCAAGACCAACCAGTTCCGTTCCAGCAAAAGCAAAGGCTGCAGTGACAAACACCGAGCACATGCCTTTGAAACCATGGTTGAAGGCGCCCGGTTCAGACCAGTATCTAGTACCGATATACTCTCCATCTGGGCCTCCACCAATGTTGAGGATTATACCTAGAATGCAGTATCCAATTATGGCGACCACTTTGACGATGGAGAAGACAAATTCGGCCTCGCCATATCCTTTCACTCCAAAGAGATTGATCCCAATGATAAGGGAGAGGAAGATGGCGACCCAGGCATTGTTGTTGATGGCACCGTCGGTCCAGTATTCGATGGTGATGGTAGCTGCGACAATTTCGAGAGGGAGAACAACCAGCCATTGCATAGAGTAGCTAGGTGCTGTTAGTAAAAATCACCTCATGGATTGAGCACTTCACTTACTTCCAACCCATGGCAAAGCTGGGAAGAAATGATCAGCGGTGGCGTACGAATCAAGATGACAAATATATCTCACCCCCATGCTGGATCAATAAATCGAGTCGAGTAAGCCGAAAAGGATCCTGCGACCGGATACAGGACTGCCATCTCGCCGAGGGCGTGAACAGTGCAGTACAACATGATTCCAATGAGTCCAAATGCAATTAAAAGAGACGCCGGACCGCCACTTGCAAGAGCACTGCCAGAKCCGACGAACAAACCGGTCCCGATAGAGCCTCCGATAGCAATCATTTGAAGATGTCTGCCCTTCAGGCGACGCTCAAGTGAAGAGTTTCCAACTGCGGAGGAATCGTCCTCCACGTCAAAGACACGGCCGTCTGCCCCGACAATTCCCTTTGGCGTAGCATGCGCGTTAGGATCTCGCTTGAAGCTGTCGACTAGTCGAACACTCCATGGCCGGCTGTGGACAATCGTTTCGCCATACTCTGGTAACTCGGTCGAGCCTTCTGACCGGTAGTCGACCTTGCTCATATTCTTCTCGTAATCTCGCTCCATGGAAAGGTTGTTGGTGATGTGCAGCTGGTGAACGCCAAAGGTCGATGCAAGCCAGACCTGGCGGCAGGCAGGATTTGAAGACGGAGCGAGACAGTGGTGAATCAGCCGTCTCTACATAGACAGCATGCGGTCGCGTCTTGCCTCTGAGGATTTGCAGTGGGATGATCCGAGCACACGAGTCCAGTTCGATTGTCGACTTGGGGCGGGGAACAAGAACCTGGCTGAGCCTGCAGTCTTCGCCCTTTGAGGCCAACGGTGGTCCTGGGACTTCTCTAGTCGCCCTTCACTTGACGAATGGCTATCTGTCCTTGGAGTCTGTTGTTGCACAGATGGCGTCGCTCCGATAGCAATCCATGCAGCTAAGTGGTGCCATGCGGCTGGAATCACTGGTTCGGCAAGGCGACACGTGAGAGATCTGCCAATCAATAGGAAGCCGTCCCGAACCAGAGCAACAGCCGAAAGCACAGACTGTGCCGCACGCCATTTATGACTATCCAATCCAAGGTGCATTCGACAATCGACCTCATCAACAATCTTCTTCCTAGGAGTTGTCAACTTGTGACCCCGATGAAGTTGACTTGACTTTTGGCGCTTCGCCAGAAAACTATGCTCGCGGCACAACTTACCCCACGCAAGGTAGCACATGCGCGAGCAGGGGGCCCCCAATTCGAGCCCCGGGGGCTCGAATTGGGCGTTACACATGTGCCTCTTCTGTACCCACGAGGCTTGCTTCTCTTGCCGAAAAGGACATTTCACAGTTTCGCAATTCGAGGACTGGGGATGGTCGAATCATCCATCATACCGTTAGTGTGTCGACATATCCTTGAGCATCGTTGAGCATGCTGACCTCTTCCCGTTCTCCGACGGGTGAGAATCACGGACCGCGGGCTTCGGCTTGGCATTCAAGGACCTGATGGATGAGCGGTGACTCCGTGCAGGAGGTTTCACGTGGCTTTCCTGTCCTCGTTCACATTCTTGCCTTGTCTCAGAGGCGGTACCCCAGGAGAGGGAGGGAGTGAGGAGGGCATCCAAAGGATTCTGTGTTGCAATATTTCGCCCAAGGCAAATCGGTATGGTGAGTGCTCCGATCGCTGTTTTATCCATCTTGCCAATCAATCACTTTCATCTTCACCGTGATCTATTCCAACTGGGAAAACGTGGATGCATGAATATATGGACACATCTTCCCGTGGAGTGTTTCGGGTTTTCACTCGTCTGTTGTGAAAAAAGCCGAAGGCGTCTCCCAAAGTTGCGACGGGCAGTGATTCTTCAGCCTTCACTCTCGTGCAGGTTCAGGTCCAGCGGGCCGGCGGAAGTGTGCAGTGCGTACGCCGATGATTCATTGTGGCGGCGAGCGTGCGCTTGTTTGGTTCGCGGCTGTATGTCGTTGTTTCATTGTTGACTGTGGCCAGCCGAAGAATGTGGTGTTTCCGATACAGAAGTCAGGCTGAAATCTAGGCAGGAACGAACGCCACCGTCTACTGGGTAAGGTACTATATCTCAGACCGCTGACAGGAAACCACAAGACTCACTGGAGATCATGAAAACCAATCGCAGCAGATCGCGAGGATTACGATGGAATATGCGGAATCATGCTTCCATCGAAACGGTATTGTCTCTGCATGATGCAATATGTGATACGACTTCATGATCAAGCTACATCCCGGCACAAGCCGAATCACTACACCTCCGTCTCGATACCTGGCTCCCGCGTATGCCTCTGGAACATTCCAGAAATCTTCGACTCTACACGCTGTGCCTTATCAGAAGCCCACTTGGCAGTCCGAGGCATCTATTGTGAATGTCAGCTCCAGCTCGTCCATCATAGACATTCGTCTAGACTGACCTTGTATTGCATCACGCCGCGATGTGTGCGATGCTTCTGATTCTTCTCGTGCTGAGAAGTCTTGATATCGTCAATCATGTTCGTGGGTTTCTCTTTTTCATTACCATCATCCGAGCTGTCGTCGTCTTGGTCTTCATCTTCATCCGAAGAGGAATCGCTTGTAGCATTGCCATCGCCTTCCACGATGCCTTGCTTCTCCTCTGCCTCGTGACTCTCAAGGCTGTCGCGAGCGCAGTCTAGAACTTCTACCACGTTCGCCAGATCAGGATCCTTGGATGCCTGTATCTGATGGTTAGCAAATTATGGTTCCTCGGCAGATTTATCCATCTCGACATACCCATTTGCGATGCGCTGCACCAAGACCAGCCCAAAACGTCACCTTGAGCTTGATCTCGCCAATCCTCTCTCCGGGCTCATCTAAGGATGAGGCGGTTGCACGCTCGTAGTCTCCCTTCCACACCGGAAGTGTGAGATCTTGCTCCACATCGTCTGGAATGTCCCTCAGCCAAAGGACGGCAAACGCTGCAGTATGATCTTTGAACACGCCATTGTGCTTGAACCGCACTCCGAGACACGAGGAGTACCGTTTGTGATAAGGCAAGAACAAGCTGCGGTTTCTCTTTCGAGACTTCCACACCTGACCCTCCTTTTCTGCATACAACTTGGCGCTGCTGATGTTACTGTGCAGCTTTAATTTGAGATCACTCAAGTCTGAAGGAATGCTCGCGCTGGAGATGCCTGACTTCACCTCGAGCGTGCCATACTCCCAACCGAGGCTCTCAGGAGATGCAGTCAGCTGTACGGAACGCCACATCATCGAGATGCGAACCCTGCCATATCCGATCCCACCGGTCAACGGATATGTAGCATTGATCTGGGCGCGGTCCTTCAATACTTCTCCCAATGGCAAATGAACGATGCCGATCAGAGCGTCATTCTCGTCAATCCGTGCATCTCGGATGCTGACGTGGACTTCCGCGTTGCGCCAGTCTGAGATGAAGCGCTCTGTTCCAGCGTTGTAGAATGGCTTTCCATTCCTGGGTTTGGTTCGTGTCTTGAAAATTTTCTTATGGTTGATGATCACGGTACAGTAAGCTGAAGGTAGTCCTTGGCCATCTTCCTCTTCATCCTCATGGTGGATATCCTTCTCAACATCGCTCTTGCTAAGCTTCTCCAAGCTCAGGCCCGTGATGTTGTGGATTTGGATGCTGAAGATGCCGGAAGGGTAGTCGTCGGGTGGAGGTGCACTAGCGATCATGGCGTCTTCCATCTGTTTGATCTCTTGCTTCTTTTGTTGCTCGAGCTCTTCTGCATCGCGGGAATGCCTGCCCTTTTTACTCTGAGCTTCACGAAGCTTTCTATGACACGAGGCATCTGCCTTGTCCTTCAACTGCTTCATCGAGCGTACATCGGTGTCGTACGTCTGCGCCTGAAACTGGCATTCCTGCAGGCGGGTCTTTGAGAAATAGCCAATGCTCCATTCTAGCTTTCCAGGCATATCCTAAAGGAAGGGCAACAAGTTAGCAATGTTCGAACGGACGACATTCACACTTGGGGTGTCTTTTCGTCCAACTATTCATGTTGCGGCCTTTGACGTTGCTTACCTCACCGGCTTTCAATGCTTTGAAACCGTCGACACGGTTGTGCATTTTACCATTGGTCTCGTCCCCCGTCATGATGTTCTTGAGATCAACCTCCACACGACCAAGATCGTCGTCGGCAGTGAAACGGTCAGAGTCCCACAGCTGCAAACGGATCCTCTCTCCGACATCGATTTCCTGCGGCGTAACCAACATGTAGCATCGCTCGCGCCAATATGGTTCCATTTCCTTGACAAGAACTCTCGTGCTGAACATTGGCTTGCCGAATTTCGCCCAAGCAACTGRGATGTACGGATCTGAACTTGCTTCGTTGCGTATGAGGGGGATAGCAGCATCTCCAGTCCTGAAGTCGAAGCCGTGGATGATGTCAATCACGATCACGCCTTTTGCTGCGGTATCCTTTTTGAAGTCATCCCCAACCAGCATATCTTTCAGATCTAGGGTCAACGATCGCGGTGCAACGTACTCTGCAATAGCTGCGTCGACAGAGCTCTGGACAAAGTTTGAAATCAGAGGCAAGTCCATCAAATTCAGCCCTCGCTTAACCAGCGGAATGCACGAGATGTCAACTTTCGGCTGTCCGAGAAAGGTGATGGTGCACAGCGCGAAGAACGGAGGATCTGGTGTCTGCTGCAATCGGAGTCTACAGATTCCCACTAGACCTCTCATATCGACATAGACGGGTATCTTGATGTTGCCTAGAACCAAATTCAGGAAGTTAGCGGTATCGAGAGGCGATGGACTTCTCCGACTTACCGGGAAGATAAAAGGCCAAGTACAGATGCATATCTTTCGTCCTCTCGGCCATGGACTTGGACGGGCGGGCTCGGTATGCGAAGGCGACCTCCAGGTTGATAAAGTCTCCCTCTTCGGCTTCAAATCCGTCCTTGACTCCAGAATCAGGCGACTCGTCCTGAGACCGGCCATCTTTTGAGCGTTTACCACCCTGGTCGTTCTTGCTATCTTCAGCTCCAGCGTCGTCATCCACTGCCTCCTTCTTTTCTCTACTGCCCTGCTCTTCTGCTTGAAGCTCGCCATTTACGCCTACAGCGCGCCCAGCTGCACCAGTGGGAAGCCATCGAATTCCGAGTATACGCAGAGCTTCGCTGCCTTGGCCCAGATCTTCGACGCTCACCATCTGGACAAGACTCGGCAGAGAGGCTTGCATCACGTCCTCTAGTGTGTCTGCCAGTGATGTGAAAAGATCCGGGTTGATCAACGGCCAGACCGATCCAATCAATGAATTCAACCACGAGACAGATTCAGTCTCGTGTGCTTTTGCTTCCCTTTCCCGCGCTTCAAAATTTGTCTCCCACGCTTGCTCTTGCCAAATGTCGTCAATCCTATTGGCAGTCCACGTCCGAACGCCCCCTATGAGCTCCCAGATTGCACCAACGCTAAGAAGGCCGACAAGCAACCAGACGCCAACACCAAACAGCGCACCGTGTGGATCCTCAACACCTACCATATGAGCGAATCGCTTCGTTCTCAAGAGGCGTTCAGCACCAAAAGCGAACATAAGTATGGCAGCTGTGCCACACAGCCCAACAGTAACAGCCAGCTTGTTCGTGCTGATGAGCTCTGTTCGCAGCTCTTCAAAGCTTGGAGGTGGAAACAATGCATTCATAGATTCGTGACCTCGCTGGAGCTCCGACTGCTCATCCCCTAGCTCTTTGTCAGACTTGCCCTTGTTTTGCAGGCCGGTGGCAGTCCGCGAAGTCCTCCCATATGGGGTTGGGTTCTCGTCAATCTCTTCCAATGACTGCGTTGTAAAGTCATATATCTTCACCGGTAGATGGGTGATTGGGTCAGTCACCTCCCTCTCAGCTCGCTCATCCTTTGATTTCTTCTGACGCTTTCTCTGCGCCTTCGGATCGCCCGCTCCTGCGGTAGCTTCCGAAGTGTCATTGACACACGCTGCCGCATCCTCATCATCTTGTTGTGCATCTGCCGTGGATCGATCCCCAAAACCGCCATCCCTGCCGCCGTCTCTGTTCTTTACGTCCTCGCCAGCCGTGACGTCCTCGCCAGCCGTGACGTCCTCGCCAGTCTTGACGTCCTCGCCTCCCTCGCCATTCTCACCTTCCTGATCATCCGTTCCTTCTCCATCCCAGTACTTCCGCCAACCCTCCTTGGCCTTTTCAGTCCGCGAAGGGCTCAGGTCGGCGCTCTGTGGGTCGGGGTCCGCATCAATCGCATTCGCCCTACGATTCGCCTTTTCCTTTTGGTACTTCTCAATGGTGGGGATTGGATTGCGTCGACCATAAGGCGCCTGGTAATTGCGCCGAGAGCTCTCGGCATCTTCGAACCCGCTCATGGTGAAAGCTCCGGGGGAATCCTGGTTCGGATCGGGTGAGCGTGTAGCTCAAAGCACACCGGTCAAATGCCTCAAAGTTCCAGCAGATGATGTTGAAGCATCGTGAATCGAAGCAGAATACAGAAAACCCGCACAAAACAAACCTTGGAAGCACATGTCATAAGAACTTGTCTTGAGGCAGGACCTTCGAAGAATATGAGGAAGTGTTACGTCATGCCATGGGTTGGCCCTGTTAGATGACACTCAATGGAAACAACTTTCATGGAAAAGGTCGGCTTTCACATCTCTGCGGAATGCGGGGTCTTCTCGTCAATCGACGCCTGGCAATCGACATTTGTCGTGATCCGAAGGAGATGGAAGTGATGAGTTAGGGCATGAAGTGGCTCTTTGAAAGCTTTCACCGGTCTCCTACTCGCCCATGGCCACCCAAACTTGTTCCGCGATTCTGCTAGGATTATTGTCGTACGGACCACCGACCACGATAGAAGAAGAGAAGGGCGGCCTCTCGTTTACCGCTCGGAAATAGCGCTCTGGGGCTGAGAAAGACTCCGCTTTCCCTGCGCTGTCCACGTTCACAAGCGAGCCAATCGCAATGCAAGATAGGAACTACCTAGGAACGAAGATGCAGGTGAGATAGATGAAGAGGAATACGCGCTGTGATGATACTCGCACAAGACAGAGAACCAACAAGACAAAACGAAACAACCATGCCCTTTTCCTTCACAAGAAATTCATTCCTTTGCTGACGTCCATGATCTGATGAGTACGGCGAGTTTGATGCCTTCACCGGTTTAGCGGCGTGCACCACTTCACTCCGAATCCAACTCGACAAGGCTCACTCCTTCTGGCGGATCAACGAGGGATTAATGGAGCTCACCGGTATTCAAACTTGCCTAACAATATGGATGGCCCGCATCTCCCTCAAGGGTTCGACTCCGGACTCGGYGATTTGCTCTGCGAGTCCTCGCTCTTTCACAGCTCTGAAATGACAGCGTTCACCTTTGACGATGATTCCATGCTGTGGGAAGACGATGAGGCGATGTCTTCGAGAGGCGCCAGACTACAGAGCAATCTGGCCAGCGCCGGAGGCAGTTCGCGCTCTCCGACCGGGTCATCGCTGATCTTCACACCAACCTCGACTCAACTTGACTTTCAAGATGCGGATGGCGTTGGTGATCAGGAGTTGGAGGCAGATTCAACTTCCCCGGAGAGCAACAACAACAACAACATTCTCGACGACTACGTTCACATTCATTCCAACAACGACCCATCGGATCGTAGCAGTCATTCCGTACGCAGCTCTGGCCCGAACATAGGACCATTTTATTCCTCGGAGTCACCACATTCGTACACGGCTACCATGATCCCAAGTCAACGTTGGCAAGCATCATTCACATCCACATCCAGTGTCGGTATGGACGAGAGCACGCGGCAGCTCTCGTCGACGGAGATGCACCCGAATCACAGGACCAGCAACGAACTATTGTCAAACGTCGGCAATTTCGATACCCCTTTCACAGACGCGCTTTACCAGGACCAAGGACTACCTTTACGTACGCCGCCCAACAATGATGTGTCAAGCACCTCGTTCGGAAACATGGCGATGCTGTCCCGACAGATGGCGCACTTGTCAGGACCACCAAATAACAATGGTTTTGCGCAGTACCACGGTGTCAGCAGTGCCTTTGTGGCCCCAGTTCCTCAGCAACCTTCGCCGAGTATCCCATCGCACGATTCTGTGTACAGTCAGTACATCCAGTCCATGTCTCGGAACTCGGCAATGTTTGCAAACACGCCCCAACTCCCTGCTGCGGTTCAGTCGCATGATTTTTCCAGCTACCAACCAGTGCTCCATACGGCGGACGCCTTGTATCAACAACAACCATTGCATGCAATCGCAAATTTCAAATCATCCATTCCCTCTATCCGCGCATCAAATGCCAATCGTCTCGATGCGGCTCAAGCATCATATCAACCACCGAGGAGATCCGCAGCACAGGCAGAGTCTTCTCGATCCACGACCCTACACGCTCGAGAAAACGCGGATCGCGTGCGAAAGGGAGGTCGCAGTAGAAACTCTCACCTATCTGACAAGACGCGAGAAAAGAGCTCCGTGATGCGTAAAGTCGGCGCGTGCTGGCGTTGCGCCATGCAGAGAGATCCTGTTAGTAAATCACGAGCCGGGTCAGAATCTTCATACTGACATGCAATGCAGTGCGACCACGGCGATCCATGTTCTCGTTGTACCATGCGATCACAGCGAGGTCAAACATACTTTTTCGATTGTGATCGTTCAAAGTTGCCGGACTTCGTACATGAGTTCCTGCCCCGTACGTTGCATCGTGCCTCTATCGTGTGCTTGCGCTGATGATCAAGTACAGCTTCCATGACAATCATGCACCAGAAACAGACCATTGAAGATTCCGTTGCGAGTAGTGTCCTCACGTGGGATCATGACAACGGCATCGACATCTACTTATCATCTGGCTATGGACCACCACTTCGGTGGAAGGTGTACGAATTCAGGCCCAAAAGCGAAGAATATCTACGTCAACTACAATACTATCAAGACAACGGCAGTGACCAAATGGTGCGCACGGTCAACTACTCGCCTCCCTATGGCCTGCTCAAGATAGAGCCAAGCGACGATGCGCACTTGGACACGTACCTGGACCAGTTGTTGCAGCCGCAATTCCTCTGGGATTTTGGATGGACGTTTTACGAGGCGGAGTCTCTCGTCGATGAATTCCAAGCCGGAGTGCTCGATCTGCTTTGCAAGCTTTACCTTACCACCGAGGATGATCTTGTAGGTGCAAGCATTTTGAACTCACTATGTGCTGTCCGCTGACAATGTGAACCCAGCTGAAACAGCTCCTCTACGACATCCTCCGCATGCTACTAATCACATACATCATGGGCCATACTCTAACCATCTCCGACGATACAGTCCCGACCGTCATCGCCAACGTCCGACATTCCCGCAAACCAAGCAATTACAATCAGAAATACACCTCTCCTCGACTGGCCAATCGCCAACTCAAGTTCTTCTTTGCCGTCTTGCGGAATGGCATCTATGAGAAACTCCTCAAATGGCAGCAACAGACCCTACATACCGCCGGGAAGAAAGATCAAACCTGGCTGCCAGCATTCTGCGTCACTCTAGGTTTCGCAATGGTGCTGGAAGAAGTTCAACACACCCTCTTCATCCAAGCGGACGCCTCCGTTGCCCGCAACGATATGACCCGCGAGGATGCGGATAGACAAGCCAGCAACGCTTGTGAGAGGATCGACGCAAGATTTAAACTCCTCATCGGCTTGTTTCAATGCAAGTATAGAGATAAGAGATGGGGTGATGATGGCAGTTTTGGACCGGGGACACCTGAGGTGAAGGATCTCAGCAGCAAGGTATTCTTGGAGGAGTTGAGGGAGATTGTCGTGGAGAAGTGTAAGTTGTGTTATTCATGTGCCATCTGCTCATGGTTCGAATTTATGCTGACTCGGATACTAGGCGATCATCTAAAGTCTCGCGAGAACGTCGCATTCTCTCAGGAGAACCAGTGCTATTTCACATCTAGATTGACGGCGAAGTTCCTTGTGCCGTTTTTGAACCTGCCTGGATAGTGCTGCGTCCCTAGGAAGCTGGCTTTCCTCCAAAACGACGCGCTTGGTGGAATGGAAACTGGACATGTTCTCGAGGCCTTGAAGAGATGAAGTGAACTGGCGCAACGCTTTGAACGGAAACATGAATGATGAGTTAATGTTCGATCTCACGACGTAACGACGGCGAAAGGAATTCTACGGGTGGATGATGAAACTTTGTAGACATCGCAAAATCTTTCAATGAAGCGAGATGCCAACGAACTGTCCCGTGTCTTTGATCGCACGGCGCATGCACGTTCGTGACGGCTGAATGCTGCCGTGGATGTGAATCAAAGAATGGAGACAATTTGTCTACGCTCACCTTTTGAAAGCCGTTCTCAAGCTTGGAGTGATGTCAAAAATCAAATATTGTCATGTGCAGATCTGCTTATTGTATATTATACAGGTAACACCAACCTCCTTCCAACCCGTAAGTCGAATCCATCTTTCTTTTAAAGTGCAGCCAAGAAACCAACAAGACCAAGGACGAGGCCTGCACCTGCACCTTGGGCGTGGACGCCGTATGCTCCCGCGTCGGCTGTTGTGGTAGAGGCCGCAGTCGATGCAGAGCCGGAAGATGCGGTGGTGCTGGACTCGCTGGAAGAGGAGGTCGCGGAAGGAGCTTTGGTGACGGAGGATGCGCCCGAAGAGGAAGAAGTGACAGAGGCAGTTCCAGAGGAGGAAGGTGAGCTGCCGTCCTTCAGGCTTGGGGTGGCTCCAGCGGCGCAGGTTGCGGTGGTGGGGAGGAGATCTGCTTTGCCGACAGAGCCGCAGATGGCGTTTGCGAAATCGATGGTCGCTATAGTAGCAGTATGATTAGCTGCTGTTTGAGGGACCCACTAGCGGTTACTATCCTACCTTCTTGGCCGGCCGCGTCGCAGGCTTCGCTAACACAGCACGCGAGACCAGCGATCCAGTCGCCTTGCGTGCAGATGCATTCGACGTTCAAGGCCTCGCAGCCACCGTAGTCGGCCGTCACGCACTTGTCGGCTGCGCAGGATGGAAGACCAGCATTGGACTGGGCAATGGCGGAGCCCGCGAGCAGACCCGCGACGGCGATATGGATGAGGGACAACATGTTGGTGATGTAAGAACTTGAAGGCAAGGAAAGAAGGAGCGTGGGGTCAGCGGAGATGAGGAAGTCGTTTGCGCGAGCAGTCTACGTTCTCATATAGGCAGGCMCTCCCTATATTAAGAGACAAGACTCACGACAGGCCTGCCCGCCCTGCTGATCTAGAGATAATCGGACGCGTKCGCTGTAGTTCGCCTTTTGTGATTGCATATTGATTGGTTGATCGCCAGCTAGCGAAATTAGTACGATGGGGAGCGAAGCTCTGGGGCCCCAGCACGCTGGAGAGTACAATAAAGTACATGTACTTTGACCACCCTGCGGAGGCAGTATTTGCTTTCTTCATTCGTGCTGAGAGTTTTTGATGTCTTCATCGCAATATGATCGTGCTGTATCGACACAAATGGTCATGCGTCGCCAAGGGCGCCATTATTTCTTCCATGCTTCCGGTCCCCGAAGTACAGGCATGGAGCTCGTACCGTGGTCAAACTGTAATGACAACAGTCAGGATGCTCGGGAGAAGCGCGGCTTGGTGCTTTAAATTGGGTTACATACATTTTGGCATCTGCGGTGTTTGGCATCTGTCAATTCGAGCGTGCAGGATTACTTTACTGACCCAAACGACTCGTACAAGGTGCTTCACAGGCTCATAGGAAAAGGATCACAGAGATCGTGACAGTATGCCATATGTACGAGTCAGGAGTGGAAGTCAATCCAGGCTGCTGAGTTGCGTGAAGACTTATTACAGAGTCACAGTACCTCCACTCGTACGAAAGTCTGTCCGGTCTTGGCGTGAAATTGAGGGTGTAATATTGTTCAAAATGTAATAACTTCAGAACTACATGCTATCCTTGTATCTATTACCGTATGGAGGGTCACTGTTCATTAACCTTTCAGCCAATCCTTTTAGGTAGTTAATTGAGGCTCGTTTGGCCACACAATTATTAAAAGCTTGATCCTCACACTAAACATACTAGATCTCTAGCTCAGCCGTTTCTTAAATAACTTGACCAGCTCCAACTACACTTAAACGAAACTCTCGGAGGATCTTCTTCTTATCTTTATAAAGGTGTTTAATAGGGTTAAGGTCTAGGGAGTTAGCTAGGGTGTTTATAAACTTGATCCCCAGCTCTGAAATAAGAGGGGCTAGTAACCTCCTTACACGGTAGTAAACACTAACGTTGTCCTTAATAATAAGCACAGTTTTAGAAGGATTAAGGTCCTAGAGTTGTTTGTAGTAGGGGAACAGGTGTGTTTTATAGATCCTAAGTACGTAAAAAACGAAGTCTAAACCCCCCTTTTTGTGGTCTCTTACTAGCCTCTCTTTTTTGAACGTACGTTAGATAGTAAGCTTTTGTTTTCGTCTAGTACGCTGGCCACGAGGTATCTAAGCATTATAGGCCTTAATTTGTTCGTTCTTAGTATAAAGGTACGTCCATTCTATCGTATAAGGGATAGATGCTTGCTTAATTTAACGGTCCACAAACTGGTTAAGTTTTGCCTGTTCCTCGGCTAGTTTAGTAGCTAACTAGAGTGTTAACTCACTTAATTCAGGCTTCTAAACAACTACTAGCCTTCGTGCACGTATGTCGCTTGTAACAGCSCCCTATTACATGCGTAAAAAGCGTGGATCTTTCTTATCTTTAAACATAACAACCCCCTCTAGAGCTAATACGTAAGAAGGCCCACTACTCCCTCTAAAATTAATGGGGGTTTTATTACAAAGGATAATAACGTGGGTGGAAGGATCCAGCTTTAAAACCTCGTGTATATAACGCTCCCTATTAGGCAAATCCAGCTTTTGAAGGGCTGTCTTTTAGAGAGCATGTTTTCGAGTTATCCTTCGATTGTCTATCTTGTCCTTCTTAGAATAGACTCTCCCTTATAGGATATTGTGAACCTAAGGGGCTTTAAGCTCTTTAAGAGGTTGTCGTTGTCTATATTCCTTCGATTTTTCCAACTCTTATAAGGCTTGATTTGCAGCTTTAGGCTATAACATCTATCGTCCTTTTGTCCGTGTAAACGTTCGGATGGACTAGCTTGTTAAGGATCTAGGTAAAACACGCTATAGCCTTCCATCCCTAGGTTGTGCATGTACGTATTAAAGGAGTGTTGCCAGGTTATTCGATTTTGCAAGCTTACATATACGGTTGTAGAACTTTCGAGCCCCATTAGCTTTTACGCTAGGACGACGCTTCGCAATGTCCTTAAAGCTGTATCTATCGAAAGCCCTATCACTTAGGATCAAAATGCGCGTTGGTAGGCTATATTGCGACATGTGGTTGTTAAGTAATCGCGTTGTAAAGGTTGTTGTTTTGATTTTGAAGCTACATAAAAACACGCTACCGGATAAACTTTCGTACGAGTGGAGGTATCTCTCAGCGCCATGCCCACATATCTGACGCGAGCGTATGTCATCATTCAATTGTGCACTCCCAGTCTCAAGTTTTGCACGAATACATTGAATTCGAGGGATGCCAAACTTGGGTCTTATGAAAGCCAGTTGGATGTCCTCCAATGCTGACCAACATCAACCGGCTCGCCTATTGGTAAGAGATTCCAAGAGTCTTGAATGCATCCATACATCAAGATGGGAGGACTGTACGGAGAGGCCAGCTTCTCACCGGGATGCATGACTGGTGTGCTTGTCTTCAGCTACGAAGTCTCACAAGTTCAAGTTTGATTTCGATGCTCGAGGCTAGCATGCATGGCAATGCATCATGGCCACTTTRCTGTAACCGTCTCATCAGAGCCACTGAATGACGTCGCCTTTGTGAACACGGACGACGAAGGATTAGTTCACAAGCTTCTGGGTCTCGCAGCAGCAAGTCGCACTTAGCTCAATAGGAAGCTCCCGGCCTTGACTTTGTTCGACGACGCGGAGCTCAACAGTTTGAAGGCGCCCGCTTGACATCTGTAGAAAGGCCACGAACAAGCTGATCAGGGTTAACTCGGGGCAATGCGCACAGGAGGTTGCTGCATGGGAAGAAGTTGTGCCGAGTCGAGTGTGTTGAAGGAGTGGCCGAAATGGTCATCGTAGGAAACGAGCGATATGGATAAAATACTTGTTGCGCCGGCCAGTTGCTGTCGTCAGTGTCATTGATGAAAGGTGTGCAAGTTTGTTCCCAAAACGCAAGCTTTGGTAAGGTGACATGCGTGTAAGTTAGAGGTTGTCGAGACGAATGGGAGATGCCTTAGTTATGGTGTTCATGCAACTGTTTTGGAAGGTCTGCCCCGCGTTCGCTTAAAATTCCACACCTTCCTCAGACTCATCGAAAGCGAACAGTCAAGTGCCATTTTGCACCCCTTCACCTCCAACCAGCCACGGTATAGCACGGGCAATCAGCATACATCCAGGAGATCAGCACACCGAAAAGCCCTCTTCGAGACACACCTCCAAACGCAATCATGGCCACCAATGGCGACTATCCGTCAGACGACGACACGCCGCCTCAGTCACCTACAATGAACGCGACCGAGCCCGGCGATATTGAGCGACAGAAGGGCCCCGCTGCTGCGCCTAGATCTGCTCTGAAGAAAACCAACGCAGCAGCGGCAGCAGCAGCATCTCGCCCGACACTCCCCGAACAGCCCGAGCCGTCAACGCTAGATGTGTCCACCCTCACACCCCTCTCCCCCGAGATCATCGCCCGGCAAGCGACCATCAACATCGGTACCATCGGCCACGTCGCTCACGGAAAGAGTACTGTTGTCAAGGCCATCTCCGGCGTGCAGACTGTGCGATTCAAGAATGAACTGGAGCGAAACATCACAATCAAGCTGGGATATGCAAATGCAAAGATTTACAAGTGTGATAGTGAGGAGTGCCCACGTCCTACATGCTACCGAAGTTACAAGAGCGAGAAGGAGGTTGATCCACCATGTGAACGCGCGGGCTGTGAGGGCACATATCGCCTGCTCCGTCACGTCTCGTAAGACATTCTATACGGCATCGTTGGAATACATCAGCTGACAGTATTGTAGCTTCGTTGACTGCCCTGGGCACGATATTCTGATGAGCACTATGCTTTCAGGAGCCGCTGTCATGGACGCCGCGCTTCTCCTGATTGCAGGCAACGAAACTTGCCCACAGCCACAAACTTCAGAGCATCTTGCTGCCATCGAAATCATGAAGCTCCAGCACATCATCATTCTCCAGAACAAGGTCGACCTCATGCGCGAAGAAGCTGCAGCCCAGCACTACGAGTCGATCAAGAAGTTCATCCGCGGAACAGTCGCCGACGACTCGCCCATCATCCCCATCTCCGCCCAGCTAAAGTTCAACATCGATGCCATCAACGAAATGCTGGTCACCAAGATCCCCGTGCCCATGCGGAACTTCCAAGATGACCCTCATCTCATTGTCATTCGTTCTTTCGATGTCAACAAGCCCGGTTCCGAGATTGATGAGCTTCAAGGCGGTGTAGCAGGAGGATCCATTCTTACTGGAATCCTTAAACTCGGCGATGAAATCGAAATTCGCCCTGGAATCGTCTCCAAAGATGAGCAGGGTAAGATTCAGTGCAAGCCCATCTTCTCCCGAGTCATCTCCCTCTTCGCAGAGAACAACAGCCTCAAATTTGCCGTTCCTGGCGGTCTCATCGGTGTTGGTACCCGGATTGATCCCACGCTCTGCCGCGCCGACCGTCTTGTCGGTTTCGTGCTGGGCTTGAAGGGCAAGCTTCCTAAAATCTACACCGAGATTGAGGTCAACTACTTCTTGCTGCGGAGACTTCTGGGTGTGAAGACCGCCGATGGCAAGCAGGCAAAGGTCGGCAAGCTTACCAAGCAGGAGGTTCTCATGGTCAACATTGGTTCTACCGCTACTGGTGCAAAGGTTCTGGCCGTCAAGGCAGATGTTGCAAAGCTGCAGCTCACCTCGCCAGCATGTACCGCGAACGGCGAAAAGGTCGCTCTCAGTCGTCGTATCGAGAAGCACTGGCGGTTGATCGGCTGGGCCACCATCCTCCAGGGTGAGACTCTGGACCCTCAAGGCAGCAAATAATAGACGCTACTTTATGAGATGTGTTCAAATGTGTTCGTTATGGCTGGATGACGGGGGAACGATCAGTGTGAAATTGTAGCGTTGCGGAGCATTGTTGGTAGAAAAGGCGTACGATCAGAATTACTCGCATTGCAGGGGGAGTCGCACACTGGTGGCGTTATCACGGTGGTCGTAGCTGAAATGACTCCCGTGGAAGGAACAAATGGAACTGGTCTCAGTGGTAAGAATTACGCGTCAGGCAAAATACCTCCGCTTGTAGGTAGCAGGTTATGAGGAGATTGTCACATGCGATTGAAAGCTGTAAATTTTTAAGGTTCAAATCCCACGTTCACCTGTTGAACTGGCCACAACAACCCCCGACCCCCCGCCCAAGGTATTGAACAACTCCCACTTCCATCCGCAAACCACGACAACATGGCAGCAGCAGGCAGTGTAGTCCCGGCTCTGGCCGACCGGCCCATCAAGAACACCGTCGTTCTCTTCGACGTCGACGGCACCCTCACACCGGCTCGCCTCGTGAGCCTTCCACCCCAATGGCTTCAATGGGCCTAGGTTGGTACCCGGTTGTCAACACTGAGCTAAGCAATACGTAGGGTGTCTCGCCTGAAATGCTTCAGCTTCTTTCCGCTCTCCGCCACAAGGTCGCCATTGGCTTCGTGGGCGGTTCCGATTTGGTCAAGCAGCAGGAGCAACTCGGCACCGCTTCGATCCCCGTCACTTCCCTCTTCGACTTTTGCTTTTCGGAAAACGGCCTGACGGCCTTTCGCATGGGCCAGCCGCTGGCGAGCACGAGCTTCATCAAGTGGATTGGCGAGGACAACTACAAGAAGCTCGTGCGCTTCATCCTGCACTACATTGCGGATTTGGACATACCGATCAAGCGAGGAACATTTATTGAGTTCCGCAATGGCATGATAAACGTCTCGCCAATCGGTCGTAATGCCAGCACGCAGGAGAGGAATGAATACCAGGAGTACGATTTGAAGCACAACATTCGCAGCGACTTTGTGAAGGCAATTCAGAAGGAGTTTCCAGATCTTGGACTTACGTTTGTGAATCCCTGCGTACATACTGCTTTTCGAGATACTAATCTTCGAAAAGCTACTCCATTGGTGGCCAGATCTCCTTCSACGTCTTCCCTCAAGGCTGGGACAAGACTTACTGCTTGCAGCATCTTGCAAAGGAGAAGGATCTCCCGGGTGGCACTGACTACACCACGATCCACTTTTTTGGCGACAAGACAGAAAAGGGCGGCAACGACTACGAGATTTATTCTGACCCACGCACCATCGGCCACAGCGTTCGTAACCCGGATGAGACCACGGCAGAGGTGAAGAAGCTTTTTGGTCTATGAACTGGGACAGTGCGCAATGATGGAACAATACCTGGCGCATCCACCAGCTAGGTATCCTAAACGAAAAGCTTGACCGATTGGAGCCGCAAGTCCAGCAAACCGTCTCACATTTCCAATGTCGATGCCCTCGTTAGCGAGGTGCTGTTCACAGCATCAACGGCGACTCCTAGGGCTCGTAGCTAAAATCTAAACTCCTTTTCGCGCATCTTGAACTGCTATCGGGAACAGTTGCCCTCAAAAGCTAACGAACCAATCAGTGAGCCGTGTATACAAGACATCTGCGCAGAGATCAGACTGCACATGCCAATGCTCGCGCTGGCCACCGGATGTGACAGATTTCAGGTCGTAGAGTGGGCGACGTGCAAAGGCAGAAGGACTATGTGCACTTGGAAGAGAGGCCCATGAGCTTTGAGTATGATCTCGCACGGGATGAAGCATCCCACCATGTATGCAGCGCGCCGGCAGCTAGCAAGGAGATTGATGTGATCTGGGAAGCAGCAATGCTTCACCTTTCTGGACCTCCTGGCTATGTGCTGCTCTTTCCTCTCTCTTCATTCGGCAACTGTCGTGATGCGGTCGGTGGCCAATGCGATATGAGGCAATTCGCGTGCCGAAGGACAGGAGACAGGTGAGATGCTATCAGACGCGACCGTCTCTATGCTGATCCGCAGCCAGCGACTACGAAYGCTCACTATCTTCTAGTTCGTCCTAGTCATATGTTGCGTAATGTGACCGACAGAACTGCTTGAAGCATACCTTTCACTCCTGGAATATGCAACTTCATGGATCGGCGCCGTGTTAAACCTAAGCGCTAGCCGACGTTTGACCACTGCATTGAATCTTGAAGACAGCAACGAAATGGGACTTCACGATCTGAGCTACGGGCATTACGGCTGCGAATCTCACGGGCCACGGCACTCGAAATTCCTCCTTCTTGCTCCGAATACAGGCTGATATCCAAAATGCTGCACGTCGGCAAAAGGCCAGTTCACTTTCCTTGGGCGCACCGCATCCGGGGAGCTCAGAGGTACGTCCGGGATGCTGCGGTCATCGATCGTGGCCTCTTCTGTGCCCATGCTGCAGCGACCGGCTAGGCTTGGATTACTGCCCGCGATACCCACTCCCGATGCTACGAACACATCTCTCCTGAGTATTGACCGCCCTGGTTCCTGCCTCACGCCATCCACCAATGTTGATGACCACACTGCCAAGAAATGGTGGATCTTTCTGGCGAAGGAGAACCGCCGTAAGCGCCAGACTGATCCTCCGTCCTGTCATTTTCACATTGAAACAATGTGGAGCTTTGAATGGAGCTCGGTGCTGGGATCAATGGGATGCAGACGCGAGACTAAGTAACGAACTTGATGCGCGCTCTACAACCCGCAGAACTCGGTATTCATCGAGTAGCCCTGTCGTGCATTTGACGGGGCAAGCGGGGAGCAAAGGATGTAACATCTGAAATATGCACGTCTTCCGCCCGGACCATCGGGCCTAAACGGATGAATATGAGGATGATCTGGCACCTCGCTAGCCCAACTGTAGGCAACGTCAAGGAATAGGCTGTAGCGGGTGAGACCTCGGGATGCCAGGTACTTTCCAAGCCACTGGCGAGTGGCGGAAACGTCCCCGTCTGCAGGTCTGCCATAGGCGGAAGACTGTCGCCAATGGCTTACAGATTGGCGTGGCGGTGTCGTCTCACACCCTTGACCGTCCTAATCACACCACACTCAACCACACTTCAGGTCTACAACCGATTACAGACAGGGACGTTGCACCGCACGGTCATTGTGTCCTGGTGCAGGTGGCTATGTGGTCGGTTTCCCCTGGATCTGAAAGGTTGTTGAAACAGACGTACCTTCGACGTCAGAAATGCTGACTCGATGTGTCCCGTGCGTCAAGGTGGAGTTCAATGGGTTCGACTACGGCGCTGACCTGTGGCCTGTTATCACCCAAATCATGCTTCGGTGCACCGGGAAGCTGCGGTCTTCTCTTTTGGGCACTTCATTCTGCTCAAAGGGCACTGCCCACACTTCGCTTAGCCAGACCATGATTTGGACAAGGAATGTGTTTCGGCGTGCTCCTCTGCTGTATGCTTCTGCCGGTCTGTCCGAGGCGTCTACGCATAGGGAAGTGCGCCAACTCTGCTCACTCCACAACCCATGGCCGCAACTGGATCGATTCGGAATTTGCTCGGTAAACCCCTGCCAGGATGGCCGATGCCTACTTTTGCGGTTCTGTGAAGTCTGGGGCGATGCAGTGAATCAGTGATATGTCTTTGAGAACGACCCCCACGCACATCCCAAGAGCTTGGGTTTTCGTGAGAGATTCTCGCTAGGACACCGTGCTCCGCCCCAATGGCGGTGTATTTCACCCTAGATGACGGACTAAGAGACTAGTAGGTGCACTTGTTGATGTTCAGACCAGTCGCTATTTTAGCATTGTCCGAAGCAAAGCCTTCCAGACCGCCTTCAATAATAAGGACAGACTACAACGTATGGGCTTACTCAATCGGCGAAACTGACTTTTCTCGCTGTTCTAGTGGTTTCTACTGGCATCGAATATGACGATGAAACCCAGACATTTGAGTTTAACGATACACATATAGTTGATGCATCATTTTCTTGAGTGGAGATTTCGCAAGCATACCTGGCCCACAGCACTCCTTTCCAAACGCATTGCTACCCAACATCGCCATATCATGCATCAAAAATCATGTGTAGATGCCGCYCGGGGAACGTGCGCTTCCACTGCCGTACACCCGCGACTGTCCCCTGCTCRAATACAGCACTTAAATTTGTAGTACTGCATCGCAAGTCGACCATCGTTTGCCATTGAATAAACCGACTCAAAGGAGTTAGGCGGTGTGGGGATCGCACGGTTGGCAGTAGGTGCTCCACACTCCTCCGCCTCGTCTTCCAGGTAGTTAGTAGCTGCGAACTCCAAAAATAATTTTGACTGACCTGGATGGAAGTGACATGTATCGCTCATGCGATCTGTAGGCACTGCCTTCCCGCAACGTGCACATTCGACGTACAGTTCGTCCAGAACTCCGGGGAGTATCAATGCCTCTACAAAGTATAGATGCTCCCAAAGGATCGAATGATATTGAAAACGGTGATGTGGTGACATGAGTGACAGCTTGCTGTCTTCGGATCGCTGCTCTGGCATCCTGTATAGCTGCAGAGGGTTGTTGGCCTCCGGTTGCAAGACAAGCAGATATGAATAATCGACAGATGGCGTGTCACCCGGACCGCTAGAGGACGAACTCCATAGGCCTGAGTCTGGCTTTGGCCTACTGTCCATCCGTTCCGATTCCCTCCAGACCTTAGCACGCCCCATGACTACCCAACGCAGTGTCGGCGATGCTTCAGCGAGTCTGGGTAAACGGAGGAGGTCACGGGTGTACCTGGGAGCCTGGGGATCGACAGCTGATGTGGCCGAGAGTCTGAGAGCGGCAGCACTTCCGGCGCGGAACAACATATCAAGGCCAAGGTCCAATCCATGTCCAAGGGCCCTGTTGATCTCTTCAACTGACATTGACCAGAGCTGAAGCATACTGTGGTCAGTCGCGTAATCTATCTTCGGCAAAGCATGCCACTCCAGACGATTAGATCGATCTCAGAATACTTACTAGCAACGGCTTCTGGTTATCGAGAAGTCTGGGGGAGTCTCCATGATGATCTGAATCGTTTCTGTCAGTACGGTGATGTGCCCGGGTGTCCAAATGCAAGAGTGCCGGATGCATACCGCTGCAATCGGACTGAGCCGCGAAGATGTCAATCTCTACCATTGCTTCGGTGACTTCGTGCGGGACGCGTTCGGCCGTTGAGAAATTCAGAGGGAGTTAGTCGCTGGCAAAGCACAAATGTGTTTTGCATCGGCGACCTCTCGACCTCTTATAACCCATCCTACACGTGCTCTTCATTTTCGGCTGTGATGTTGGACAGCGCATTTTGACGGCCATACACAACGTCGAGAGACCATGGACAAAATCTGATGATGTCTTCGGCAGCATCGGGCCGCCAGTCGCAATCCCTTTCTCAGGTGCTGTACCGGCATAACCCTGGTCCGGACGCTTGCATTAGATCGGAATTCACCTCGCTAGTGTCGGCATCAGACGCCATTTACCTGTCGTGCCTGAAGCCTTGGCACATTCGATTGGATCTGAGCAATGTTCATTGTTGAATCTATCAGAATGCCAGTTGGATGGACAGGCGAGACCCCCGCTGTGCCGCTCAAGGATGAGACTTGAACCAACGCCGCAGTGCCGTCCGAGGCCCGCTCCCCGCCTCGGCGAGTAACGAGAGCTCAAGTTCCACAACATACGGAAGAATCGGACGTCGAGGTGCGCAGGCGCGAGGTTGCGAACGTCTCGCCTTGCAGCTGGCGATCGGAAAGTTCGTCGGGCAATCCTGATCCTATCTGGAGGCCCCGCAGGCCGCTATTGTCGAYGCGGTTTGCTACTGATTGATGAATGAGRGATGCTGGATCAAATGTCAGCTAGACCAGCTCATGTACGATCGCTCAAAAGAATTGCCACATCTTCGGCTTATCTAGGGGCATCCACGTCTGGTACAACATATGTGGAAGCTCGCACATTGCTGTATGACATCTTCTTCCTTATATCAGAGACTTTCCAAACTCACCGAGTCCTCTCGAGTTTCCCGGCCCTCGAGCGCTGGCAGCAAATCGAGCCTCGCAGAACGACAGCGAAATCTGGCTCTTGCTCATCGGGAATAAAAGTACGCTGTACACCCGCCAGCTTGGCAACAATGTTTCTGAAATTACCCATGCCGCGGCACGCGAGATTGTTGCAAGGTATGTGTCTCTCTACAACTTAACGGTGGTACCCGAAATCGAGGAATATGGTTTCGACCAATGCGACCTCCAAGTTCGACGCTTTCCAGGTTTCGTGCCGTGCATGTGGCACTGTTACTGTTATCAACAGATGGAAAAACGCAGATGCCAGTGCCAAGTGAGTGCTGTGCTTCTGTAGATGCAGGCGCAATGGCTTTCTCCGCGTTCGACGATCGCAGCTCTTGGCTCGTTTGGGAACCAACCAACTGCTGTCCTGTTCGACTTGGTTCATCTGCTCCACAATGGCGATTGACAGTAGGTACCCACTGTGTGTCGGACAGGGAGGCGGGTGTGAAATTTTTATTCTTCCGTGTAACGATCGTGGATAGTTGACCCTTCAGTGGGATTCAAGGTCGCGTTTCAGGCAGCCAATGCGCGAAGACGTGCGCACTGAGTCGTGTTCCTTCACCGCTTGACACGACGGACGCCTCCCCATCGCCCATAGATGACCAGTGTCGCCACTCGTGTATCCCTCGAGTCTCTCACGTCTTACCGAGGCCTTGCATATATATTAAGCTTTGCGAAAGATCTGGCAGGAGGATCCACCTTTGATGCATAGTCTGTGCCATTGTGTCGATCCGGCAAAATGTGTCATGCTGCACATTATACCTCCGTGGGTACGCGGCCATTCGCGTGGGAATTCTCAGCCGTATCACTGATGCTTCGATAATCCTCCGGCCCCCATTTCTGCGCGAAGAGGCAGTCACAGGTCAAGGGCCGCAGGACCTGGGAGCAATTTCGCTTCCTTCTCCAGTATGAGGTGTCTCAGGTGATCCTACAGGCCTTGATTATCTTTGCGCTGGACATTCATCGAGTTGCGCTCAGAGTTTGAAAGACGTGTGAAGTTGGCTTTAGATTTAGGCTAAGAACCTCGCATGCCGGTGTACCTGCCTCAGCAGCGTATGGAAAGAGAGGTCAGCTGGGGAGCTACCTACCTAATACGTCGGGTTAAGGTTAGGTTACCTTTTTAGTGAGCCGGCCCTGTTGACCCTTCCTTCGAACATGAGACCTGAGCTTTGAGAAGCGTGACGCACCAGCCGTAGCGACAAACTGAACGTACAATGTACGTGGCGTGATGGCAGAATGTGTGGTAGGACAGCTAGGCGCGAGAAGCGCGCGGCGCGGCTGAACATGTTAAACGCGGTAGTGACCTTCTTGCGGCTCTCTCCACTGCACCTCCTCGCGTCGGAGATGCGTTCTCTCCAGCATACATCCGAGATGTCCAGCGCAACACGTCCAACAGTCGTTCTGCTTCTCTCCTAACAAAGCAAGTCAGTCGGGCATTCGCCGGTTCGGAACACGGGCGCTGCACGAACTCGGATGAAAAGCACATGGGGTATGAARGATCTCCATGGGAATCTGCCGGGCGCATAGTGCACAATACTCTCTCGGGACATTGCCGAACGCACCGTAGTCGAATACGTCCTGCGTGTGTGGAAGCGAGATCATCTCCATCGCGCTCGGGCCCACGGGATGGAACACCAGCCACAAGACCTTTGGATGCAGCGGCCGAAGCGAGGGGTTGATAGCCTGCTCATCGAAAGGCATGCCTATGAGAGACAAGAGCTTTCCAACCGGTGGCTCGTCTTGTGAGCTTTGATCAAGTTCCCCCTTTCGCCATTCGCTCTCGAGCCGTGGCTTGCCCCAAAGGGCAAACTGGACCATTCTTTCGCTTTCACTACCGCGCAAAGCACTGATCTCGGCTTGGCACATGGGCAGTGCACTTAGACGCGACCAGAAGTGATCGTCTCTGTGCGAAGTGTGACACTCAACCGGGAAGATCGGAAGACAAACCACCCAGCCAGATCGCCGAGCAAGATGCGCGACCTCGAGAACCTCATCGGCACCATAAGCTCGGAGCTCGTCGAAGGTGTGTGCGCGGTACACGACTGGTGTATGGCAGGCGACTAGCCACGAATATGTCAGCACGCTACTCGTTCTATCATCATCGACGGTTGGCTGTTGCTCACAGTCTTCAGAGATGTCGCTGACCGGGCTCTCGGATCTCGATGATGCTGACATGATGTGGTGATTGGTTTGRGAAAAGAGAGGTGTGCTGAGGAGAACGCTGCACGRGAAACAATGCTGGCTCTGGAAGGGTGGACAGCTGGGCGAGTGATGCAAAACAGCGCGGTGAGTGAGACTGATGTCGCGACTTACATGTACCTGTCAGACATGGAGGGTTGTGGACCTGAGAGGGCCAAGGCGAGCTATCGTCGTCTCCACTAGGAAAATTGAATGGGAGTGGAACTGGGCAACCATCGATGAGGGGAGTTATTCGGGGGACTCGTGCAGCTTTCCCGTAGTACCGAAACGATCACAATCGTCCGGCATTATTCCCGCCATTTGGGTCGACTGGGGTGCCTGCAGCGGCCCTGGATTCCATTTCTTTCGCAACAATGCATCATGCTAGCTTTTGCTTTCAGCCATGCATTGATCATTTGTGAATAGAGACGCGCAAGCCATGTTCTCTGAGCTCGACCTCGATAGTCGAGAACCCTTTTACTCTTCCTCTTGCAGATAATAGTCGCGCTTCGCCCTGCAATTCTCCCACGCGGCCATGACAGCGGTCACCAACATGAACGTAAACGGGAACCAGCATATTGTAGAGGCGTGCTACCTTCCATGCTGGGACAGCCTGAGCCAGAGAACCAGATTACCGGACGATTGGATGACAGCCCGCGTAAGGCGTGAAGCGAGGGAATCCTCTTCGGGAGGGGCTTCCCATGAATTCATTGGCCTGCCTGGGCCTGGCTTTGCTTTTTCCTTGCTCCGATGCCTCGAAGCAAGTTCACGCGGCCTCACCGCTGAACCGACCGTAGGATGGTGGTGACACTGCATCTACCTTTGGTTGGACGAGGCACACTCCACCATGGCTCGCCTGTGGCAGTCAATCCTGCCCTTCTTTGGTGTGTAAATCGCCATGGTGTCGGTGAGCTTGAGGTGCTGCAGCGAGCATGGCAGCAACAGCGCGCGAATGATCCAGTGCTACAGATCGCGTAGCTGGCATGGTGGGTCGAAGAGGTTGTGGCATATGTCGAGTGTGATTGGGGTCGTCCTTGTCGAAAGAGTTGGAAATGAGTGATGGAGACGGTCCGCACCGCGTGGAAGGAACAACTGCCGATCCTCCCCGGAGCCCATTCCTACACGGCGACTTGCTTCCCTCACGGCTCTTGTCTCTTGGGCACCTCATCTCGTATACCTTACCGGGACCATCCTCCACCTGGTAAGAGCTCACGACATTTTCAACGGCCAGCACAAGGACGAAGACGGCCCTCAATCCCGGAACGGCACATTCCTCTACTGGCTGGAGTGCCTTAGTTCTGAAACGGTCCGGACTTCGGTTAGTGGTGGTATCCATGAATCGCGGTCACTCAATCAAGTTCGAGGATTACAACTCTTCAAGTCACACACCATATCTTTTTCGTAGACTACTCAAGGCTCTCGTGAGTATTTCTATGTCCTGGATGATGATGTGAACGATGACGTCTTGCGAGTTATCGGGGAGCCAAGAGACTGGTGCCCGTTCTCATAAACGGTCCGTGTCGATACGATTAAAGACCCTTGTCTACGGGGATCCGGGAAGCCGCATATCATCTGCCTCACATGACCGTCAAGATGATCTATGGTCAGTGAATGAATGGATGGAACAAAAGCCGTGGTCAAGACTCCGAACATACACATGACAGGTTGAGTCAGTATCAGACGGGTTGCTGATACCTATTATTGAAGTATGACACCGACACCACATACTTCATTTACACAAGACTCTCATGTCCTACATCCTCTTGCCGTCACCCAGCCTCGCAGATACCAGACCTGCGAGTACTGGCTTTGGTCGCCGCTTTGTCACTTGCAGCTACCCAGCGAGCGTCAATATCTAATCAGTAAGATGATAGCAGTGCGTGTTCATCGAGCTATCAACATGCCTGTAGAGTATGGGCGCGTTTTAAGAGACTATCCGTTTCTCTTAAAACCCTCGGCAATCGTGTGCATCATGCGCGTCAATTGGTATATAATACTCCCTAAGCTGATGCAGTTGAGTGTAGACAGTCTATTCTATCTGAAGAACATTGATCATCAGGCACAGTCAGGAGAGACTACATGTCTGACGAACACGGTGCTAGTATTGCCCTGTCCAGTCTGGATTCAGCCCAGACTAGAAAGCGATGGCATTATTCACTCGACGCACATCTAGCGGCAGAACTACATCAAATACTCTCGGCCCGTACTCAAGTACCAAATCAATCTAGCGGACCTCTCTCCTATCTCTTGAACAGATCCTAGCGTTGGCCAAGGATCGTCCAATCAAGCGAAATCTTATGGGAGCACCAGACATCATTGTGGGTGTACGTGAAGGTCCGTTGTGCAACTGAGAGAAGCAGCCTCGACTTGGGAAGACGACTAGATCGCAGCTCCACGAAGCGTATGGGGCGGTCCCGGATGGTGGTATGAGTAGCGGTGGTGGGATTGAGCTCTGGCTAGCAATGTAGAAAAGCGATACGGGACTGGTCCATGCGGATTCGAGACAACAAGGCCAACAATACAATATGTCAAGCGTTGCAATGCCAACTCTCACAAGCCTCCAAGCAGAAGCGGTCCTGACGGAACGAGTACGTCCCGTCATTACCATTCGGACGGATCTTGGTAGATTGTGTCTCAGCCTAGAGGATGTCACACGTTGAAGCGGACGCGGGACGCTGCATGGCGAAAGTCTTAGTTGACCACAGCTTCCAAAGACATTGGGTCCGGTAGTCACATCTCCAGGATCTAATAAAGTATGGCGTGGCGGGTAGAGTGTAGGGAATCTTGGGTGTCCTCTGATTCCTGCATATATAGCGCACGGCATCCAACACCCATTAGTGTTTACCTCGAAGCAGCGAATGGCGGTCCCCTTGCCTGATCTTTGGTTTATAACACGACCAGATATCATCTCCGTCATCTTGGGACTGGTAGAGTCCAATGGGTGGCTTGGAACTGGTAGAGCCAAGCGCTTGTCTTGAATTCTGAAGAAGCCGAATGTCGCCGATGGTAATTAAATCTGTTGTCATTCGTCGTAGGCTTCCATATGTATCGTGCTGTTGCAAAGATCTTGGCTCCGTGAGTCATGTAGCATGGTACGACCAYGTTCGAAGGCGAAGATCTCGCAGCGGAATTGCACACCCAGTAGCGTGTATTGTGCTCTGTCGAATCAGTCTTCCTGCTGGTGTGTGTTCGTCTCGAGGTGGCATGAACGTAAGTAGGTAGTCTTCGCACTCCGGATGTATCCGTCGAGGTGAAATGTGGATTTATCCTTACCAGCATCAATGAACCTATCAATGGCCTGGCTATCATGAAAAGCTGCGCATTAGCGGATTTGTGACCAACCAGGCACTGCCCGAGGTGAGTAAGGTGTTCCCGTTCGAACGTTCTTATGCGCCCAGGACGACAAAAGGCTCGTCTGCTGCGTGGGAATCGCACCGAGATCAGCATGTGAGCGGAGAGCATTCGCGAATTTGTACAGTTGCTTGTCGGAAGCGAGAATTGAGCTGTTGTGTACAGCGCCAGTTGTGGAAGTAGCAGTGCGGCGAGCCACACGTAATACCCATCCCTTACAAACACAATTCGTGTGGAAAACCATTCCATATGCCCGCTGTGTGATCACAGACCAACAATGCCATCACTCCGATGCCCAGCCTCGCYGCACATGACTCCCTATTATTTCGGCCACTTCTTCCATCCACGTCCATGTCCCCGCTCCTTCCATTCGCGGATCATCTCGGGCATGTTTTCCATCGCCTTCCTCCTCTCTTCCAATTTACCTCTCAGTTGCCTTTCCCAAAGCTTTCCCTTGACCTTCTTGCCCACACYTGTACCCTGCACTCGTAGACCGTTCTCAATTCGCTTCTGCTCTCTGATCTCTGGGTGCTTTAGCGAGACAGGCATCAGCGGTAGGACCTTGTATTCTGATGCCAGCTTGAATAGCTCCGCTTGCCGTCTGAGGGATATGGCGGGTCCGTGCCAGATGCCTGTACGTGGGTTTTTGTGTGGGAGGAAAGGATTTCGTGACGACTTCAGTTCCGTGGCTGAATGTGCGGTGTCCGATTCGGAAGGTGAAAGAGAGACTGTTGTTGAAGCAGCGCCAATGTTGGGATCGGAGGAGGATGTCGTCGAGGTGGTGGTCACACTTGCTGTCGCTGTTTCCGCTGGGCTGCTCTGCGCTGTGGCCATTCGCGAAGCTGCGGAGATCTGCGGCGGTGGAAACTTGGTAAAGAAACGCAAAAGGCGTGGATGGAGCTTCTGAGCCAGCTGGACGTGTCGCTCCATAGCCGTCGTCGTGATATGTCAAGTCCGAAGGGGAATGGGAATGATGATCATCAGAAGCGTGACATTGAAGATGGAGGCGGCGGATTTCCGAGAAACGGCGCTAGAGCGAGCTCCGCGTCAACGTACCTGCCTGCAGTGCAGCTATCCAACGACCACTTCCAGACAACGCATGATCATCATCGCCCACTACTCTGCCTCCAACAATCATCCTCCAAACAACAATTGAATCACCGCCGCGTCAATTGAATACCCGCTGAGAACGTCAACGCATCACYAAATCTTCGAAAAGATCTACGAAACACCGGAATCATGTCCTCGCCTTTCGCCATCAGTACGTGGGCTTCACATGGGGGCCACATTAAGAAGATGAATAWCATTCTAACCACATCATTCAGACGGCGGCGCCTGCGTGGCAATGGTGGGCAAGGACTGCGTGGCCATCGCATGTGACCTGCGACTCGGTCTGCAAGCACTCACAGTCAGCAACAACTTCCCCAAGATCTTTCCCTACGGCACAAGCACCTACCTCGGCCTCACGGGTCTGGCAACGGATGTCAGCACTGTCTCGGAGCTGTTCAGATACAAGGTCAACATGTACCGTCTGCGCGAGGAGCGCGACATCAGCCCTCAGACATTTGCCAACCTCGTCAGTTCGAGCTTGTACGAGCGTCGCTTTGGACCATGGTTTGTGAGTCCCGTTGTCGCGGGTATCAATGGCACGACAGGGAAGCCTTTCATCTGCGGGTGAGTGCATGACACATCTTTCTTACACCACACCGAGACCACGAGACACTGACGCTCTTCCTCTCTAGCTTCGACAGCATCGGCTGCATCGACTTCGCCAAGGACTTCATCGTCTCTGGTACCGCCTCCGACCAACTCTTCGGTACCTGTGAGGGTCTCTGGGAGCCTGATCTTGGCCCCGAGGATCTCTTCGAAACCATTTCCCAAGCGCTTCTCAACGCCGTCGATCGTGACGCCCTTTCCGGGTGGGGAGCTCATGTGTACATCATCGAAAAGGACAAGGTTACCAAGCGTCTATTGAAGGGACGACAGGATTAGATGAACGCGAGCTGGAGCGGTGTATATTAGTGGGCGCAGCACGCGCATTGCATGGCACGACACGGCAAGGCGTTAAGGCGCATGGCGGGCGTATGGCCCAGCCGTTGATACCTCTGATGAATCAAGACTGATTGAGGCATGCTCTYGGCGGACAGCATACAGATTTTACGCGTGTGGATGATGAGCATCGTGAGGCTAGTCGCATCGACGTAGTGTCTTGCGATAGTCTAAGCTTTGAGTACTGTAGCTTTGGCAAGAGCGATAGAACAAGCTTTGAGATGCTTGACCTCACCTCCCAAGCGTTGGTCTCACTCCCGTCCYAATATTGCCTCTCTGCTTACGATGCCCATTGCTAGCGAGGATAAGATTCATCTACGAGAAGAACAAGCATCGTCAAGAGATTAGTTCAGTCGTTGTGACTGCAGAACGTCGGATCAGCTACAGGATGCGGACGACTTCAGCCAGCGCCGCAAGAAACGGCACCACAAGAACTACAAGTTCAAGTCATGCATGCTTCTATCAGAACGGCTGCTCTCCCACTCATATTCACCCCGACATACACTTCGTGCCCTTCATACAACTCGCGCTCCGCTGTTGACTTGCCTTGGCTCGCTGGCAGCTTCAAAGGTTCCGTTTGCAAGACGCCTCAACTGATGGGACGTGCTGGGAGCAGTTTCGACCCAGGTCACATTATGTCCACGCTCCTTCAAAAACGCCGTCGTAGCGTTGTTGTATGACCACTCTACCTGAACAACATTCGGAATGAGTTGATCATGCAGCCTAGGTTTTGCCAAAGCCTCGGCCGACGTGGCGTTCTGATCCAACACATACCAGAGCTGCTGGACTGTGCTCGTAATGATCCTGCTGCCGCCTGCTCCGGCCGCAACGAAATATACGGATCCATCGGCATTCTCCACAATCGTTGGGGTTATAGAGCTGAGCGGTCGCTTGCCTGGCCGGACGTAGTTACTCGGTGATGCAATGTAGCCAAAGGCATTGCTGACTCCCGGAATGCTGAAATCATTCATCTCGTTGTTCATGATGATTCCAGTCTCCGGGACCATGACTTTCGAGCCGAACAGGGTGTTTATTGTGGTTGTGAGGGCTATCGATAGGCCACTGGCATCGCTTACCACCACTGCACTTGTACCTGGCGTCTCCAATGACTCGAATCCGGACGGATCGTACACGCTGGTGTTCCAAGTGTGGTCTGGATTGATCTTCGCTCGAACAGCAGCTACGGTTTTCTCGCTGAGCATCTCATCTTGGTAGAGGTCCATATCTTTGACAAAAAGAGGGTCACCGAGATTGCTGCGCTGGCCGTACGCGAACCTCAGCGCTTCGTCGAAAATATGGGTGCTTTCGTTGACGGTTGCTGCTTGGCCGATGGTCGGATAGCCCTCAATGATCTTCATTATTGAAAGTCCAACGGCCCCAGATGATGGAGCACTGCAGCCGTGGATCTTGTATCCGCGGTAGGTGATGTTCATCGGCTCTCTAATGGCAATGGTGTAATTGGCGAGATCCTCCAGCGTCATAGTTCCGTTGCTCGCCTGCAACGTATTTATGGTCGTATGAGCAATGGGTCCAGTGTAAAATGCGTCCACGCCTTGCTCTGCAATGGTCCCCAGTGTTGCAGCGAATCTCTTGCGGGTGATCGTATCTCCCAATCCCAGGCGTGTACCATTCGGAGCAAAGTCTAGTGCCCAGTTGGGATCTTCCACCAGAAAGTTGTTTGATGTCGTCGCGGAATCCATGTACCTAATCAGATCTGCAGTCACGGGTACYCCATCTCTCGCCAATTTGACTGCCGGGAGCACGAGATCCTTCCATGGCAGACTACCATATTGAGCGTGGAGATGGGCCAAACCACGGAGCTCACCGGGCACACCACTTGCCAACCCGCCGTTCAAGCTAGCGTCGGAGTTGTTCTTATACATGTCCTCGAATGCCGCAGAAGGAGCAGTTTCTCTGAAATCAATGAACTCATAGCCTGTCTCGACGTTAAGACAAGCCCTCTTAGACGGAGTGTGAATTACGTACTGCCATTTCCGCTTCGAACGAGCATGAAACCGCCTCCACCAATGCCTCTACTCAGGGCGTTAGCAACAGATCACTGTCCCACGAGTAGAGTGATGGGCTTACGAATGATACATTCCAACCACTCCCACACACAACACCGTCGCAACCATACTATCGGCAGCAYTTCCTCCAGCCTTCAACGTATCGATTCCAACATCGGTACAAACTGCGCTTTCGGAGGCCACAGCTCCCAGCTTGTTCTGGTCTGCATCATAGCTCGGCACCGTCCACGCAGAAGTGCTGGGAATCTGTGACAGCAAGATTGTGGTCGGGATGGCCAATCCGAAGACCCTCATGGCTGCGGTCAAAAGAAGAAAGAGGTGGGGAGAGAATTGTAAATGCATAAGTTCGTGCTACCAGCTGAGAGCTCGGCTCCTGCGCTTGATTCGAGTCTTTTGATGACGAGCTCTTCGGCCTGCATCTTTGGTCCGCTCCATCTTCGGTGGCTTTAGTGCTGTGCGTATCGAATGTGGTGAATGGACGACGGAGAGGCGTTATCGGAAAGAACTAGCGGCGATAAGGTAGGCATGCTCGGATCTCGGAGTTTGAACATACAATAGGTGGCTTCCATTTCTCCACTCCTCATGTCTCATCTGGAGTTACCTTCTTCGTACATAAGTTACATGTACATGGATGTACGTATGGAGGTTCTTGGTGGTATTTGATGATGGCTTGCGTCATATCACAAGCCGACAATCTTTTCGGACCACGTGCTGGCTCTTGCTTCGACTTCACAGCAGGCCGTCTTCCAACTCGCTCCCGCCTCTCTCCTCCTCCTCCTCCTCCTCCTACTCTTCCTCTTCCTCCTCCTACCGGTCCGGGCTCATCAGCTTCGATGAGATAAGTAATGTCAAGGTCGTTCGAGATGGCCCGCGATATCTCCAACCTAGTTCTATCACGCTGCTTGTAGTTTCCCAGCTGATCTTGCTCGTACTGTGGAGTATGACCATATTGGTAGCCGCGACCTCGTCCATCGCCATGGTCACAGCTGTGTATTCAAAGGTACTCAACCTGGGTGCAATTCCACTCGCTGACAGTCACGTCGACGCTGATCACCACGGATGTGGAACGAGTTTGTTGCCCTTGCTCGACGGAGGAGCTCATTCGCGATCTACTTCATCAGGAAACGAGAATTCAGGAAACGTTGCGACATCGGAAGAGGGCGTTGGGCCATATACGCCAGCCACACCGTACGGGTTACATATCGAAAAAGCAACCTTTATGGGAGACCAGAGGCTAGACATTCTGCGAAGCATCACACTTATTACACTCTCCTAAATCCGCCTGACAATCCTAGCCGGACCGGTGGGCTGTGGCAAATCTACTCTTCACCACGCCATCCTGGGTGAAGTTCTTCTATCCAAAGGGATTCGCTCTATCACCGGTAGCGCTCACTATGCTTTCTGCTTCTCAAGATTCATGGCTCCCGAACGACACGACACGGTCCGGAATCTGATCCTTGCGGAATCGGACATTGATCATGAACGGGACTCTAAGGTCGTCTCGGGTAACTCCCTCTCCGCACCTGGATCGGCGTGTCATTCTTGATCGCCGCCATGGATGTATCCATCTAGCCATGGACAGCGGCTCTATTGTTGAGATGGGAACCCCAGGTGAACTGCTTAATAAGTAAGACGGCCTCTTTCAGTCCATGTCGTAGCGCTCTGGGCATTGGTTTAGCCAATTCGGTCCACCTCTGGAGTATCCACGCAACTCGACGGAAGTGGAAACAAAATGTATTGATCTTTACACATATACGCTTCTGTACAGTGTCTACAATGCTCGGAACAAGGCGAAATCAGATGCATCACTCTCCACTCCGCAAGCAGCACCCGGCTGCGTTTCTGGAGCTCATTTTTTGGAATTCCTCGAGCACGCCGAAAGCTTTGCCTGCACAAAATAGCGACTACATGCATGGACCAAGAGTCCAAGTGTAGGTGAATTTCGYCGCGAGGAGCATGCTCTCTTTCAGATATTCCCCAAGTTCACGGCAGCAGGTTCAGGCTTTGTCTGACCCCCGCTGCTCCAATGAAGCAACCCAGACGCAGGAGCGTGAACGTGATTGGCCCTCTGCTGAGCTTGCAAGAGGATGACAGTGTCACGGAGGACAAGCAGCTTTCGCAGGGTACCTGACTCCGGCTATCGTATCTCCAACAGATGGAGTGACCTCGACATCAACGCTGGTGAGCTGGTCCTTGTTGTTGGAGGACTTCAAGCTCGGTTGAGGCTTTTTGGGAAGCTTTGATTCATCGGCCACAAAAGGTGCAGAATTGTCTTCGGAGACAGACTTCTTCCTCCTCAGCCACCCCACCACTTTCTCCTTGTACACGCCAAACACGGAGCTATCCCAGTAAAGGAGCACTGATATTAGTAGAGCAAAAATACCAATGAGGAACATGAGGGCGTTGTCAAACAGCCTGTAGACAAAGAAGCCAACGCCGACGAATATCGCAGTGTACCAAACAACCAGATGGCCGACGTGGAATGAGCGCTGCAAAAAGGATTGGCCACGCTTCCGCTCCGTAGAAGAGCGCGCCGAGGTCCCCCAGCCTGTCTGATTCATGGTGAACAAGGCCCAGATCTTGGATGGTAGCAGTCCAAAGAAGTAAATCACACCGTAGCAAGCGAAGAGGAGCAGCCACGGGTCCTGACAGATAAGAAGCGCCATGATGGATTTGAAAAGTGCGATGCCGAACATTGTGACAAGCCAGATCAACGGGCGCCATTTGCTCAGATCCGAAGTGTCGAACAGCATGTGGAATACAGTCGCTACCAGAATGAATGGATAGAGTGTCTGGATGGTCATCTCTAGCAGCATCCAAGGAGACTGGTAGGCAAAGCTAGCGGGGAACCAAAATGCCTCTCTGAAGAAACTTTTGCTCCATCTTGTCTGCTGAGCGACCCAACGCACGAACGTTGTCGGAGACTCGCTGTCGCACCACGTACGGTGGGTATAGCGTGTCTTCAACCCATGAGCCAACAGCTGGTTTGTCAAATGACGGTCATCGCCAAATGTGGTCTCCTTGCCGCCGAATGTCTGTAAATTCCAGGGACCGAGGATCGTCTCTAGATCGGAAGAACGGTACATGCTCATAGGGCCTGAAAGACAACCCACGCAGCGCCATGTGGATTGGCATGCTCGCTCAATGTTGAAGGCAAACCAGTACCGCGCTGCACAAAGCCGGGTAAGTAGTCCCTCGGCGCGGTTCCAGATTTTGACATCTGCAGTCACTCCGCCAATCTCGGGGGAAGATCGGAGGAGTGTGAGCATCTCGTCGATGCCGTTACTCTGGAYTATGGTATCGGAATCCGTAGTAAATATGGCATCTCTCGTACGCAAGGCGTACAGACTCATCGCGAAAGCCGTGAACATGGCTGTTCGTTTATGACCATGGGGTTGACTGAAGCAAACTGCTTCAAGGCTGCTAATGTTCCACTTGGTATCCCATTCGGCAACTTGCTTCATGACAGCATCTCTGGCATGAGATAGTGCCAGCCGATGACCGGGACGACTACGACCGGTGAGCGTATGCCCGGCTTTGACAATGAAGGATCTCCTGTCGACGGGGATGTTCTTGAGGTAGGTATCGCGGTGTATGCTAGATAGCAATACGGGTAGGTGTAGCAGCGGTGCGTTGAGTGGTTCCAACTCGCTAACGAAGGCTTCTGCCATGTTCAAATCTGGCTCTTCGTTGCCATCAACCACACCGATGATGCATTTAGGCTTGAGTGTCTGCGTTTGAACGCTGCGGAGGCATTGCCGCCATGCTTGCTCGTCCTCGCGGTAGCCGACAACAGCGATTGATACCTCACTACCGGGGTTGCAGAGGCCAGATACGGATTCGACTCCTTTCTCCGGATCGCGCACCAATGTTTCCTTCGTCCGGTTCGAAATTCGATTCACATCAAAGCGGTTGTATACAGCGCAGGCGAGCTGGACAAAGTATTCGGAAAGTAGTATCGTCCCGTATAAACCAATGGATGTAACACCAAGATCAAAAATCCTTAGCCCTATCACATAACCTGCGATAAGTGCCCCAATGAGACCGAATGCCACTGATACATTAAAGACGGCTTTGAACGGATTTATCCTCAAAGGCTTCCGTAGTGGGGTATCGAAAATTGTTGTCGAGTCGAAATGTATCGTCGATTGAGTCGAGGCATGCTTGAGGCTGGCGGACGAAGCACCAAGTGACTCGGCGTCCGACATTGGCACGGAATATGACTAGCTCTTGCGTGTATGTTGCTGGATCTTTCGTGGGAGGGGAGTTATGAGACCCAGAATGAGCGAGTGGACATCTATGGGTGGCACGCAGGATACGATATACCCTCGAACGGCGAGTTCTGGGTCTAATTCCGTTCACTAGCATCCTAAGCTGGGCGACCCCATCGTAAATTGGTGGTCTCCAGGGGTAAATGTGATCTTCGGCGAAGATATTGGTGGCGATATGGGTGGGTTCCAGCGCTTGATAAAGGAGACGAGAAACTCTTCGGGGTGAGCTTCGGTGTGTAGCCACACCTCACATCACGAGATACTCCACATGATGGGCTTCATCCGGGAATCCTTTGTGGGAAGGACTCTTACCGGTCAGGACGACAAGGTCGTTGTCCATCAGATCCCTGGGTACGGCTTCCGTGGAGATTCATCTGATTTCCACGACAATTTCGCCATCTTACTTCGCGACGACGCACTCTGCCACATTGCCACACGGTTTGCGATAGACAATACTTATGTGTGACAGCACGACCCAATCGAGATTGCCGGAGCCATTGCCGGGCTTCGTCCACCAAAGCAAAGTAGGCCTCGTGGTCCTGGTTTGACGTGCTGGGAGAGCGTCTGAGCTGGCACTTACCCAGCTACCCGTGATGCAATGTAGTGCATCGGGTCCAGGAAGTCCACATCGCACCATCCGTGTATGATGTGAATACACCGCATCGCTCCAATGGTTCCTGAGAATGGTCCGCACGATCGGATGTGGATCTGCTGCATCTTGTCCTTGCACAAGACTTGGTCAACAAAGCCCATGGTGTACATGAGGTGTGACGGGCTGCGACTTGTACTCCCCATTGTGTTCGAGGCAGTCGGGAATCCCGAGTCTGGCTGACGCCTTGGCAGGGTAAAATCCCAATTTGTCGACTGACAGCCAGTGTCAAACAGGGAATTCGGCGACATGCAGCTTATGCGTTGGTCCTCATCTTCCATGAAGACGTCGCGAAGCCAGGCAAATGGCGCGGTCCTTCTCCCGTGAACATCTCCGGTCACGTCTCTCGAGAGAGGTCAAAATACCTCCCTGGCAGGAGAGGTACAATCAACAAGATTCCTTACCCTTGACACGGCCATGCAACCTGCCACGCGGCAGCAAACCAGCAAGCTGCTCACATGGTGAATGGCGCGTGGCGTGGTCAGACCCACAATCTACGGCCTGTCTGTACCGAGCACGGGGTTACAGACATCTCGTGAGCACACCGTGGGCTGCGCATGGTCTGCAAAATCGTTGGGTAAATGAAGGAGACACGGATCGTATCACGGATTGAAGGGTGAAGTTTGCGGATCGGATGATATGACTTCGCTTAAGCTTCCCGCTAACCCGGATAGGTCTAGTCTCAGCTCTCCCTGTGAGGTGATGTAAGGTAATCTCGCTCGTAGGGCTCCTTCCTCTTCCTTTGTTCTCCAACACGAAACGAGTGTAAAAATTGCAACACCTCTGGCCAGACGGTACGAGATGCGCCCGTAATTTCTGTATCTTGGCCCATGGACCCTATGAATGGATAAGATCCTACGCTCCTTCCCGACAGCGTGCTGGTCATGGCTTCGCCAAGTGTACCGCTACACTGGAGACGCGGACGTGCGATCAGTTACCTCGATAGCCGAGACTTTGGTCATCAAGTATTGACAGATTGCACGTGCTGAGATGTTGTTGTGCATGACTGGCGCGCGATGCAAGATCACCGAGGGAAGCGGTTCAAACAATGTGTTCCATTCAAGAGTCTTCTGGCTCTACAGTCCACGACAAGCCCAAGGCTTTTCGCTCTGTGAATTTGTATCCTCTGAGCTCTGCATCCCACTTTTCCTTGTCTTCGATCACAAAGTCCGATCGATGGTAGAGGAGATCGTCGTAAGATCGCGAACGCTTCCAATTCTTACGAGGATGGAAATCTTCTCCAATCTTGTTCGAGCAGGTCACGTCGTCAGGAAGCTCTTTGGATCCCCAGGGTGAGATCTCAGCGGCAGGAAAACTACCTACGGAACCGAGATCGTGCATGAGGAATTCAAGCTCCGCTTCCCCTACCCGAGGCTGGCGACTCGCATATGCCAGTGTCCTGGAATTTGGCAGGAAGAGAGATGCACCCACCACATCTACTACCATTGTTTCGATTGTATCGTTCGGCTCTCCGCCCTGTTCAATGGCAATGCGGTGAAGTATCATGAAGTCCCTGATTACCAGAGTCATGCGAGCGAGCTGTTCCCGGGCGGATTTTTTGTCGGTATAGGCGTCTCGGATGTATTGGTCTGGCTCATCGATGATACGACAGAGTCGATCATAGTGTCTGACGACTTCCTCCTTGTGGCATTCGTCCATCGGAGCCGCGGAGAGGTCCGATATGGTGAAAGGGCATGTGTATTCCTGGTAAGTGTATTGTTCTGGGTAGATGTCTTCCAAGTCTGGCATGTTGAGCTTTGTTCTTTGGTTTGTTATAATTGTGGAGTGTGTTGGCTTTTTGATGTAACGGGGAGGTAAGAAGAAAAACATGGCAGATAATCATACCTTTCGTAACATTATTCACTGTTGCTTGGTTCTCGTAGCATTATTCACTGCTGCCATTACTGCGACACATGTTTGCTGCAATTCATCAACGTGCGACAATTCCATTCGTCGAAGGGTGATCTGCTCAGCCGATCATTGTGAAATCATTGAAGTCTGACCTTTGGGCTTGGAGAGCGGTTTTGTGCGTGTCACACTCCTGGTGGTAGAGATGCAAAGACGTCCCATCGGAACGATGTACAAGTTGTACGCCCGGTTCGTATCCTCTTATTCTGACGCAAGGTTGTTCTCGCAAGACGGATTTCACGTATATCCCCAATCGACTTGAGTCGTTCTAACCGCAGCTTGATCAAGAGCGTCCAAGGGCCGGTGAAATTGAAGATTGCCGCCACGAACAGGAAGCGACAAGCGCAAAAAGCAGCAGCCCCACGCAGAGTCAAATATGGACGATCGAATGTCTCACTGGATGTTGTCTTGTGAATCGTGCTGTCGTCGTTGCAGACATGACAAGATGGTGCCTGCTACAGGTAAGGTGGGGCGTCAACYTTCAATTTCCACGGGCCTCCTCGGGTAAACGTTCTTCCTCGCACCATCTATGACGTTCAATCGGAGGTCCCTCCCTGATGTGCTCCATCTTTTCAATTTATAAAGCCCCTAGCATTCAATCCATGTATCTAAAGTCAAACTCTTTGCTTTGATCACAACAAGTCAAATTCCACTATGGCACCCAAGATCTTCATCACGGGCGTTACAGGCTATATCGCCGGAGATGCACTCCACGTCCTCAATAATGCTCATCCAGAGTATGAGTACACTGCCCTCGTTCGCAGCCAAGAAAAAGCCGACAAAGTGAAGTCTGCATACCCAAAGATCAACATTGTCCTGGGAGGTCTGGACGACAGCAGCCTTTTGGAAGAGGAGGCTTCCAAGGCAGACATCGTTCTTCGTAAGTCTGCATCGCACATAATGTCGTTGTGAAAACCATTAACATGCTCGATAGATGCCGCAGACGCTTCCGATCACGAAGGAGCAGCAAAATCGATAGCTCGCGGTCTTGCCAAAGGTCACAGCAAGGAACACCCGGGCTTCTGGCTCCACACTGGCGGCACTGGTATTCTGACTTACTTTGACTCTTCTGCCGACAAACTGGGAGAATGGGAAGAGAAAGAGTTCAACGACTACTCCGGAGTCAGCCAACTCACCAATCTTCCCGATGAAGCTTTCCACCGCAATGTTGATAAGATTGTCCTGGAAGCTGGAGTAAAGAATGGAGATGTCGTTAAAACGGCCATCGTCTGCCCCCCAACGATCTACGGCCATGGTCGTGGACCTGTCAGTGGCCGTGGAAGACAGGTTTACGAGATGTCCAAGCTCATCCTGCAGAAGGGATATGCGCCGGTGATTGGACAGGGTAAAGCCAGATGGAACAATGTTCACGTGCACGACCTTTCGGACGTCTTTGTTCTGCTGGTTGAGGCAGCAGTGCAGAAGAACCTCAGTGATGAAATATGGGGTGAAAGAGGCTACTTCCTCACTGAAAACGGCGAGCATCTCTGGAGTGACTTGTCCAAGCTTGTCGCAAAGAAGGCCGCGGACCTGGGATACATCAACAAAGATCCCAAAGAGCAGTCGCTTAGCAAGCAGGAAGCATTGGACGTTGCAGGTTTCGAAGCTGTCAGTTGGGGTCTCAATTCCAGAGCAAAGGCGGAGCGTGCGAGAAAGGTATTAGGCTGGAAGCCAAGCAGACCTAGTCTGGAGGATGAGGTCGAGGACATTCTCAAGAGGGAGAAAGCTTTGCTGGGTTGATGCCGCTTAGCCAGTATGTCTGGAGAGTGGGTTATAGATTTGCAATATGAGGAGGCAGGCCCGGTGAAGTTGATAATTGCCGCCCTACCTACCACACTGAACATTGTTTTGCTCTCTGCAATGATAATGGCAGCCACGTTATGAAGACATTGGGCTCTCCGCAAGGCTGCTTCTTTTTGTGATTACAGTTTCCTGATAACGAGCGCTGTCGTCGGTTCACAAAAAAATACTACCGGCAACCTTCAGATTCACTGGCCTTTGGAGCCGCGGGTGGTCTGAGGTGGATATGCTTAAGAATAGACTCACAGATACGCTGTCTTCCAATGCTGGCTGCTCGATGACGGCCATTGTGCGAAATCTCAATCTCTGGAATCTGTTTGACCAGCGTTGTCAAATAGCAGTTCAATGTTTGTAGTGCTGTTACGCTGATATGCATTTACGCTATCAGATACTGGAAACACTCATGGCTCATCTTCCCGGGAACAATGCAAGCGCCATAATAAATGCAACGCCATTCCCACTTACCCACCCTCCCGCTAAACGAACGCATCAAACATGGCAAATGTGCAAATGGAACTCGACAAATGAAGTGCTACGAGAATTGATCCATGTATCAATACATCGAGCAACCGACCTCTGCCCTGCTGTATGCAACTTTAAAGAAACTCTGCATGGCAGAGTAATGGAAGAGAATGCCCCCCAAGACCGCCATATGCCAGATGTTGTGGCTCCCGCCTGCGTAATCAAACCAGCCGGGGAGGAATCGCTCCGGAATCTTGGCTGCGTAGAGGACAGCTCCGCCGAGATACACGGAAATCGATTTGACAATTGGCGCGTAGAAGAATGCAGTCGCTTCCCATCCTCTCTCGTAGGTGAGCTGGCCGACCGGCACGAATCCAGTAGCCGCTAGAGTAACGTAAAAACCCACTCGCGCCCAGGCCATGTCGGCCCTATTGAAGGTCGGGTGCCAGGGAAGGATAATCCCGGCGATACCAAGGGCAAACGTCGTCGAGAGGTAGATCCAGCGCGATGTTGGTTCACAGTAGAAGGCAGTGTATTCCGTCGTCATTATGCTTGCGGCAACAAGGAGAGAAATGCCAGTATAGTCTACGCAAGCAAAACGCTCCATCAATGTTTGGTTGGAAATCGAAGACATGGCATGCCACATGGTGCTACAGACCAGACATTTGCATGCAGCGAAGAAAAAGGCCCCGGCAATGACTATGTCGAATTTGGTTGCGTCGGTGAATGCTGGTGTGCTGGGATACCAGTAGAACGCTATCGCTAGCATGAGTACCAGACCGATAGCGTGTGACCAGATGTTGAAGAACTCGTTTGAGATGGTAAAGCAAGATCGAATGCAGTCCAGCTTGGTCTCGGAAAAGCGGTAGCCAGTCATGATATGAGGATTCACACGCCAGGGTTCCGGGAGCATCTCGTACGTTATGAGGCCGTGTGAGCGAGCTTGGGCGATTGCAGCGTCGATCTTCACCTTCATGGCATCCTTCGCTCGGCGAGCAGCATCGGCACCTTCTGAAAGAAGATCTCCTGCTTTGGAAGTCGTCTCGTCGATATAGGCCAAACTGGAGTCGAACATGGAGCCCGCGGTGGCTGACAGTCCAGCTTTGCGCATATCATATGCTCGCTTCTCCAACGCAGCTAGACTCTGCTCCAGCATCTTGACGCCTTCTGTCACCTTTTGCTCAAGGGTGTCCTTCTTTGTGAGAGCATCGCGGTAGTGTAGCTCGAGCGTGTCCACCAAGACTTTATGCCGCCTTCGTCCTGCGTCTAAGATATCGTCTGATACGGAAAGACATCGATCGTGGACGGAACGCAAAGTTTCATGGACACTTTGGATGCTCGAGTCAAGCTTGAGATGTCCGTATGTCTCCAGCATCTCCAATCTCCGGCCTAAATCGCCCAGGAATCGGTCGACGGCGATTTGTGCATTTTCGCGCTCTGCGGACCACGAGCGGGAATTGTATGAAGAGTGCCGTCTCCTCTGTCGCGCGCGGTCGGTTTCCAGGTGGAGGGAGGAGCCAGAAGATGCGCCGAGCGTGGGCTCCTCTTGTGTGAGGGTGGAGGTGGAGGAACTCGATCGGGTGCAGTATGTGGTGGGCGCCATGTTGAGTCGGAGCGGCAAGTGCAACCCTYGAGCAGATCTTTCAGCGTTATTCCAATCGGTCGAGGTTAATGTTGCTGTCGCCGGCTCGTTGTTGTAATCGATATGACCAAGAATAGCAATGTCGTCAGAGGGTAATTATAAGATTGCTTTCTTTAGGGAAATGAGAGCCCGAGGGAAAGTGGCGTCTGAGAAGGGACCGATTGAGGACGGACGATTCGGTACTTGGTTGTATGGAACATGGAAAGCCGGAGTCTCTATCCCTGTTCAATCATCGCGCTCATCGTGCATGAGATTTTCAAAGAATGTGGGACGGTGGGCACTTTGAGTGGTGGTGACGGCGCCGCGGTTCGGCTTCTCTTCAGGTCACCTCATCCTTTTAGTCTCAGGTGTGCAGACCACTCCACCAATAATTTTCCTCGGACTGCCGCTCTATGAGTGGCGGGGAGTTTCGATTTGGCTTAGCGTTCCAAGACAGTCTGGCTTTGAGATGTATGATTGGAGGAAGCCTCGCAGATTTTGCTCGTAGGGTCAGGGTTGGGGTAGTGGCTTTGGTCGATATTTCGATGAAAAGCCATTGCCAGATCTCTTGAGAGGCACTTCATTTCGACATCGAATACATGGCTGTTTTTCATGAGAAACAGGGCTTTGATTTGGGTATGCGCGTAATCGATGACTTTTATGAGCGTTTCTGTCAAATTCAGGAACGAACCAGTGATGAATGTGGAACGATGTAACTGACAATACCTAGGCGCATAATAAAAGGGCTGACAGATACGAGCCTGTCTATCGCTCATAGATAGAACAGTCGGAATTTACTTATTATATCCGTGCTTGTAAGAGCCATTGTGGCAGCAGCAATCATTTCGAGTGCTTCTCGGCTCGTTCCTGCAATTTCCATCACCAGCACGCAAGGGAGGCGCGTCTTCCTTCTTCCCCACATCAGCACACGAACACGAACATTATCAATGCAACAACTCAACCATGTCGGCGACGACTCTACAAACACAAGCGCGCAACGCGTATAAAGCCAAGGAGTATGATGTTGCCCTCACCCTCTTCAATCGTGCAATCGGCCGCGCTCCCTCGGTGCAACTGTACGACAATCGCGCCGCTTGCAATGTCAGGCTCAACGATCTGCCCGCAGCCTTGAAAGACGCCAAACACGCCATCCATCTCGGCCGCGAAGACGCAACGGGATACCTCCGCGCAGGCTCGGTGCTTTCGAAGATGGAGAAGCCGGAAGTAGCATTGAGCATCTATGCACACGGCCTGAAATGCGTAAGACATATTGGAGCCGGCTACGAGCAGTTGAAAAAGATGCACGAACAGGCCCTCGGATACTGCGCGCCAAAAAACAGCGTCGATCCCATGACGAGACTTCCACGCGAGCTGGCGCTGCAGGTGCTAGATTATCTCACCTTCAGAGAGCGGACAAAGGTTTCGAGGACCAGCCCAGGTTGGATGAAGTTCATCATGAGCGAGCCCAGATTCTGGCAAGACCTCAACCTCAGTGGGCCTAACAGCAAGAGAGTCCATTCGCGCTTCGTCAGTAAGGCGATCAACATTGCAAGAAAGAAGTTGACAGCCGCGACACTCCACAACCTGACCGACTTTGACAAGACACTGTTCGCATTGGCACGTCACTGCCCGCTTGAGAAGCTCACACTAGACGCAACCGGTCTGCGAGGAATGGAATTCGTTCGCGCCCTTGAGCCAGCGACCACATTGAAAGAACTGCGTATCTTGAAGGATACTGAAATGGGCGAGACGATCCTTCGAGCCGTGATGCAGCAGCACCAGTCTCGGCTCGAAGTACTCCAAGTTGCTCACATCAAGCGTCTGACATCGCCCGCTCATTGGACTCCTGTTCTGTCCGAACTTTCACGACTCCGAGAGTTTAATCTAACCATTGGCTATTCCGAGTCGGGCTTGTCCGATATACTAGCTGCCCTTGTAGCAGGAGCGCCTTTGTTACAACGTCTGACTTTCCACCAGCACGTGGGCGGCAGTGGAATTGGACCAGTCRATTTAGATCTGAGCGGCTGCAAGAACCTGACACATTTGGATTTGCAAGTCCTCATGAACACTGCCAGCGACGTCAGCTTTCCCACAAGCCTCAGATATTTGAAGCTTGCTTTGATAAGCGGATTCGCCAGGCCCGAATTCTTCGCTCAAGATTCTTCACAGTTGGCCGACTTGGCCAATCTCGAAGAGGCGCACATTCTCGTGCCTGGTATGGACTTTGATCGTTTTACATCGCTCTTCGATCTCCACAAGCATTCAGTGAGCGGGGTTGTTCCGTCCCTCAAGGTACTTTCTCTACTTCGGCCGTCCATTCCCGCGCATGCAATGCTGGAGATGCCTCCGCGACTTCACTCGATGGAGCGGCTATCACTGCGCGAGTGCCTGGATCTGACCGACGACAAGCTGGAGCAGATCATGATGCAGCTTCCGAAATTGGAAGTCCTTGACGTGAGAGGCTCAAAGATTACAGGCGCGAGCCTCAAGACTGTCATATACGGAGCCAAACGAATTCAGGTCGAGCAAGTCGACGGAGCTGTCGACGGGATCACTCCATTGGAGGGGAAAAGCATGGTCAAAGAGCTGATCCTCAATGACTGTGCGGATCTTGGAAGAGATGCTGTGGATTGGGCGAGAGCTATGGGCGTGAAGGTCACCTACAAAATGACCGGACTTGAGAAGGGTTCGAAGAAAATTCGGTATTGACACTAACCGGACCACCACACCGAAACACAGCTATCTTACCACACCGCAACGCCTCTCCGACCATCTGAATCGGAAAGACATCTCGCAACTGTCTCCATTGCTAATTGTGAAAAGGAGGCTTTGTATCAATTCAATGTCGACGCTGGGCGGGACACCACACGGTTCTAAATCGATGGGAGCGCATTCAGCTATGCCATTCACTTGCTGCCGTCGCCCTCTCGAAGCGAGGAGCACCAGCATGTCTGCTTGTTACTGGCCTTCAAGAGAGTTCCCTGACCTGCGTTCTGGTGAGTGCATAACATGCATTAAAATTGACACATTCGGTGCATGTGAAACATTGCACTTGCAACTACCGCTCGTCACAGGTAAGGTACCGTAGGAGTGAAGTTCAACAATTACCACTCTCTGCCACGTCTGAAGTGTGGTAGCATCGCAACACTAGCAAAAGTATCTCTTACGAGACCACCAATGGCAGCACAACGTGCCTATGAAAATCCTCGGCACCTCGGTGGCGTCACGAGGGAAACACATTCGTATATAGCGCGCCTATGACACGGTCAACAAAGAACAGAATCCAAGCAGCACTACCCACAACGTCGCGCAAATCACCACCATGCGTGCCTTCAACCTTCTCCTCGTCGCGCCACTCGCTCTCGCTTCCGTCGTGAAACGACAATCGGCCTCCGCCACCAACGAGGGAATCACTGCCATCAGCGAGGCTGTTGAGGCTCTCACCAATGCTGTAAACGCCTACAAGGGCGGTGCTGTCGAGGCCGGACCAGTCTTCAATGCATCATTGGAAGTGCATCGTGTAAATCGTGCGGCCAAAGCTGCTGCTGATGCCTCTGGACGCTTTTCATCCGAGGAATCAAAGGCCATTGTCGACAATGTCTTCTCCAGCGTCGGTGTTACTATTCCAATCTCTGTGAAGGCTATTGAGGCGAAGAAGCCGTATGTCCTTGGATCCTGTCCACCGTAGCAAGTGGCTCGAGCTGATGGTGTCTGTGATAGTTTGTTCGATGCGGCAGAGATCACGAGTTTGGTCAAGGCTACGATTGATCTTTTGCAGTTTGATCACAGGACGTTTTCGCTTTCTACTGGTATGTTTCCATCGAGTGCTACGACTCCATTGCCGGGTTAGCTAATGTGGTTGTACATAGGTGCTAAGTTGAGTTTAGACCAAGTTGCGAGCGGGCTGATTGGTGCTGGCGAGATCGATGCCGTGCTCACGGGCGCGTCTCTGTTTTATACACTTTGAGAAGTGATCGCGTGTCGCCAGCTTTTGTAGCCACATATCAAGGTGCGGTCATCGTGTGGACAGCCATAGCTTCGGCCCATGTTTTTTTTATAAACCCCATGAACATTCACCGGTTTTCGGGCAGATGACACCAAAAATCTCATGATCCATCATCAGGCATCACTCCGGTCCACTTCTCGGTGGCGACAATGGATTGGAGACTATGACATTGGTATGATAATGATATGAGTGACAAACAGGGATAGATTTGCAAGCGAAATATCGATGCGTGCCAAGAGCGTTCGCGTCTTCCACTTGCACCGTGCACTACGGAGTAGTCTTAACGAAGTATTCAACTCCTTTATATGTCATAAGAAAGCTCTCCAGCCTCGCCTTCCGTTCAGGAGAGTACACTGTAAGTGCTTTTGACGCTATCAAACTGATCGAACGGTCGCGGAGGACTTTAGACCTTCCGGCTGCCGCTCCCCTCACCTCGAGTGGAGTCAATTGTGCTACCCAATACCACTACAAAACGGAGAGCACAAATCTCTTGCCTGCGAGCTTCTGGAAGTGTGCAGAGCGAAGGTACAAGTCACCCGGCTGCCCTCTCACGGACTGAGAGTTCAGTAAATCGAAAGAGAGAGTGCCCAACATGGCAATTCTTGGAAATGCATTTRCATTCATTTTCGGAATCGGACTCCGGGTCGTTGTCGCTGTGAGTAGAGCCATTCGTTCCCAAAAATTTCATTCTCCCACTAACCTTGAGCATAGGTCCTCGCAGCCGTAGTATTGAAGCTTCTGTACAACATTTCCCCTCTCCATCCCCTATCCAAGTATCCAGGACCCATCCACTGGCGAGCCACCAGATTATTCGCATCGTACCACCACGCCTCAGGAACTCTCTTCCAGCAAATCGAAGCAGCGCATGAGAAATACGGACCAACAGTCCGTATCGCACCCGATGAGCTTTCTTTCACGTCTCCGGAAGCATGGCCTCAAATCTACAATTCCCGGCCACAACTCGTCAAATCCCAATTCCACTTCGCAGTGAGTGACAACGCAAGACTACCCACGAGTATGATCATGGCCGAAGACGCGGAACACACTCGACTCCGCCGACTCGCTGGTCCGGCGTTTCTGAACAGTGGTGTTGCGGAAGTGGAGTCCGTGTTACAGAAACACGTCAACAGGCTCTGCTCTCAATTGGCTGTTGTCAGCAAGGAAGGCTCGCAGGACATGGGTGAATGGTTTTTGTGGGCTCTCAATGATGTTATCGGGCAGCTGGCTCTGGACCAGGATTTTGAATGTCTGGAAAAGAGAAGAATGCATCCTTGGCCGGCGTTTCTTCTCGGAGCCCTGAAGCGGACTGCAGCGCTCAACCAGTTCAGAAGGTTTGGCATCTCTCTCAAATGGCTGCAGCCCCTGCTGTCTGAAAAGGCAAAAGCCGATATCGAGACTTTCTTCATGACTGCCAAGACTGCCATCGAAAAGCGACTTGCGCGGGAAAAGGCCGAGAGTGCTGAAGAGATCCAAGGGGATAAGAAACGGCCGGATATCGTCGGCCTCATGCTGAGGGAGATTAAGGGTGGAGAGAAGCTAACAGACGAGGAAATCATCTCCAACTCGATCCTTATTGTCGGCGGAGGTGCGGAGACGACGAGCACCTGTCTGAGTGGAACGCTCTATCATCTGTGCAAGACACCGCAGGCTATGCAGAAGTTGAGAGAAGAGGTTCGAGGTAGTTTCGCCTCCGCAGATGAGATCACCCTCAAAGCTGTCGCGGAAATGCCTTATTTGAAAGCTGTGATCGAGGAAGGGCTAAGAATGTTTCCCGTGGCAAGCTACATCACGCCGAGGGTGACTCCGGCAGGTGGACATGTCATAAACGGAGAGATTGTTCCTGGAGGGGTGAGTACGGTCAATAATTACGGGAGGCCAAAGCTAACCATGCCAGACTCACGTGTCCATGGGCCAATGGGGTATGGGACGATCCGAGCGGCTTTTCGACAAAGCCAAAGAGTTCAAGCCTGAACGATGGCTGGAGTTGGATGTTCAAGAAGCCTCTGGTCGGCGTGTGGACGATATCATGAAGCCCTTCAGCATGGGGTGAGTACGAGAACATCAGATCTCCGGGGTCCTACTGACTTTGGCATGCAAAGTCCACGCAACTGTGTAGGAAAAGCCTTGGCGCTTGCGGAAGCGCGATTGGTGATGGCGAAGCTGATGTGGCATTTCGACTTGGAGCTTGACGGTGACCACGCCAATTGGGTCCGAGATGCACGATTCTATGTTAGTTGTGAAAAGAAACCTAGCTCACTGATCCAGGGATTGCGCTAATCGTAAATGACAGATTCTCTGGCAGCTGCAGCCGCTCAAGATTCGCATCAAGCCCGCGAGATAGACCTTTCGAACGCTTCATGTCATGCTCATGCTCATGCTGTCCGCTGGAGATGCTGAGCCTAGTGCAAATATGACCGACCAGACCCGCTTCTGTCTTCAAAATTGTACACGAGGTACGGGCCCACCTGTTCAAGTGCGTCCCTCGAGGTGTGCGATCATCAAATCCCCCAACGACTTGGCAGCCCCTGCCCGTAGGTAGGGTCAACCACATAATGCACATCTCTCATCTCAAACCRCCCCCTCTCAAGCCTCCGGAACGCCACATTTGTATTCTCTCACATCAGTTGGTGTATGCGATGCGTCGCTCCGCCCGCGTTCCTCGCAGGCAGTCTGTTGAAAAGCCTTATTTGACATGAAGGACATGATTGTTTCTCTCTCAACAATCCAGCAAGACACATGCCACCAGATAAATGCCCGCAGGGGAAGGTCCTCGCGGGTATTTTGACGTGATCCTGGCATATGGGACACAGGCCTGATCCGTGGGCGTGATATTTAGAGTATCACGCTTAATCCAGCCTTGTGCTTCAAGCRACAAGATTAGGAGGCGCCGGCGGGTTTGATTCACAGGTAAATCTTCCTGAGGGTTACGCGATCCGGTAGGACGGGTGTCCGATGCTGTTGTATTCCATGATCAATGAAGGAGAGCAGTACTTCGCGCCAGTTCGCTGTCGTGGTATATGCTTCGCTCTTTTACCCGTGTGGTCCGACTTACGTAGACGTGTAATCAAGACCACCAGAGCGCTCGGCGAAGGTGGAAAATGGTAGTCCAGGTTTGCCGTCGTCCGGTTGACTTTAGAACCGCCTTGCTGTATGCAACAGCAATGGATTACATTCCAATATCTCCTGAGGCCCGGTCAAACCATACTGGTCTGCTTTTGGGGCTCCTTCGAATGGCGAGAGCCTAGTCTGTACTCTGAATGCCTGCGCCTCAACGATCGAATCTCGCCTTCTTGCCCTTTCCGGCACTCTCTGCCACGAAATCGACGCCTCGCTTTTGCTGCTTCTTCTCCCGCCGCTCACTCGCCTTGACCAGCGCAGCGGCTTGACACTCATCTGGCCATCGTAAAACAACGCCCAATCCCTCGCCCAAGCTCGAGGCATATGAATCTTCACGAGATATTCCAGCAAAAGCCATCAACTTCTCTAGCAAAGCAGGATTCCTCAATGCCGAGCTTCCCTCTAGACGAGCATTGAAGTGTACGCCTTGTCGTTTGAGGTCGAGAAAGCGCTCAAACTTCTTTGTTCGGGCCGCGAGAGCCGCGGATGATTCCGAGTTTGTGGGAGGAGGAGGCGGACTTGCTGGGATGGAGAAGTTGGGCGTTGTCGGCATTGTGAGATTGCGAAGTGTTGTGCGGTTGGTGCTGTATGGTGAGGACTCGAGTGAGTTAGATTGAGGCAGCGCAGACGGGTGTTGCTCTGGTTCTTGTTCTGGTTGTGGTAGAKGTGCGGGTCCTTGGGGTCCGTTCTGTGGAGGTGGAGGTTGGAGTTGTGTTGGCGGTGCTGTCTTTGTTTCTGTTGGCAGTGCTCGAGATGGGTAGTGTTGGATCTCGTCCTCGTCATCGCTGCTGGCGTAGGAGATGAGTGAGTTCATGGCGATCGCGTGATATGCATCGAAAGTCCAAGGCAGTGTTGGGTGCTACTTTTATCACTAGCGCGGTAGTTGATAGTTCTAGAGAAGGTGCGATGCGATGCGCGTCAAGCTCCTGCCTGACCTGAGCTCTTGTGAACTCYCCATCATCCAACATCACCGACTTCACAAACACATCCCTCAAACACCACACCTCGACACCGCATCATCCGCCGAAACAATCCTTTCTCGAATTCCTGCACCTCTCAACTACAACTACATCCAGCAAGATGAACCACCTTCCGCAGGCGTGGGGCAGAGTGAGCAACATCGCCATCACCGCCATCACAATCCACACTGACAATACTACTCACAGCCGCGCGACGATGTCTATGGCAGCTACAACCCAACCTACCTCCCTCAATCACACGGCGGCACCCAGCAACCCATCACTCACACGCAATCGCCCATTGTCACCGGAACATCGGTCATCGCCCTCAAGTTCAGCACGGGAGTCGTCATCGCCGCCGACAATCTCGCATCATACGGCTCCCTCGCCCGATTTACGGATGTTCACCGCATTAAGCCCTTCAACAAGAAATCCGTTGTCGGATTCGGCGGCGACGTCAGCGATATGCAGTACCTCGACCGTCTGCTCAATTCCCTCAATATCGAAGAGAACTACTCGGGCATTGATGAAGGAGAAGACGCCGCCATGATGAACGCCAAGAACCTGCACACATACCTCGCAAAGGTCATGTACAAGCGACGTACCGACTTCAACCCACTGTGGAATGCGCTGTTGATCGTTGGGCTGGACGAGAAGAACAAGCCATTCCTGGCTTCCGCAGATCTCTTGGGCACAACCTTTAGCGCACCGACGCTGGCAACCGGATTTGGTGCACATCTCGCACAGCCGATCCTAAGAAGGGCGGTACCGGATGAGGCGGCGGCAGCCAAGTTGAGTAGGGAGGATGCAGTCGCAGCAGTCAAGGCGTGCATGAAGGTGCTGTTTTACCGCGATGCGCGCAGCATGAACGAGTACTCCATCGCCGTGGTTGACGAGAAGGGCGTGGAGCTGCACCAGGATGAGAAGCTGGAGAACCAGAGCTGGGACTTTGCGGATAAGATCAGAGGCTATGGTACCCAAACTGCTTGAGAGGGAGTAGATTGGTACGGTGAGAACGGTGGAATTATTCACGAGACTGTGTGACTAGACGAGACAAAGCATACTGTATTACGAAAGAGTTCGTTCAGATGGACAGCTTGTCAGGATCTTACACGAGTGCTGCGATGTTGCAAGCTTACGTTCAGCTGACACGATTCCTGCCACATACAAGGAGCAGTGAAGGCGTGATCGACTGTCTAGTACAGCACATCCCCCGCATCCTCTCCCTTGACCGGGGACGAAACATCCACCCCAACAGCCTGTTTAGCAAACTTTCTCTCGCCCTCATCCTMAATGCACATCTCCCCATTCTTCGCCAGCTCCAGCTCCTCGGGACTTGCAAGCCTCTTTTCTCCACTCAGCGGATTCCACACCCAACCCTCCCGCATCCACATCCACCTGAGACAAGCCCTGAGCTCCTTATCCCCAGGCAAGACCCTCTTCCACTCCGCCTCGAATCCACCTTTGTTGCCACCTTCTGCTCCCTTCCCATCGTAGTCCTTTGCAACGCCCCTGAAGACATCACGACAGAATACCCTCCAACTATCGTAAGCATACGCTCCACATCCCGGCATATGCCCAATCTCGATACTCCCTTTGCAAACTTCAATATCCTCTTCAGCAATATCCGGAACTTCTCTGGCCCTGCCGTCTCCTTGTAGTGGATAGTTCAACGTTCTGTACGTCATGCCTTTGACAGGAGGTGACGCAACCCAAGCCTTAGCCATGGTAATCAGCCTCTTACTTCTAGCGTTCTGTAAACCAAGCGTCTTGACCATCTCCAGAAGCGCTTCAGGGTTCGCTTCTGCGAGCTGCTCGGGGGTCGGGAAGAGTTTCTTGACTTTCCAGAAGATGGGCACAGCGGCGCGGCCGGTGGTCTTGTTGAGAAATGTTACGGCAATAAGAAGCCAGAATGGCTCGTCCCAGAGTTTCTCTTGGATGATGCCGAAGGCTGAGGCAGTCAGAGCTGGGACGGGGACGATGGATGTTCCTGCGGGAGCCCGGCGCGAGGAAGAAGTTGTGTTATAAAGATCCACGCGGTCTGTGATGAAGTGTGGGGACTTTGTGCCGGTGGTTTTCTTCGGCGCGCGCTTTGGTCTGCTAGGAGTGATTGGGGCCGATTCCTTGGATTCCTGCTCCTCTTTCACACCTTTGGCTGAGGTAGACGTTTCATGCTCTTCGATGGCACTTGATGCTGGCACCGCCTCTTTGGATTTTGCAAAGTTCGGGGTTTTCAGCAACTTTTCCAGGTGGTCCAGCGGATCATCACTGGCTTTGGGCGGAGAACTCCGAGGAACTGGCTTCGGTAGAGACAAAGTCTCGCCTGTCAGGTCAACGTATGCGATCGGTCGAGTCTCTAGCTGGCCTGTCAATTCTGAACGCTGACCGGTCAGATCAACATATGCAATTCGTTGGCTAGAAAGCATAGCTGGCCAAGGCTTGACCTCTGGGAGATTGTTCTGCTCACCTCCGTGGGTTTCGTCTGAAGGAGTTTCTTGTCGAGTGGACCGACGCCGAGAAGCCACCTGGATCTCATCGCCATCAAACTCATCGTCTGCGTGTACCCAAGTCGCATCATATTGAGAAGACATCCGAGATTGTACTGGGTTCTCCACCCTAGAATCTCGTTGTGCCGCTGTTCGCTTACTTTGCCGTGGCATCGTCAGCGGGTCCTCCGATCGCTTTGACTTAGAGAAGTGCTTGCTAGTCATTCCCGTAATCTTACGCCTTGCATCAGGAACTCTCTTCACGATGACCTTCGGTGATGCCGGCGGTACCTGAGGCACCTCAGCCTGRGATGCTCGTGTCCTCTTGGAAATGCGTCGCGTAGTGACGGACGTCTGGGGCTCAACGACGGGCGGAGGGGGCGTTGGAGAATGGCTCAGCTCTTCCAGAATGCTCGAAGATAACTTGGAATCTAAGGAGGACTCTCTTTCGGGTTGGCTATCCTTCATGTCTTCGTCTTCGTCCTCTGCATGATCTCTCGAAGCAACTCTCAGCGCCACCACAATGTTGCCCTCGTCATCCGAAACAGAACCTGTTGATACGCCTTCTATGTCCTGCTCCCCATCCTCCTCGCCGACTTCAGCCATACTATTGCTGYCGCTTGATGCGGAGCCGTCATCGGGCAGTGCAGTCGGGCTTTCCTGCAGGGTTATTGGCTCCAGCACCAGCTCGCTGTGACGACTAGAAGATCTCGTTATAAGTGGGCTCTTCCGGATAGGAGATTTGGTCGACGTACTGGATGGTAGAGCTCTGGTGGAGCTGCAAACGTCTTCAAGTACTTCAGTGACCGCCTCGTACATGTCCTGGGTCGACTCTTGAGCATCGAGGTTGAAATGCCTCGCAGCTTGTGTCATAGGGACCGCATGAAGCGAAGGAGACGGTATCTCAGCTCGGCCATGCTTTTCTGCTCCGTCGTCTGACAGTGCGTCGCTGGAGATTGTTGCAGCATCCTGTATCTGAGTATCACCGTCTTGAGATTTGTGGAATTTGGGCGGAAAAGCGAGATCGCTTCTCGCGTCAAGAGGTGATGGACTTCCATGCTCGTCCGTAGGCTGACTCTCCTCAATGGCCTCATCGAGTGTGGCCTGCAGCTGGGAGTTCGGGGACACTTTGGTGGTCGTCACTGAGCCTTCGTTGATTTGATCTGCGAAGCTTTCCGAGACAGAGCCTTGCACCACTGGCCGAGCGGCCACTTCATCATCCGAGGAATCGGTTGAATCATCATCTGAAAGTTCGCTGTCGCTTCCATCGACGAGGGCTGACATGCGCTTGAAGGCTTCTTCGCCATTGCTCCAGCCCAGGTTATTGGGGATGCTGGAAAGCCTACGCTCGGTCGCCGGGGGATAAATGACGTGAAGAGTCTTCTGTCGTTTCGGTGGAGGCTGAGTGAACGTGTCATGCTGCTGCTGACTCGAGGTCGAATCATCGTTGCCGCCTGCACTCAGAACCGATTTGCTCGGTTGCCAGACTGATCCATTCACGTCATGCCACTGCTTACTCGCTGGGACGCACAATCTGGTGAAGCCAAGCGGTTGCGGCGAAATGGGTTGAGAGGTCGTATTCTTCGGCTGTCGATTCGAGCTTTGATCATCGATGCCACCTGCATGGGTTTTATGTTGACCCGGCTGCCAGACAGATCCGTCCGCGTTATGCCACTGCTTCTTTGGCGCAATGCACAATCTGGTGAAGCCAAGTGCATGCGCCGGCTGGGGTTTAGTGGCGCTGATGCTCTGAGCATTGCTGGCTGATTGTAGCCTGGACGGAACTTTTCTTAACGGTACGCCGGTACCCTTTGGCTCGTTTCCTGTCAGCACCTTGACGGTGTTCTTCTTGCGCCATTCCTTCTCCTGCTTTTTGGTGAGCCCATCAGGTATGTAGAGATCCTGAACATATCTCGCGCGCCAGGTCTTGCGCTCGAATTTGGAAAGTTTCAGCACATCAGTAGGTAGCTCTGGGACACCACGAGAGTCCCAATATGGTTCCGATTTAGGCGCCATGTGGTTGTTGACATGTTGGTGGTTCTTTCTGAAATGATTGCTGGGTGTTGCAGAAAGTAAAGTAGGCGAACCCGCGACGTCGGTACGCTAGTTCTAGCCGAGCCGGGAGATCCTTCCACAATTGAACCCTGCTCCGCGACAGGTCGCATTATGCTTCGACCTTCCATTTTACGGGAGGCAACAGAGGAAGGAGAGCCAACAATGGTGAAGGCTCAGCCTCAGGAGTGGATTGCTCAAATGCGACCTCTAACGGATGGGAGTGGGGTCTGTGACACGAAAACGTCTCGAAATCAGCGCATCCTCGAAGAACCTACCCCTGAGGGACGTCGACATGGAAAGGCAGGTAATTGCAGGAGCAGGGCATCGAACTGTACGTGCACCACTTTCAGCACACTTCTTCTCGGCTACTTGTGCCATGAAATAGAAGACACATTCGAGTTTGAAAGTCAGCTGACAGGCAAATTGAGGGAAGGATCAATAAAGTGTTCCTACCTTACCTACCTTACCTGCATCTCCCAGACCCTGCCGACTGTATGTCCATCCTGGTGGAGATTCGCAACCTCCCGAGCTCTTTGGACGATAAACCCCATATCATGAGATCAACAACTGGTACGTCTGCCTCCTCGGGATCGTGAAGGACATATCGATTGATAGCTGAACAGATGTGACGGGAGAAGAAGGACTGGAGAAAGAGTCTCGTTCCTAGGAGCTCATCCTCTTGCGAAAAGCTTCACAGTGAGAAGCCTCATCAGGTAATGACTACCTAAGTTGGCTCGAACGGGTCGTCCTTGGTGAGCCCACCGACGCCTCTCAATTGGTTGCTTGAGGTTCTCCATGTGTACGACATGATAGGCACATATATGCTGTAAACAGAGTGACGTTTCCGAAGTTTGCCYTGGACGGAACGCCTGATGGACCGTGGTCGCCAAGGCTCTCAGGACATAGCAAGAAGTCTTGCTACCTTACCTTGGAGAGAGCCGACGTCAGGCAATCTGATTCACTTCAAGTAAGTAGTGAAGATTTACTCGTATTTCAATTTTATTTGGCGCAAACAAGGAAGCCAAACTTCACCTCACTTCAACGAACATCCCACCACACAGCGTCATTTGTTTCTCTCTCTCCAATTCACGTGCTCTCAACAAAAACAGCGTCGACCACCCGTCTGGAAAAACAAAGGTACGTACAAAGTATGAGCACGAGTGAGAAGGAGCTGGGCGGCAGCGGCGAGCCGGAGGTGATGGTAGCTCAGGATGAGTCGGTCATTGAAGCTCCGGGTGTGACGGTCGTTGAAGCTCTGGGCAAGACGGAGGTGACAGCTCTGAAGATGGAATGCGWAGAGCTCAAGGGGAGAATCAAAGAGCTTGAGCAGGAAAGTGAAGATCAACGTGAGGAAACTCTTCAGGGATTCTCATATTCGGTGCAAAATTGGCATCGTAAGGAAGCGGAGTATCGAGAAGAAATCACGCTACTAAAGGCAGCTGTCGACCACGGAAGATATCCGACGTCCTTGGAGAAATGCCAACTGGAGACTGTGAAGGTGAAGACGAACCACACGCAAGAAGAGTGCGAGAGTCTAGGGCGCGACTACGAGAAGCTGAAGAAGCACACCCTCGAACTGCATAAACGTCACAAAGCAACACGGGAAGCAAATGAGGCGATCAAGAAGGACACCCAAGACCTCTACCGAGCAAATGGAGAATTCGCAGTTGAGGTTACAAAAGGCATGACAGAACGACAGGCTTTAAAGGACAAAGTCCTGCAACTTTCGGGACAGAAACAGGCTTTGGCGATCGAAGCCCGGCGACTATTGCTGCAACGACAGGATTACGCACTACAAGAAGAGAACAAGTCACTACAAAAAGGGAACAAAAGACTGCAGGAACAGAACAAGACATTGGTGGCGGATAACCTCCTCCTTCACCAAGCGAAGGAAGAGATTGCGGACACAGTCAAACGAAGTATGCTCGTCTGCATCGCAGCCCAAGCTCGCAGCGACCGAACGATCGCGGCTTTGAGCAAGATATTTGTGGAGCAACAAGAATCCAACAAGGAGGAGGGAATCACAGAGACCGAGAGAATGGTCATCGACCATTGTCTGCGACAACTCACGCACGAAGAGCAAGCGAAGTTTTTGTGCGAGTAAGTGCGGGTTGGGACCTCCGAGATCTTGTGACCCTACTGACTATCCCTCTTACGTAGGTGTGGATCTCTCGATGGAGGTTTCGTATTCCGCAACCAAGTTCGGAGAGAGATGGATGCCATTGCAAGGGATCCAGAGCGGCTGGCCGGACTGATGGGCGAGCAAGAAGGCACGAAGGCTCCAAGTCAGGAGCAGCAACAGCGAGAGAAGCGTAAGCCAAAGCCAAAGTTCAGAAAGCGTTGATGATCCCGGTGGTGGTGGAGGTGGAAAGGTCACTCAGTGGTGGAGAAGTCGTGGACTCATCGAGGTCTGTCCGTGATAAGCTGCTGAACGCTGTACATGATGCACAGGCATTGCCAGTCATCACAAAGCGTGTTCAGTCAATGAGCGAATGAGAACAAGGCCTCCCGCAATTTTGTCAAGTCCCACTTTTGCACAATTCCATATCGTGAAGTCTTCACCGCACGTTCCATGTCGTGGTTCAACTTTAGACCCTAGAGGTAGAACTAGCTTTCGGATCCAACCGAAGGGTCGGTCCACAAAATTCCATCCCGTCTGATTTCGTCGGCGAACTTCAGCACCCACATCCTTTGCGACCATCCTCCACCACCGCCGCAATGGGACTCAGCGGCGTCAAGAACAAGACCAAACTCGCCCACGATCCCAACAATACCAACTGGTCCAAGTCCACGGAAAACTTTGGCCACAAGATCCTCAGGGCGCAGGGATGGAAGCCCGGCGATTATCTCGGAGCGGAAAATGCAGCGCATTCGTCGCATTACACCGCCGCCAATGCCTCACATATTCGCGTTGTGCTACGAGAGGAAAACATKGGGATTGGAGTTCAAGTTGGCAAAGGGAACGCTGAAAACTTTGGGTTGAGCATGTTTTCTGGCTTGCTGGGCCGCCTGAATGGAAAAAGCGACGAGGAGCTGGAGAAGAAGCAGAATGCGCTCAGAGATGTAGAGCTTGGCAGTTTTCATGCAAGGAAATACGGCAGCATGAACTTTGTGAGTGGAGGACTTTTGGTTGGCGACAAGATGGAGTTCCCGAAATCAACTGTGCTGCCCAGCAAGAAGAGGAAGGCCGAGGATGAGGGAGTGGCGAAGGAGCTGGAGGTTAAGAAAACGAAGAAGAGTGAGACAGCAGACATCAACTCGTCTGCTGACGTCGAGGTCGAGCAAGGAAAGAAAGAGAAAAAGGAGCGCAAGAAGCGGAAAGAGCTGGAGGCCAAGGCCAAAGCGGAGAGGCGGCTGCAAAAAGCTGCGCGGAAAGCCGGGAAATCTTCCAAATCGTCCTCGAACGACGATGGCGAAAAGGCCAGGCTAAAAGCAGAAAAGCGAGCCCGCAAAGAAGAGCGGAGGGCGCGGAAAGAAGAGAAGCGTGCGAAGAGAGCTGCAAAGGACAGCACGCGGTCTAAACCTCACACGGGAGCATCAGACTCGAGCAGCGAGAGCGACGAAACTGCAACGCCCCCTGAGCCCAGCACAGTTTTTGGTGGAAGGCACGCGGTGAGGCAGAGATATATCATGCAGAAGCGAAGGGCACACATGGACCCGCAGGCTTTGAAGGAGATTTTCATGCTGCAAGCAAAGGCAGCTGCTTCATGATTCAGTAAACACAGCCTCGTTGACGTTGGCTGGGACGTACAATGGGAACGGCTTTCACAATTCAGCCTAGAAGGTCTCCGACGACTGACCCGCTTTCTAATTTTCTCCTCATCGTTCAGCAACATTGTGTTCGACACGGCCTCGCTATGTGACTTCAACAAACAGCACATCAAAGCGCCACAGGACCTCGATCATGAGAACCTGTTGGAGGTCACAAAGCGCTGATTTCAGCAGCGGGCCACGCACTGCTTCTGGCGCAGCTTGCAGCCCATCATCTGCCGCTTTCAAGTCCTCTGACTGTTTCCCAAGGCCCATTGCGTCTACCATACCACCCCTGTACTTCCAGAACAACGAGCAAACATCCGCCATCCACCATCCAGTATCATCATCCAGCCATGCCGACGCCACTTGTACTGAGGCCGGCTATGTCCACTTCACCCATGGAAACTCTCACCACGGCTCAACTCAACGCTCTACACGGAGTCCGCGTCGGCGACATTATCCTCGTTGAACCCGAGTCACCTCGGGCAGCATCATGTCTCGTCCTTGTTTATACCATCGCCAGCAACCACCGGCACTCTTTCAGTGTAGCAGTGAAGGGCATATATGAGATCAACCCTGCCAACCTCTTTGATTGTCAACGTTACGGAGCTTGGAACCTCGACTGCATGACCCTTGACTGGCACGGGATGCCTCTGGAGGCTATGCTCTCGCCGACGGATAGCCTCACACTGAATCCGACMATTGAAACGCTGACGATGAGATACTTCGGCGGCATTTGTCTCTATCAGAATTGTGTGGCTGGGTTGGTCCGCAAGAGCCCAGTRACGGTGAACGATGTCCACTTTCGAGAAACAGAAAGCAGAGCTGGGCGAGAAGTGTGGACGCTCTGTCCATTCTGCATGGGGTCGGACTTTCAACAGAAGCATGAGTGTCTGGTCACTGTGAGTACAATCTCCAAGTACTGCGGTGTTGTCCAATACTAACAGCATGCGTCTAGTGCTCCTACCTGGACAGGTACACGGAGAGTGTCATGCGAGCCCATCTTCAAGCCATAAATGCTAAGCGTGTGGAAAGGAACTATGCACCTCTACCGCACGACGTGGATCTGGTGGTGTTGGGTGGTCTGCAAACGCTTTCTGCTGGTTACCAGAGCAGACGATCCTCGCCAACTCCCGAGCACACTTCAAGACCAGTCCGGAGACATCCAGTTCCCGAGCCGATTCAGACCAGACACTCCTCGAGGAGGGCTTTGCAATGGGCCGGGGGACCCAGACTCTCGTCCCACTCGTTGAGGTGGTTCCAAATCGCGCAGGAGAGGGTCGCGAATGACATATGCGGACTGTGCCAACAAGACTACGTCGAGGGGGAAAGGATTGTTGATCTCAGATGCGAGCACTTCTACCATGAGAGATGTTTGGAGGAGTACTTTCAAGCTCAGAGGTATGATCGGAAGCCTGAGGCGTGTCCTTTGTGCCGGCGGCCGGTCAGCAGTTGATTTTGTGTTACATGGTGGGTTGCGGAGGCCGGTTGAGGTAGACATCGAGAGTTCATAGATTTGCAATCTGCAGCGAAGCCCTTGCATGGCTTGACAGTTCAGCGAAGCATTGCAGTTTCTGTAGCAAATGTGGATGCTTGTGAGTGCACGAACATTCGAGGAGAATTCCAAGGCACCGTCTACTACAAAGAGTACGATGCTGGTAGTTCGCATGAAGGGTCGCATGTATTTGACAAAATGCCAACCAGACTTGGAGCAGACATACATGGCAGAGATGCACGCGTGACGTGTGTCCGCAAGACAGCGGTGCACTTGTTGAGGAATGTACGTCTAATAAATAGTCCTTTTGRGCCACTGGACAAAGGCTCGCAAGGGTGGAGAAGACGAGGTGCTGCTTACACCGAATGGTTGATCTTCCACAGATTGATGAAGTTATCTTGGCAGGCACTGAAAAAGGCCAGGAAGAAGGCAAATCGTGGGGTCTTTTTGGTCGCGCCGAAAGGCAGAGCAGAGGAAGAGGGCTGTATAGGGTAGTCCGAAACCTACCGTCCCATCACCATTATTACCATGTGCGCTCACGCAGACTTGATAGAAGTCTGCCGCAAGAGACAGTTGTAATGATGTTGATGCGGGAGAAAGAGGACGTCGCAGAAGAATTTCGTAAAGAAATGCTGGACGATTTGCTGACAAATCTGGCGCTAGCAGATGGCCTATTAGAATGCTCCTTTTCTTCACCAAACGTCTTTCTTCTTTACACTTAACAACGAACGCATAAAATCAAGCACTGCTCCGTCTTAGTGGGACTGTTGTTCATATTGACGTTCCAGAGCGAAAGACTTATCATAGGCGTTGTTGGGCTTCCCAGCTGAACACAATGCGTGTCGTAGCTGAAAAGTCCAGCTTTCGCCTGACATTTCCCAGCATTCCATCATAGCGGTATTGTCTTTGGTCAAACCATTTCCTGATGTGTGAATCGCCGTATACACTCCTGATCTGTTATGTGCTTTCCATATCGCCGCATCAATCGCGTTAAGCCGTCAATGTTTTTTCGATGCCGCACAAAGAAGATTCCGACGTCGACGCTGCTGAAAGGTGGAGGTTGAGAGAGCAGCTAAGGAGAGCACTGATTACTTCGTGACCTTTGCTCAAAAAGCACACCCGCTAGCTTCCGAGGCGTACCACCCACTCACACCCTGCCTTATACGAGATGCTGACCCTGCACTGACTCTGAATGTGGGCTGAGTATAATCGTGATAGAACACTTTGTGCTGTGCCAATGTGAGTGCGTCTAGGGTTGACTCCGGCAGAGTGTCAACGACTATATGCCCTTGCCGATCCATAACATATTGCAAAGGCGAAAACAGACATGGTCATATACCGATCAAGCTGTTGATAGTCAGGCAGCAACGCTGTCACAATCCCCATCCTCTGCTTTACTCGTGGATCAAGCATGTAGAAACTTTTGTCGATTCGCTCCCATGTAACGCCGCGCCACAATCATCATTTCATCGCCCCCGTTCATCTTCAAGCATGGCCATTGGCGCCATTCGTCTGCTTGACCGGACCCAGCTTCTCCCTTCGCGCTGCCACAGCTTCCGCAAGATCCTTCAGAACCACCTCGGTATCCTCCCAATGGATGCAGGCATCAGTGATGGAGACCCCGTATTTGAGACCGGACTTGCCCTCTGGTGGTACCTTCTGGTTACCCTCGTTGATGTTTGACTCAATCATGACTCCCATAATCGCGGTCTCACCATCGCGTATCTGATCGCCGAGAACCTTTGCGACCTTGGGCTGGTTCTTGTGGTCCTTGAGAGAGTTGCCGTGACTGCAGTCGACCATCAGAAGTGGGCGGAGATTCTTCTTCTCGAGTGCAGCCTTTGCTTCTGCGATGGACTTGGCGTCGAAGTTCGTTCCCTTGGTGCCTCCACGAAGGATGACGAAGCAATCGTCGTTACCGTCGGTGCCTACAATGGCGACGTTGCCAGGCTTTGTAACTGACAGGAAATGGTGTGGGTGCTGTACCGCGCCAATAGCGTCGATAGCAACTCCCAGGGAGCCATCCGTACCGTTCTTGAAGCCAACTGGGAAGGAGAGGCCGGAAGCAAGCTCGCGATGCACTTGACTCTCGGTTGTACGGGCACCGACAGCTCCCACTGACAGCAGGTCTGCGGTGAACTGTGGGCTAATGGTATCCAGCATCTCGGACGCAAGAGGCATGCCCTTGGTGGTGAGATCGAGGAACAGCTGTCTAGACACCCGCAAGCCCTTGTTGATGTTGAAGGTGTTGTCAATGTCCGGGTCGTTGACCAGACCCTTCCATCCAATCGTTGTGCGTGGCTTTTCCAGGTAGCTTCGCATGACAATCAAGAGATCGTTCTCGTACTTCTTCTTCAACTCAAGCAGTCTGTCGCAGTACTCCAGAGCCATCTTCGGGTCGTGGATCGAACAGGGCCCAATAACGACGAGCAGCCTGCGGCGTTCATCTTTGCCGTGTACGATATCGACCGACTCATTGCGACCCTGAACAACCGTCTCCTTGGACTTTTCCGTCTGGCGAATTTCGTGTTGGAGGAGGTCAGGCGATGTGAGAGGTGTCATGCCGCGAATGCGCCAATCTTCCACGCCATTGCGATCTCCCACGGCCGGGTTGGGCAAGAAGAACTGTGAGGAGGCGTCCATTAGTCCTGATGAGTTTTGCAATGCTGTGTTGAGGTAGCTGGAGTAACAATGAATGCTTACCTCGGAGGAAGACATGGTGGCTGCAATGGCTTTCTGTTTATTGGTGAGAGTCGGTCAACGACGACGAAACTCGGTGTGCGTGCGGACAGCGACTTGGAAGCTGCTTTGCATGTGAAGGATGGATGACTCCCAAACCCCACCGATCGCTCAGAGGAACATCCCGTCCATGCCTGTTGGAACTAGCGGCCCGCTTCGTCGGTCTAGGCCGCCGTTCTCCTCGGTCACCGGGATCACTCCGCAAGTGAACGTTCAACATCAACATCACCCCAGGGTATCGCTCGTGGCACCCGTCACGCCAACTCTACGCCGTACTGCGGCGAGTACGGCGTTGACCGAAAGATCATGCCGGTCCTATGCTCTCCTGACTCGGTCTCAACCCGAAATCAGAGCTGAACACCCATGAGGCTGGCACTTTCTACCCCCTTTGCTGTCTGGCTGCGGACGTTGCCTTTTGACTGCGGGAGATGATGATGCAAGACTTTTGTCGGCGTCAGCTTTCGTTCCACCGTTCATGCTACCATCGGGCTGTTAGACAAGAACGCTGCCAACGTGGACTTTCTGGCCCTCCAATCCGATCTGGTCCATAAAGATGGAGCCCACCTACTATGTCTATCGGAGAAACAAGCGTACGGTATCGGGAGCACTTGAACAGTGTTTGCACTGYATGTCCGTGACCTGAACAGGATGCCGATGTCTCAACCACGAGGCCTGCACAGCTGCTGTATTCACCAGATCGTTGCGTTTCCTTCCCCTTTACTAGTAGCCCACCCTTTCCATATCTTCACCCCTTCCCATACCACGACCTTGATCTTCGCAATTCGTATCGCAATAAGAATGTCCACTACGTGTTTTGTCCCGCAAAGGGAAGCCTTACTACCACTCATCTCCTCTCTGCAACCGCATTCCGGCGATCTGGTCTTGATACAGCACGCTCCTCGGGTTCCGCAAGGCGACACTCTCTGCGAGCTCCTCGTGGTAGGAACTCACTGGCAAAGCGACCTTGACCTATTCGTGCTGCCTTCAGAAGATTGGGTTGTTTTCGAAAAGAACAAGATCAGCGCGAGATTGCAATCAAGAGCAACATTACGTCCACCTCACATCATACATCCCACACCCCGCAATCGTAACATCGACGCAGGGGCAACCGTCACTCTGCGTCCTCCAAACAAGTTAATCATCGACAACTTTTTTGACGCACACTGCCCCTACCAAAGGTGTCACCACGGTGTAGTAAGTACAGCGAAGAGCGAGAGGCATCCCAAGCAGGTATTGGAAGACAATAGCCCCGACAAAACTTTTACGCAGCTGGGAACTGCCTCTTCTGCCCGCTCCGAATGTTTGAGACATCGCTGACCCTTTTGCCCTTTGCCTTTAGGTACTCATCAACGACATCACCTTCAGCGATCTGGACTTGATGGAGAGCTCTCGCGGGGGCTCTTTGACACTCTGTCCGTTCTGTATGGGTGGTGAGCTTCTTCAGCAGCACGAATCGCTCGTGAAAGATGTGGTAGACGCTTTCGTGCGGCGCTCTGCCACCGAAGAGCTTCTTCGAGACTCAGCGATACGTGARCACCGTGACAATGTTAACAACATGCGTTTGGCAATGGGCTATGGCATCTTGCCCAATGATCCTGGTTTGTATGGGCTGGGCGTTCAACCTGGTGACAATGCCGACGATTTCGAGATCGTATCGTTGGTTGAATACCTGGACCGTGTGGGTGCTGTTGATGCTGGTTCACCAGCAGTCGCCGCACCTTTACCCGCCGCGCAGATGGACTATTCTCTAACTCGGACCGCTACAAGACATGGACGCCTCGCATCTGCTCCTCGTGGGAGAGCAGGCAGAGGATCACACGGGAACGTCGCATATCGACGACTTGGCCGAGACCCTCGACCAGGATCGGATCGTACCCATGAGGTCAGYCTGGGTGATGCTCTCGCGGAGGCGACTATGCGTATCCAGGACTATCATGACAGCATCATGGAACCCTCACCGCGCTTGACTCTGCAAATCGGCAATGGGACCACAGCAGCCCTCGACATTACGGAAGAAGATGTCACCACCTCCCCGAATACTGTGATCGCAGCTTTTGACGCCACCGAACTCATAGTGCAAAGGTCAGGTCCAGGAACCCCCAGACCACCGCCCATCCCTGAGCGTTCGCCGGCTCCGTACAGGAATGTGATCTGTTCTCAACCTTTCAGGTGGTATGAGCTGGTTCAAGACCGTGTGCACAATGATGTGTGTGGAATCTGCATTGAGTCATTTGCGGAGTCGTATTCGCTGCTAATCACGGCCTTACCTTGCGGGCACTTCTTTCATGATGATTGTATACGGGGCAGGCCGAGGGAACGGTTGATTGTCACCTGTCCGTATAGATGTACGGGAACGGTGCGACTTTAGTGTGACGAAGTAGACAGCTATTGTATGAATGAGACAATGAATTGAATTAGCTTGAACCCGCAAATGGAAAACGATTTGATTGATTGGCTAGAAGAAGAGGGATGTGAAGGAGAGAATTATGGAAACAAAAAACTACCTAGTTCTGAGCAGCGCTCAAAACAGCCAGCAAACTCTTAGCTTTAGCTCCAGGAACGTTTGGGGCAGGCGTAGGTCTACTGTCCGTCAGCAATGCTGGCTCGGTGGTAGCCGCGGGTTTCGGCTTGGTAGTCGTCTTCAAAGTCAMAGGGACAATGACGATGCCGGGCTTAGTAGGTGAAGGTCGAGGGGTTTTGGGAAGATGCGCGAGGAGACTTGCGATGTGGGCAGCTGCAGCTTTGACGGAAGAAGCTTTTGCTTGTTGCTGTCTGATGATTGCTGCGATGCCTGCCGCTGCGGAAGATGCCGCGGGGCCTGGTTTTGGGGTAGGTGCTGGTGCTGGGGTTGGCTTATTGGCGACGGGCGTTGGGAGGCCGTTCATGAGATTCAAGGAGTTTCCCGCTGGCTTTGGAGCTGGCTTCGGTGTCGGCGCAGGCTTTCTGGTCGTAGGCTTCCGGACACTTGGGCCTGCAGGTCCATTTGCCGGATTGAGTGCCTGGAGACTACTCAAGGGGATCGAAAGTTTGCTAATTGAAGGTGCAAGTGGCAGACCGTCCTTCGGATTGATGCTTACCGCCGCCGCCGGGGTGGCGTAGACGACTTTTGTGGAGTAGATTGTTCGAACTTCAGTCCGGACAATCTGTGCTCGTCCGTGGTGGGGAATGTGGGCTGAAGCTGCGATCTGGCCAGCCAGAAGCGCAGATAAGAATTGAAGCGTCGATGTGAAATGCATGATTTGAGTAATGACTGACTGTTCGTTGATGGACGGAAGAGGATTGAGAAGGGCAGTGGGGAAATAGAGATACCTTTCATTGCAAAGTCGACAATGCCAGGGAACAGAAATGGCGTTTTTGAGATGAACAAAGCCGCCATTGTGGAAAAATACACCGTTTGAACGCGCTAAGTTCATAATTTATTGTTTCTTTCATCTCACACATGGCGCAATTTACAAGTCGTCCTTGCGATATCTGTATTTCCCGCCACCGCCACCGAGTGGATCACCGCCAGGAACACACAATCCCAGACGCCAGAAGTAGTCCCGATGAGCGAATAGTAGCTCCCATAGTTTGTATCTTGACGGGATTCCCCACGATTCAGTCCCGATGTCGTGAATCTCATCCTTGACGGAGTCAAGAAGGCCGGCCTTTCCTTGTAGACTCGAAGCAGTGGCGTCTTGACCCGCAATACAATCAGCATCGTTGTCGCCTGTACAGTGTGCCAAGTCCGCGACCTCCGGCGAAAGGTTCGACTTGGATATGTAAATCTCTCCCGCGTGCATTGAGAAACCCCACTCAGTCAGGGGGAGTAGAGGTACAGGATCATCCACATGCGTCACCCTTCTGAATTGAAGTTGTGTGTCGTCRATGGTCGTCGATGTCCCGTTCCCGATCCCAAAGGTGCCATCGATGTATCTTGACAACGCCGCATTGCCAATACGAGGCTCACCAAAGGTGGTGATGGTAGGGTGCCAGCCTCGAGCCTTGAAATCAAGCCCCGCAAGCGCGGCGACTGCTCCACCGAGGGAATGGCCCACGAGACTCAGGTTGTACCCTGGGTAGAGCAGCAATTGCTGCTGTAGAGCAGGGAGTATCTCTTTTCGGGTAACCTGCCACGAGCGGTAGAAGCCCATATGGACCGTGCAGTTCGTACACCTGGCTTGGGTGGAAAGTACATTGACAGTCATCTCCTCGTCTCCCGATCCTGGATACGGCACATATTCCTGCGGTACCGTGCTCAAGTCCACGATTGCATTGGCAATGCTATACGTGCCTCGGAATGCGAGGATAATCCGCTTCTTATCATGATCCAAGGCGATGTAGCCACATGAGTCCGCAAGCAGTGGCCCCGTGTTCCATGTCCTCACAAGCTCAAACAGGGGGAAGTCTGAACATCGTGACAGGCAGGAAAAGGGCTTGCTGATGCCGAAGCTGGTCAAGCCCACGCAATAAGAAATGTCCACAATGCGAGCCAGTTCCTCAAGTTCCGCGAACAACGCGTTGCTGACCGTCCGGCCGGGATCATCGTCATGGCGGAGGAGCGGAGTTTGGAAGGATCCGAGGACGACGCCAAGAGAGCCTAGGATGGTGAGAATCAAGTTGGTGGCGAACATCCTGGCACACTCAGGATGATGCTGCGAGGGCAGATGGAGGTTATGTTGCTACACAGGAAAGCGACCGCGATGCCATGCCGGACACAAGGCTGCCTGAAGCTGTATATTGTTTGATCTCGTGATGGGTGCGCGACAGGTGATGGCATGGGCGAAGTTCTTGTCGGAAGCTTAAAGTAGTTGTTGCGTCTTCCCGGCCCGAAAGTTTGGGACTGTCAACACAACATATCGGAAGGCACGGAGACCGCAGCGAGAAAGACCAATCACCTGTAAGCAGGAAAGGCTTCGGAGGGTGTGAAGATGCGGTTGGCAAACAATGTACTGATTGTGAAAGATCAGATCGGTGCACAATTCGTCGGAAGTGAGTACGAAGCAAGTATTCTAACGTAAAAGTAACAAAACTCCACACCACGTCATAGAGCGCCATAGGAGGCCTTCGAGACGAGTCTCGCGAGTACCTTTGCGGAGACGTCCAACCATCGTCGCTCGCTTGTCATCATAAGATTCTCTTGTCTTGTTACTTTACACTGCACGCGCACGCCGCCGGACCTAGCCTGGAGCTCATCGTCCTTCATCGCCACTGCCGATTAATACCACAGCCCCCTCTGCCGTCCGCGCGCCACGTTTCTTGGAAGATCCCGGAGCGATCTGGACATTGTGAACGACGGATATGGATGACAGCACCAAACACCACGACCACGATTTCGATCAGCGACACGATGGGCCATTCGACCAACCCGACCCACGCGCTTCCATACAACTCGCAACATTGGCAACATCGAGTCCGGCCGTTCAGTCTACCGAGAAAGATGACGTGAAACCACCCACAAGCCCACCCGGGAGAAAGAGTATGACCTGGCAGGATGTCTCGAGTCCTACGGCCGGACGCAAGAGTATGCAGGGCCCAAGACCGAGTAGAGACTTCGATGTGAGGCGAGACGGTCCTTATGGACGCCCTTCTATCACAATGTCACGGCGGAGGTCATCGGGAATGATGCAGCTCGGGCAGGGTGATCCTCCCAGTCGGGACCTAGAGGGCAACCTAACCGCACCGGATCCAGCGGATGTTGAAAGAAACCAGTTCACGGAAGGAGTGTTGGCTGGCTTCGAACCGGAGCCGCCACGCCTCAACTATGACATGTGGGGACGGAAGTGGTCCATTCTTATCTTCTGGAGTCTGGTCTTCGTGGACTGTGTGGCGACCCCTATCGTGTTGTATTTCACCCTCCACTATCYCACGGATCTATCAAACAACCTGGTCTTCACCGTTGTGACTGCCGCGTTGGGAGGTGTTAGTATCTTTGAGTACTTCGTTCGTGCTTGGCGATTGTGGAAGAAGGACAGCACATGCCGTGTTGCTGGAGAAAGCAGATGGGGTCGATGGGCATTTGACTGGTTTCACTGGAACTTTACTCTTGGCTGGGTCGCSGTAATGATTGAACTCATCATGTAAGTTCTCGCACAATCCACTGACGATGATACGAAATACTGAACTTGTCCCCTGCAGCGGCACCGTCCAAGAAAACCCGCCGATCCGTCTGCTGGCCATGCCTCTCCCAAGTATGCTATTCGTCTTCGCCTGGGAGCTTCTCATCGTCGACACTCTGCGATTCTTCCAAGTTCCCTCACCCGTTCGCATGTCATCCATTCCCAAAGGCGCCCAGCTTCGTCCCGCCATCTACACCATGATCGAGGACGTAGTCGCCGTCGATGGAAGCGGAGGTACGGAGTACCGCGAAGCCCTCAACCGGAGATACGAAGCCTCGCACGTCTTCCGTGCAATGCTGCGTCGTCTGGGCGGGTTCTGGGCTGCTGGTGCAATGGGTTGCGCTGTTGCAACTACAGTCTTAGTGTTCACGATCCACGACGAGGCAGCTTTCGTCGTGGGGTGGACGCTGCCGTTTCTTTGGGCCTTTTTGTGGGCCGTGGGAACATATTTTTATGTTGTGAGAAAAACTCGCGAGGAGCAAAAGGCCTGGGAGGACGAGATTGCGGAGAAGAGTGGGGCGATGCAGATCTCGGATCAAGGCTCTCATTAATGAGCTGACTTGCTGCTATTGTTGAAGGTGGTGGTCCAGACTGAGGGAGGCGCCTAATCAAGTGGATGATCCCAACCTGGAAGAAGACTAATACCAAGAAAAGCAGACGCAGTGGTTCTGACATTTCGGCGATGAAGTTCTGTTGGACGGTCAGACAGGGAAAATGCATCGCAAAGTGTAGAATTATTACGATCACGATGATACCCAAATGTAACAATACGATAAATTCTACGGAGCTCTACAGGCCACGACCCAACAAGTCTACAACAGCGATCGCCAAGCCTGCTGGACTCCATAGGAGATGCTTGATTCTGTTTAAGACGGGAGCGTCTGTTGGAAGACTAAATCCATCTCAGATTCGACTTGGCTGGCTCTAGCAGCTTTGCTCACTGTTACATGCAAGTTGGCTTTCGAATCAACTGTCAAATTGGAAAAGGTCCAAAAGGTCCAGCACAATGCCACATCTGGGGTTGGCGATGGCGATGCGGAAGACGTGCTGCAGAAAGGYAGTGACGATGAGATCTCCCAGCTAGTCCAGTGTGTAAAGGCTCTCGCTTGCATGCCGTGGGTATAGTGGCCATATCCTAGATTTGGGGACACCCTAGCGTCGTTGGAGATGGAGAGGAAAGATACCCGTGTTCGGCCCAACAATACCCCAGGAGCATGCCCTACGTGAGCGAGACTCTGGTCATTCGTTGATCGTATGCTTGCTGAAGCCGGAGTGGTGGGACTCCGGATGGAACAGGTCAAGAGGATACGCGAGTATCACCCCATCAGCATTGACAAGCTCATCATAAGCAATGGTGGTGAATCTTTTGTCCAACGAGCTTTACGAGTGTAACTGGACTGCGTCTCACACAATGATGCGTTTTGAACGCGGACCGTGTACTGTCACCGGTGTCGGAAAGGGGTTGTGCTTGTACTTTGTGTCTGTTTCAACAAGACCGATGGAGAAGCCTGTAGGATGGGCAACCCGCTCCGAGGGTAGAACATTGCCTACCCGACAAGCATGCATAAAATGTGGCATCGACCCGGTGTCTGGCTACGAGAGTGCCTCATCATTTCGTCAACATGCGAATCGCAAGCTCGATTATAGGCGCGAACCYCGCCATCCACAACCAAACCGTGCTCCCTGCATCACACGACGCTTCACTTGTTCCAACACCCACCGTACAAGCAGAGTTCGACACAACCTTCCCCTTCCACACACCTACAGCACACCTGGTTATGATTCCATATGTTGGAAGCGGATGCGAGGAAGGAAACCTGTTGCCGGAATTTGCAGAGGAGGGGATGGTTGGATTGGGGTTTTGCTTCCCCGTCAAGCGATCAGGATCTTTCATTTGGTATGGCGTGATCGATTGTCTGGTGACTCTTCATTCGGGAGTTGATTGTGGAGGGTGGGAGTGGGAGATTGAGAAAGGAAAGTGTCATGATCAGCAGTTTGCAAGTTTTCGGGCTTATTGTTGAGGGAATGAAGCTTTTGGTGTTGACTCTGGACAGGTTGGWGGAGAATGAGGATGTGTTCAATGATGGGTGTGGGAAGGCTGAAGTGGATGCTGGATGTAACTTGATAGTAGTACCTAATGATAATGCCGTTGGAAGGATCGATCCCCCTGATTAGCGCGAAAATCAAGACTTTACCCCTTCCCGTCCAATTGTTCGACGGGGCCCTTCTTCAGGGTTCCGACGCGACTCCCTCTTACCTTAGATTTACACCTCGCAACAGCTCTCTACAGCTCCACGGAACAATTCGATGGCGGGAACCCAAATTGACCAGCAGGCCAACGGTGATGCTCGGCAATTGCAGGTGAATGCCCCTCCCGTTTCGTGTAGTCCCTCTCCCGCCTGTTGGTTTGCTTGTCAATCCCCGTTCCACGACCCTTCGGAGCCGTTGGTGCTACATTACGTCGGCCATTACTCCGGATGAGTAGGACATGTTCGGAAACGCGCGACTTCTACCTACTTATCCTTGTGAACGCGACCCTTCCCACGCAAGACATTGCTTGGTGGTCGGTGATGGAACACGACACCCGCAGACGAGAGCATCGCGCCCAGCGTAACTGACAAACATCTCCCCACAGTCTCCCTTCCGCCTCCTCGACCTCCCCACAGAACTTTGGGTCAAGATTGCCCGACTAGCTCTTCACGACCATCCCAAAATCGACGTCGACTCCTTCTTCCCTCCCCTGCAGGGCTACGACCCCAAACGCCGCGCTCAATACCAAGAACGAGCTCGCGCACTCTACCAGCAACCTGCTCTCGCAAGAACCTGCCACACCTTGCGAAACGAACTGCTGCCGTGGATCTACACGACCACCGTTGATATTTTGATCCCGGATAGTAAAGGTGTCTGGCACCTGGAGCAGATTGGATCGTGGTTGAGGATGATTGGAAGGGAGAATCGGAAGCATGTCACGGAGATGCGAATGTTGAGCAGCAAGAGGAGTTTGCGGGATTCCAATCAGGTACAGGATGTGGCGCGTGCGTGGGAAGGGATTGAGTACAGGTTTTGCGAGCCGGAGAGTTTCAAGGCTGGGGAGGAGGAGTTGTTGAGGGATTGTAATTGGAAGTATTACAAATGGATCACGAGGGTTGAGTTTGTATGAGGAACGGTAGCTGGTTTGGTACAACGACTTGACAGGAGGCGGAGCCTGTTGCCGCCAGCATCTTTTCCTCCCCGCCAAAGTATGGCCTCTGCTTCATACTAATCGTAAAATTGGAGACGCCGAATCACATTCCACATCACTATGCTGCATGAAAAGTCTCGATCCCGAACATCTCCGTATCTTATGTTGATATCCATTCGCTTTCTTATGATTCCAGCTACCAAGCAGAGTCGTACTCCTGATGCAAAGAAGTCCATTGATTATTGGTGTTGCGTCAGGGGTAAGGAAAGGGCCCTCGGGATTTCCCAGGGATGCAATGCATCGGAACCATCACGGCGAATTTCTTTGAATCTCTCTTGGACTTGCTCTCGCGATCGCCCCACAATCTCCTCCATATCATCCCTCGTATCGCCCGTGATCTCAACAGCACGATTGACACCAAAGGATCAATGCAGCAAGCCACTTCCACCACAAATCCCCAACCCGAGCTTCTCCTCGCTAGAGGATCCTTAGCTACCTATAGGTGTCAATGACGAGTTGAGGATTCGAAATCTGCACGTTGTACGAGATTGTACGTCCTGGAACGCGAGAACTACCACCAATCGATTGACCCTGATCGCCATGCATTAGATGCCCTAACTTCCAGCGCGCGAAGGATCGCCTTGGCGAGTTAAGTAGGCCGTCTGTTCGCCTAATGAGTGGCAGTTCAATCAATTTGTAGAGTTCGGTGTATGCACGTACGTAACAATCGAACCACGTTTGTTTCTCCAAAACCTCAATTTGGCTACGYTCAGGGTCAAGGAGTAGGCTCGCTGTGAGCCAGCTCACCATTGTAAGCACGACTTTGAAGGAGATAGTGAAAGCCTTGGACCCTAGAGCGTGCTCGAAGTGATCAATCTGTGAATGTACAGTATGGAGCAACTCCACGCCTATATCAAAGACCGGCTCGCACGCGGACAACACGCTATGATCGACACTCCTGCGTCAAGCATGTGTGGAGTACTCCGTTGTACAGCATACAAAGTAGGCGTGTAGCTATTGTGGACCCAAAGACAACCGCTTCATTCAAAGGGCATCGCTTTCGCCAAAGCTTACCCGATGCACATTTCCATGTCACATTGACCAGACACCGCGGCCTCAGGAGCCACGTTCCCGCCATTTGACGATCGGACTAACCGATTGACAACATCAAGTGCCGACATTCGCACGCAAACGGTACAATGACGAAGGTCAAGCATTTAGTCTCCTTCAACCACATCGGTCTGCGTTGAACAGTTCGTCAATGCCAGGGAGGTGATCCATTCTTTTCGCTTTTGGAGTTCAAGAAGGAAAGGATGGGCATTGATGGTCGTTTCTTTGATCGGGAAAGGCAGGGATGTACACCACGAGGTGGGTGGGTCGGGGAGGAGTGAGTGTTGAGTCTTGAAGGGGTATGTCATACCAAGCCAGAAGATGCATCCCTGCAGTGAGAGGAAAGTTGGAGATGGATGCCAGAATGGAGAAGAGGGGACGGAATGGAAAGACATATAAGAAGAGGTTCCGTTCAGACTTACCCTCATCACATCACCATTACAACCACCACACAACACAGCAAATCACCACCACTTCCCACCACAACTCATCTCCCAATCTCCAGGATGCAGCTCACCAACGTCATCGCCCTACTGAGCGTCCTCGGCGCCACCGCCCTCGCGGCACCGCAGGTGGATGCAGGCTGCACACTTTCGTGTGGCATCTGGAACGGGTGTCGTGTGAGGAACGCCATCACTGGCGACCCTCTGACTGAGTGGTAAGACACTTTGCATCATTAATGATGGCATCCAGCTAACGAGCGCCCGTTTCAGCGGTGCTGAGCCGCCGAGGTGCAATTGCACTCAGTTTGCCAACTCTGCGAAGGAGGCTCTTGACCAAAAGATGTGAGCGAGGAGAAGACATGACATCGAAGGCGGGTGGGATTGGAGCGGAACGCATTGCTTGACCTGCATGTAGTTAGCATGAATGAATGGCCTGAATTGACTTGTTCCGACGAAAAGTTACTCCATTCCCTCAGAAGCCTAAAAAAGGGGCTGCATCGTGTTTTCGAGCATTGGCATGGGTAGCCTCCAGTAGCAGTGCAGTGCAACCAAACAGAAAGGCCCTGTTGTGACATGACACGACTCTCATACCTTCCTCCTACGTTACGACATCATACTCAACAGGCCCGCACTTTCCACCATTAGTATCCATCAAATCGTTTGGACACGCACTCATGATGATCAGGCACTCGGTAAGCGCTTCCAGCGCCACAAAGTCGCCGGGTTTGCAGTGCGGTTTCCGAACTTGCAGAGCACCATTCACACTCCACGGCACGTTCATAAAAACGTTCAAGGGCTCTGGAGACCATCCCCAATTCCTAATAGTAGCCTCAAGCTCCCGCAGTGATGGAGAATCCTGATCTGTAAGGAAGTCTTGCAACGAGTTCCTGAGATTCCCGCCACAGCTTTCATGCCCTGGTACGCCCGCCTGGGCATATCTCCAAGAATCGCAAGGTGGAAAGAGTAGGTCATGGGTCCCCGCCGAGCTGTCTTCAACCAGCTTCAAGAGTGGTTCGCGGCGAGTGTTGACGAGAACGTCGCCGATGGAAAGTTTGAGTTGCAGCAATGTTGAGCGAGTCTGCGCCATGGACATCCAGCTTGGAGCTCCAGTGGTGGGAAAGGCCCAGAGATCTATGACTTGCAGGCCGGATGGGGTGGTGAGTTTGAGCTTTTGGGAGGGTTGGAGGAGGCAGTGGGCGCCTTGCCGAGCGGGGATGATAGTGGGCATGGCGGCCTCCAATAAAACACGTCTCGCCTTTGGAAGTGAGACTTCACATCACATATCCATGCTGGAGTCAATGATTGAGAGGCAAGGACGAGCCCGAGGGAGGGGGAGGGAAGGGACCACAAAGCATAATCACAATCCTTGACATCCCGAACATCTACCGACGGCGATCTCGAAAATCCGCTCTCCACCGCAAGAAGTGTACCAACAAACGCATCTCTTGGATACTCTCGTCAAATTCTCGTGTGCTTCTCATCCCCACCATGACCAKCAGGTCTCCACCCAACCCAGCGTCTCCCACCATCTCCATTTCTTACAGCGACGACGAGGATATGAAGCGCAACTTGTTGCGCAAACGACGATTGGAAGAAAGCGAAGTCTACAACGCCCCCGAGACCCTCGCTGCCAAGCGCAGAGCCGTCAAGGTCGCTGCCCAGACGATGCCCGTGCCGAAGGAGATTCCAAAGTGAGTGTGCATCTCCATGTACAAATATCCGTCAATCATGCTGACCCGACACCCCGCAGTCTCAGCTTTGACGATCACATTGAACCCAGCGAGTCACCGGATACCCTCGAGCACGAGCAGGAAGAAGACGAGGACAACATAGYGGTGCGCATGGCGGAACGAGGATCGAATGCGGCGCAGAGTGGGGTTGATGGGGTCCAGGACGCAGTCATGCCGGATGCGAAGGCGCAGGTCACGGAAGGAAGAGGCGAGCTGGATGTGAAGGTGGAGTTGAATGACGTGAAGGAGGCACAGGTCCAGGTGCCGCAGCAGGGAATCATCAATGAGGCGCAGGTGCAGGTGCCCGTGGTCGTCAAGCGAGAGCACATCGAGCCGGAGACGGATGTGCGGGTGGTTCAGACGACGGAAGTGAAGATGGCGAATAAGAAGAGTCGTGCCAGGGCAAAGAGGTTGACGAGGAATGAAATGGCCAGAGCGAAGAAGACGACGGAAATCCCGGTGCCCAAGGTGAAGAGGCAATACCCGGAGCTGCCCAAAGTCACCATTGATCCGCGACGATGGGCAAAGAAGTCGGACCAGGCTGCACGGAGGTCGAGGAGACGATTGAGACGATTGTTGAGGGAGGAGCAGTCTCTCCTATCGCAGCAGTTGCAGGTCGCTTGATCTGGTCTGGAAGTGTCATGAGAGGATGTAAGATGGACGGCCAACTCAACAAAATGCGATGGATCTGCTCCACACGGCGTCACAGCGGATGGTGGGGGGGAGTTTGAGGTGTCGACATAACGAAGAGATTGTAATGATTGCTCGCGTGTACGCATGCACTTCGACGTACAATTCCCCCCATCGCAAACTAGCTAGCAAGGCCGTCGCTGATATCAGGTAGGTCCCATGTTTCCTCCGCTGAAACTTCGGGAAGAATTCCCGCTTCGACTTCCGTTTCGATCGTGGCTGGCTCTTCCACTCCGGACGCAGACAGCGCTTCTGCTTCAAGCGCGATCTTGGGCGTTGGAGTTGGAGTTGACATGACCGCTTCACTGTTGGTTGACAGCTGCGCGCCATCAATCTCACTCAACGGCAACGACCCATTCCTCAACAACCCGGCCTGCACTCTTCCAGCACTCTTCGCCTTCTGCGTCTCCGTCATCATCGCTACCGTCTTCTCTTGCAGCCTCGCCCTGGCCAAGGTAACAGCATTCGTCGCCAATGAAATCTCATGCCGGTTCCAATCCTCCTGCGGCGTCATGACCAACTCCTTCAACGCCCGGACCGAATCCGAAACCCTTATCATCTCCAAAGTCGACACTCCCTCTCCAAAGCCTCCCAACAGAAGATCCCTCTCCCCCGAGATGATCGCTTCATGCGCTGCAGTCAACAACATCTTCTGCGCATCGCCGATAGCCCCCCTTAGAGGCTTGGCAGCTTCCTCCAACTTCTTGACCGTCTCTTCAAGTTTCTCCAACCCCGCTGGAACCATCTCGTTATCTAGCAGAGTCTTCAATTCATCCCTCGTCTTTTCCACTTCCAATTTCTGCTCCTCACTCAGTCGATCTCCATAATCTTTCAGCTCGGTTTCAACTTTCTCYATCGCTTCCTTGGCTTTCAGTCGCATGTCAGCCATAGCTTCCTTCTTGGCCCTCCTAGCTCCAGCTTGCTCAGCCCAAAAATCCTTGACTTCTTGCCCGTAGCTCGTAGACTTGACCGGAACTTCCCAATCATCAAGATGCTGTTCTGCACGATTCAACCAATAACCCATCCTTGTCTCCCGATCCGGCACTCCGGCAAAATGTACCAAGAAATCTCCCCTTCGAATTTGGAAAGGTGCGAGTGTTTCATTGTGTTCTCCTTGATAAGCATTAAACCACCGCTGAGGCGTTTGAACGATGTTGTCGACAAACCGAGGTTCTTTCATGAGAATGTCCATGGCGGATTGGTCTCGGAATTGCAATTCATCGGTTGGACGGTAGTGTCGGAAAGATGTGATTGCCGAGAAGAGGTGGACGGACCATTGATTCACTCGGACTGGGAAGACGCCGTTGTTGAGGCCATTCCAGTCGTTGGAGTACATGAGATGGATATCTTCGAATTCACTTCCCGGTGGTGGGAGGAAAACTTCGATTGGGATGTACGGGTTCAAGATGATGGTGTCGGCGTCTACCCAGAATAACCATTCTAGGCGCTCGCTTTCGGGCTTCGAGAGTTCTCTCAGCAGGAGGGAGAGGATGTAAGCTGGTTTGGACCAGACGTCGTCCATGAGGTGTTGACGGAGGACATGGAGACGGTAGCCGTGTTCGCGATCATGCCGCTCGTGAGTCCTGATGGCTCGTTCCCAGAAACTGTTGCCGTTGAACAGGATCGTACATTTCCCGATTCGGGTGCGGGCGCCTAGCATGCCGTCTTCGCTAATGCCGTCCTTCACACTTTCTCCTGTAAGAGCAGCGACCGTGGTATTGATGGGTTTCGCAGCACTGCTGACTGCTGTTCCGTTGGTGTCCAGCACACCAGAAGGATCAGGCTTAACGAAATAAGGATTCCAAGATTTGACCTTGTCCTTCACCGCGTGATGAAGTTCTGCTAGAGCACCTTTCACCGTCGGCTCTTTGCTGCGGAGCATGAATTCTTCTTCGGAGAGGAGGCCATAATCATCCTCCGGGATACTTGAGCCAATGATCCCTTCTTGCAATTTCGTCTTTGGGGCTGCTGATTTCAGTCCAAAGCCTGTGGGATCTTCTAGCACTCCTCCTGAAGCCATGTCGAGCCCTGGAATTTCCAATAACGTCTCATCAGAAGAAGGTCCCAACATTGCAGTAACCGTCCATCCCATCATCATGCATGTCAATGCAATTGCGAAGAATTTGAGGCGCGCGTTGGAGAACATGGCGGATCGGCCACGGGATCGCTTGAGCCATTGTGGCAATGAGGTTGGTGAACTGGGCGTGTGGGGAGAGATGTCGCGGAATGGAATCCTCTCGGCGGCTGATTGTGAGGTCATTTCTGAGCGGACAAGAGCATGGCATCGAGGAGATGGAAGTTTGCAAAGATCAGAGAGAGATGAGGTATGGCATGGGCTTGCATGCCAGCGCGAGCATTCTATGTAAGGTTGCGAGGAACGCGAGCGTGATGCAAGGGATGGCTCGACTTCACGAGCGACCCAAAGTGGAGCGGACCCCTATGAACGATATGAGAGACACTGACATAGTCGCAAGAAATTGAAGAGCTTTCGAGGGGTGTCACTTATGGGAGACGTACAATATCCGCGTGCAAGGCCTTTGTATGACCTTTGGGCTTCCCAAAACAACCCTCCAAGAATTCTCGTACCGCACAATTATCCCGTCCATTCCGACCCTGCAAGACAGCCAGTCCATCATGACTTGTTATTTTCAAGCCTTGAAGCGACCTCGCCCTGGACAAGGCAACATAAGTCATCTCGSGCTCGAAAGAATCATCCAAATCCATTTTGACCCTATCCAGACTCATGCCCTGGCTCTTGTGAATTGTGATGGCCCAGGCAGGTACCAGCGGAAGCTGTGTGCGGGACTGAAGTGTGAATGGCTGCTTGTTCCCGATCTCCTTCACTTCGCACACTGGATGTATGACTTTCTTTTTCCCGTTGAGGAAACGGACGATCGGCCATTCGTGCACTAGAGACTGTGTGATCCAGTTACGCACACTGAGATTTCGGTATCCGGCGTGCTCACCTGAAGCCAATGGGACACTCGTGGCGTTCAGACATCGTCGGTCATTCAGTGCCGTTGGCTTGTAGGGAAGAAAWCCCACGACTTCGCCTTGGCTTCCGTTGACGATCTCTGGATCATCTGGACTGTTTACCAAGTACATTACGCGCATGCCAACCTTCAGTTCCAACGACTCTGCAAATCGATGGTCTTTCAATGCCTTAAGTTTGCGAGCAGAACGTTTCCCCGAGCACGCTTGATGATGTTCTCCGCCCTCCATTCGATTGTCGTAGCAGAAAAAAAATCGTGGTGTCCGCTTGATCTTTGCAAGATTTTCAGCATTGCATTTATCGGCTTTTCGATTCCTTGGAAACAGGTGAACTGCACCCTCAATGTCACAGGGATGATCCAGGAGAAGTGCAATTTGGTCTGGAGAGAGATCTCCGGAGTTTCGCACGGTTTCCAAAATGGCGACAAAGTCTGGATCTGCTTGTCTGTGGATCTCAGTCAAGTTGACATTTACAAAGTTACAGCTCTTCCAAGCATCACTCTGAAACGCCCACCGATCATCCAGATAGAAGGTCTTGTTGGGGCACTGATCACATGTCCACGGCCCACGATTCGAGTTTTGGGGCTTCGTCTCTCGCCCGCAAGGAAAACATGTCGAAAACGGCTTCACAGGCGGCAGTTGGTTGAAGTCTCCCGTGATGACGACCTGGACGCCGCCAAACGGAAGCTCCGGATCATGGGGAGATCGGGAATTTCTGCTACCATATCCAGTGTCGAACCATTCGGCGATCACCTTGCAAGACTTCTCATGAGGAGGACACTGACATCCACACCTGCCAGGCTGGCGTGCGGCTCGGAAGGCGGCATCTAGGCGTTCGAGCTGGTGCGCCTCCAGCATGCTGATCTCGTCGATTATGATAACATCGGCTTCGTTCATCCTCCTGTACTGCCTTCCGCTCCTTGCCTGGTTTTTGAATACATCGAGATGCCGTTTCTTACTGTCCGGTTTCCAATCAGCGAATCTGAAGTAAGTCTGCCCTCCGATATTCAAAGCTGTGAGGCCAGTAGGCGCGAGCTTCTCGACCCGCTTTCCTTGAGAGATCAGACGCTCGAAGAAGGCATGCAGAACCGTCGATTTTCCCGTACCTGCCGATCCTGTGTAGAATACGTTGTGGCCCGTCAATACGAGGTCGACCAGATCTTTCTGCTCATCACAAAGCTCAATCTGTGTGGGAGGGTCCGGCAGCCTGGCAACTTTGGGTCCATCAGCCACAAGCGAAAGGTGACCGGACGCCCGCTCGGACAGTTGCTTTGTCTTTTCGAGCTCTTCGGGAAGCGGTTTGTTGAGCGGTGTATCGGGTTGAGCGTGCAGCTTATAGCTGAATGCACCAACAAAGGCATCTGCCGCAGTTGCATCATCAACATTGAAGACCAATGTGGTCAGAAGCCCACGCAACGTGTCCTCTGCGCAATATGGGTTGCCAAGTACATCCTTAGCCGTGAACCATGACACAGACACCGGAGCCTCGAGAGCTGAAGTGTCTCCAACCAAGTCAGCGAAGAAGCCGTACCTGGGCGTGGGAAGTAAATGGCTATCAGTCACCTCGGGCATATTCTTACAGGTGGTATCTTGAAGGCTGCGATGCTTTTGAGCACCTGCGAGCGACAAGCATTTCGCCTGCTTCAAGCCAACTAGATCACTAGCACGCTGAGCAGCGGGTGTGATGGAATTGTCGATGGGCAGTTGCGGCTTTGACAGACTTGAGGCTTGTGCGCATCCAATGCTCGTGGTCGGCAAGCATGTCCAACTCCGTGCACCTGCCTTGGACAGCTCTTTCGCATGCTCTAATCCTTGACGATCCAGGGCGAGCTGAGCCGAAGGTGTGATGGTAGATTTGGCACGCAGCAAAGTTTTTGTGGTCTGCGCCACTTGGGTCCTTACATGTGGTGCGGGTGGGCATGCTTTCAGGTTCCTGTTCTGATATTCAGAATCGAGCTGTTTTATACGAGTCTCGATTGCGGTGACAGCAGGCCGTGGAGTCTGTTCGGCTTCCAATTGCAGTGCACGACGCTGCCTCCTCTCGCGTTGACGGCGTCTTTTGCTTAACTTGGCGCTGGAGGTATCGCTCGGTCGGACTTCCTTCGAGTCGTTGGGAACCAGATGGAGAGCGTGCTGAGTTGTGCCCGGGTTTGTTGAGGTCAACTTGCGCCCACGATTGTCGACGGTGGTGTTTGATGATTTGACATGCTCAGAGGTGGATCCAGGGAGTGCATGTTTTCTTTGCTTTTCCCTTTTCTTCTTCTTCTTCTTCCCCTCCTGCTTCTGCCGTTCCGCGGCATACGAATCGGCCAGGCACAAAGCTTTCTTGAGCTGAATGTTGTTCGCGATTCGGCACAAGCTTCCAGGTTGCTGGACCGTGAGTAGTGCGCCATTACTGTTGCTGTTCGCGTTGCAATGTTTCTGTTTCTTGTTGCAGTGCTCGATCCGAGGCCCTGCTTCTACTGGTGCTTCATGCCCTGCACGGCCACGCTTCTTTCCGCAGCTCATCATGTACGATCTAGGCTTTCATATTTCCTGGAAGAACTTGCGGACCGCAGACAGTGAGCGGCCTGGCCAGCAAGGAAGAAGGAATACCTCTGCGCTCAGAAGTTAGTCCGGCGGTGGTCGGGCTGCGTTGTGTTACGTGTAACAGGTCGCGTTGTTTCGAAAGGTGAGACGGAGGACGCGCCGGAGCCGAAGTTCAGCCCAGCGCTTCCAAGGGTCGGTGAAAGTGATGGATTCCATGAAGCTTGCCGGCTCCGGGGAGAGAGAGCTCGGCGGACGAGGGTGAGGAGGAGCCATGGTCGCCGAGAAGTTCGTTGGGTTCAAGAGAGCGGGTTTCATTTAAATATGAGAGGGAATTTGGGAGCACAGTCTATACAGACTGGCAACTGTGAGAGAAGAGGATTTACAACCTTGAGGGCTCAAGATACCTGGACAGGTCGTAGTACGCAACTTCCATACCTAAGGTATCTCCAGTACGGCAAGTCCAGTGCGGACGCCCAAGTCTCAAATTGTCATCACCGCGACCCCCAATTCTCACTCACTCAAGTACCTTTACTCTCTCCTCCCAGCTTCACTCGCTCGGACTCACACACGCATGCGCCTGCTCATCTCATTTACCGCCGCCATTACAGTCCACGAACCTACCGGTACTGCGCAAGGCGGAAGATGGTCGCTCCTTGGATCCAACCTTCGGTCGGATGGCGTATTTCCGAGCGGACTCGAGCGATGCTGAGGTGTGATGCGAGAGATTCCCGACAAGTCGCTCCATGCTCATGTTCGCATCATTGCGATTGAGTGGCCTTCCATAAGCATTTACCGGCCTGCCCCAGCGGCGATGAGACTGATCCCCCAGCTCGCAATGCGTCGGTCCAGATCTTGGAGTTTCGAACCCCGATCTCATTTCGAGGATTGTGCGCACTCGATCGAGGTGTTCATGGTTGCTGTGCGGTTCAAAGGGAGCGAGGGGTGGTGAAGTTGAAGCTCCAGATGTCCTTACCTAGAGTGACACGATGACGATGATGATGACAATGGTTGCGATGAGGTAGCTGTAGGCATTGAAAGAAGCAGGCTTACGGAGATTCAGACATGTCGTCGAAAGATGTCTTCTTAAGTGTGTTGTCGTTGTCGTAGAAGGGACATCATCTTCCACTACCACAGGTAGAGCGGCAACCTACGATTCCTTGGAGATGATACCTTGGAAGTATTTTGGTCCAGTACGTTGTATTGGCAAGAGATTTTGCCGGCAAGGCTTCGGCAAACCTCCATGTCATGTGCCGCGCCTGCCGATTCCGATTCCAATTCCCATTTTCAGCGTGCCTCCCCAACTACCTAGGTAGGTACGTTATAAAATTGTCTTTTTACATGCTCCATCGAACTCAATACCACAGATGCATGCAATGTCAGCGTCGTGCAGGTCGTCGAGGTCGGTGAGCACTCCACGTCACATGGAGTAATAATGGCGATGCATTAGCTGCTGCCGCGTCTTCTTCACGATTCCTCAGTCTCAGATGCTACTGGCTGAGCATTTAAACACGCATTCCCTGCCTGTGACTGACAAGCTGGGTTTCGGTGTCGATCACGCGCAGCTGCTCGCAACCATCACCATCCATGGCTGCCATCTCCTCAGTTGACAAGGCCCCAGCGGGAAAGAGTCGCCGGCCAAACCCCAGGGAATACTTACACGCTCTGCATCTTGTCATCATGTTTTGCGTTCTGTGGGCGTTGTGTTGCCATCTCTTGCCTTCATGGGCTAGATCTATCCCATCCTACAGCGAGACGACGACCGGCTGGCGGCCGCCGCTGGCATTCACAGAGAATGGCACATTTCAAATTGCCATCTTCGAAGATTTGCACTTTGGGGAGAGTATGTTGCTCCACATTCGGTGAAGTTATGCCGTTGATATTGGTTAGATGCATGGGAAGCATGGGGACCACGAAATGACAAAAAGTCCGTCAAGGTCATGAACAGAGTGCTCGATGTCGAAAGCCCACAGCTTGTTGTCCTCAACGGAGACCTCATCACCGGCGAAAACACATTTCTGGAAAACAGCACCAGCTATGTCTCTCAGATTGTCGGGCCAATGTTGCAGCGCAATCTTCCCTGGGCATCTACCTATGGCAACCACGACAGCGCTTTCAATCTCTCCCGTGAAGACATACTTGGCCATGAGCGGCTGCATTTGAACAGCCTTACCAACCAGATGGTGTTTGGCCGCAACTCAGGCGTGAGCAACTATTTCCTACCTGTATATCCTCGCAAAGACGCGACGGTTCCGTGCTTGATCTTGTGGTTCTTCGACTCGCGAGGCGGGTTTCTGTACCAACAGCTGAATGCCACTGGTGATAAGATCGGGCAGGCAGACTGGGTCGACCAATCGGTAGTGGATTGGTTCAGAGCCACCAGTGAAAGTCTCACGCAGCTGCATCAGAAGATCATACCATCACTCGCATTCGTGCATATCCCGGTGAATGCTAGTCGGAYCTTCCAGAACGAAGTTGGCGTGGATCCACATCGACAGCCCGGTATCGATGATGATAAGCCTCTTGCCCCACAAGCTGCGGGCTGGTGTGTCGATGGGTCGAATGGGGAGGTCAGTAGTGCTGTTTGTCATTGCGGGGGCGTTGTAGGCCGTTGTTAACTCGCATAGGACTGCGAATACGGCGAGCAAGACGTTCCCTTCATGAAGGCTGTCACATCCACTCCTGGACTCATGGCGTTGTTCTCAGGCCATGACCATGGAGACACGTGGTGCTATCGCTGGGAAAAGAAGCTTCCCGGGATGGCTTTCGAGGGAAATGGACTCAGTGAGCAGCCAGCCCATGTTGCCGTCGCTCGACTCTAACTTTCCCTGTAGACTTGTGTTTCGGGCAGTATGTGCCATCGTGGCGACGAGCAATAGATGTAGTATCATTCTTGGGTCGTAGCTAACACATCTCCAGGCACTCCGGTCATGGAGGCTACGGAAACTGGACGAGAGGCGCCAGACAGATCTTGGTCACAGAAGCCATGTTGCAGGACCATGCCGTGGACACATGGATTCGATTAGAGACTGGGTATAGGGTGGGCTCGGTCCAGCTGAACAAGACGTACAATGAGGATTTCTACCCAGCCACGCCGAATACGCACACCAGCTGAGAGGCGGGCGGTGTTGCGTCCGGTCTTCTACAAACTTTCAATATAGCTTGTCCAAATCATGTCCACGATTGCTCTCACCTCAATGTCGTGCACAAGGCATTCCTTGGCTTTCGCGTGAGTACGCAGCCGCTTACAATTCCAACTCCCAGTTTATCGGTCAGGGCTCTTGCGACCGAAGGCCATGAGAAGCATAATGCTCGACCCTTTGAGCGATGCTTGCTTGAGTCTATAGCTATCTCAGTGCATATTCCGTGGTGGTGAACCCTGAACATTCCGAGCCTTCCTCCTCCACCACCAATAGTCATGCAAAATGCTTCGCTAAAGGAATTCGTCGACCGAAGAGAGGCCTATAGAGGACATGCATGTGCAGAACCAGTGTCTCTTTGACAATGCTCATAAAAGTGCCCACCGAGGTCCTCGTTGGAGCATCCTCATCTTCCATTTCCCTTGCCAGGCTGCCGACCTGCTACCCCAACCCTAACCCTAAACCAAAAAATACAATCTCTGCGCGGCGACGAATCATCAAGACTCAAACGCAATAGTAAGCAAAGGCCTCGTATCGCTGACGCAGGTAGAGAATCATAGACCGTATTCCATGAGATGCAGAAAACGACATGACATAGCGATGCCAATACAGTCATTACATCATGCGCTACTACAGCAAGCAGACAGGCACTGCAATGCTCGCGACATGCCGTGCTGTACTCCGTCCGTCATAAAGTAACAACATTAACTAGAAATAAATTTTATCTCACAGCGCCGCTCATTGCCGTCCAACGAGAGAGTTTGCTCTGCTAGCATTTGGTGTTTGACGAGGGGTGACGCGGGTTTCGCCCTGTACACAGGTTAGACATTGAGCATGAATCATTCCACTGCGGGAACTTACAAAGAACCGCTGTTGCTGAGAGTAGCTTCTCAGCCCCATCTCTGGACGGCCGCCATCAGCCTTGCCGGCAACACCTACGATCTTGTTAGCCAAGTCGAAAGAGATCAAGGAAAATCCAAACTTACTGGCTTGTCGTGATCCAGCAGGGTCCACAGCGCTGGCACGCCTGCCATCCTCTTTTCCTTTCGCGAGCGCCATGGCGAATTTGGAACGCTTCCTCAGAGTGGGTCCGTAGTAATAAACAGCGTAGACCGCCAAGACGAGAACCAGCGAGATACAAGCAAGAATCGTAGACGCATATTCAAGATTCTTACCGCTATCCCTGCCAATGTTCTGGAAGAATGGCGTGGCTGGAACAGTCAGGACACCAGCCAGGAAATCACGAGCCCAGCCATTACCACCGGTTGCGGAGGCAGAGTATGGACCGTAAGCACAGATCATGTAATCGATCGTCGCCATGTAGATCGAATAGTTGGCGATTCCGACAATCGCTGCGAAGACCATGGATCCGATCCAGTGCAAGGGAGGGCCTTGAATGGTCCATGCAAATCCAATGAGTCCAATGGGTAGGCAAGGGGCAGTAAAGAGCAAGAACCACAGACGCGATTCATACTGAGCCTTCTCGTCTTCTGGCTTGGCTTTGCGCTCTGCAATATTGCGACGAATCGCGGGAATGAAAGCGATCCAGGCAATGATGTAGCCGATGCCAATTGGGATGAAAGAGAGTCCAATTGCAATGGTGCCAAAGTTCCAGCCATTACCTTCACCGTACACCAGCGCGAACGACTGGATGAACATGAAGATGAGGGCATCGGAGAATCCAGAAAGGAGCGACAAAGTCAGGACGATGGGCTCGGTTAAGAACATTTTGAAAGGTCGGATCCAGGTGACGAGTATCTCTTTGGCAGAGAATCGATCCCGGAATGGAACGAGTTCGTCAGGACCCCAGACGTTGGCCTGCGGGTCAGCCTTTCTACGCTTCTTCGCGATGTTATTCATCATGCGAGTGGTCCGAGTCTCCGGAACGGTGAAAAAGTGTAGAATCTGAACAGCTCCGCCGAAGATGAGCTGGATCCAGATAGACCATCTGCAACGAACGAGTCAGCGAACGAATAGAGCGTGGGAGCAAATGGGACGGACCGCCAGTCCAAGAAGTGCTCGCTGAATCCACCARCAATGGGTCCAAGGATTGATCCTCCAACGGACGAAAACACAACAAAAGCTACAGCATATTGCTGGTCGTCGGCTTCCCACATATCCGCAATCATGCCCAGCGTGACAGATCCTCCTGCTGAAGAGAGACCTCCGAGTGCGCGGCCGACCATGATCGTAGCAAAGTTGGGGGCCAAAGCTACTGGGAGCTGCCAGATGTTGACCAGGAAAAGCGATAGCTGAAGAACAGGCCAACGACCAAATTCCTGCAGCAAACTGCGGTCAGATTTGCACATCATGCTAGCAGGACCTCTCCACCGCAACTTACCTCTGACCAGGGTGCCCACAGCTCACAGCCGAATGCGTAGAGGACCAAGAATATCATAGCTCCACATCGTGCAGCTTGTGCGCTGACGCCAAATTCCTCTTGTATGCCTGGGATTGCATTGCTGTACAGGGATGTGTTGAAGTTCATCGAGACTTGCACGATGAAGATCACGCTGAGGATGTACCACTTCTTCCACGTGGGAAATCCAAAGCCCAGCTCATTGTAGCAATCTTCCTCTGTGAGCTCGTACTTGTCGTATGTGCCTAGGMGGCCAAGCTTCTCGCCTCCATTCGCGTCGCGTTCGTGCTCGGAATTTTCCTTGGAGGAATCACGTTCGTGAAGTTTCTCGTTGGCCAAGTTGAGGTCGGCCTGATTCATGACCTGTGGAGGGTCTTCCGAGAAGTGAGTCGGCATGGTTATTGATACTGGTTTTGTGCTGTGTCACCATGCAGCCAAACCAAATAGGGGGCGGGAGGAGTGCTCCTTGAGACGAAAAGTAAACAAACGGCACACGAGGGCTGGGGCTACTTAGTTGATGAAGGCAGGGCTGGAAGAGAAGAGGCGCGACCAGAGCACACGACCCACATAGGACCACCGAAGGATGTTCCATGACGTTTTCTAGTACAACGTTGCAGAATCGAAGGCGGGTTCGAGCATGGACGTTACGGCTCAGCGACCAACAAGAGTCGTCGCCGAAGCTTGTCGCGTGGCATAAGCTTCCGCAGCGGCATGCCAACACCGAATAAGGCAAATTTACGATCCTGCAGCAGCAAAAGTATATGTGATTTCGTCATAGGTTTCGGACGCGGGGTACCCACACGATTCCTGCGGCCAATCGCCGATGGAGCATGACCCATACGTCGGAGAGAGATGGGGTTATTAATGCCAGAAATGTGGTGTTGGAAGATTGTTTTTCCACGTCGACTTCAGCTTTGCTCCGAGACTGCATGCTTTAAGCCGTTCGTTCGTCGCGAGAACCATTCGAGCGAACCGGAAAGCCGGAAGTCTTGTCAAAATCTTATGGGAGCTTCTCCACTTGGCCAAGACGCTCCCTGTCCGGTGACCGTGCAAGGATCGAAAGGATCATTTCGACTAGAGTGATGCACAGATAGTTAGATCGTGGCGAATGGAGAATTTATGCGGTGTGCAGATGCAGCTGCTTGCATCATCACCCAGCCATGTGCAAAGAATAAACTCCCTGCATCTAAGTTAGCGTCACATCGCATGGCTCGAAACGTGAGCGAGGGATGTTCCACGCTTGGCACTAGTTCGTTTGACTTGCACGWGCTTTAGCGCGGTATCGTTGCTGCCAGCGGCGAGGTGTTTGTTCGAGGAAGTTGTATGTACACAGAGTTGGTGCTTGAATGTAATGTATGTTGATGGTCTGCGACCTCACCGAAAGCCTCCCGCCGCTGTCGGCTCTGCACAGGCCCAACTACACGCTGTCCGCAAGAACGGCAGCACTGCGTCTGAGCTGAGTTCCCTTTGTGTTGGCGGTCCTCGAAACCAGAACTCCATCCAGGTCGCTCTTGGAATGATAAACCCGCGCTTGCATGTGGTGCATTCCTGGTTGCCAACATCCACCGCTTCGGCAGCTTTGCAGAGCCCGGCAAGAACGCTCCCGGGCAAGCCAGATGGCAGAGCCGACAAGTCGCAGTCTTTTTGTGCGCGCTGCAAGACCAATTCGAATAGAGAAGGTGGTCTGTGTAACGAGGACGCAGCAGATAGTAGTCCGTCAAAGACGACCGCAAAGTCTTCACCCGATCCTCGGCAAGGCGTGCCAGCAACGTCAAAGTATCGCACCTTGGAGGAAGCCAAATAGATCAGCTCTTGCCGGGCTTCGCAGGACTCGTCACCGGTGAGACTGTATTCTGCTGTACGTTCAGCGTGCCGGGAGCGGCCGAGCGCCAGACGTTCATGTAAGCGCGTGCTTATCGGGTCGGCCTGCTCCTGGGAACTACTCATCATGTTCTCCTCTCCGGTCGTCTCGCTTTGAGGTATCGCCAATGTCGACAGACTCTCGATCTCGATCAAGGGGTTTGGCCGAATGCTCACCCTCTTGGCACTTCGAAGGAGGTCTAGAAGTTCCCACGGCAGGTATTTTATCTGGTTTCCCGCTTTACATGAGTCAGCCACCTCTGTGGTCGTCTCGCCGGCATTCACGAATGGACTGACCAATGTTCAGCTCCTTCAGCAACTTGAGTCGCCCTATGGAGTGTGGGAGCTCCGGCAGGAGGTTGCTGCGCACACTCAATACCGTCTGGCGAGTGGATTAGCATGTCAGCTTGACAGACGCAGACGCACCGGACACACCATATTCTCCAGCAGAAACAGCTCCGAGGGCAGTCTCGTCAGTTGATTGCCAGCCAGGAACAATTTCAGCTCGGGCGTCAAGGCAGTGAATTGATCCTCTGAAGGCGGCTCCATCATGCTCAGTTGCGCATGCCGAATGAGCTGTTGAAGTGGGCGAAGCGTCTCCGATGACAGCGTCTTTAGGTCCAGCTGTGATAGGTCCACCGATTCGTTGCCTTCCTCCACGCAATTGTTGATAATGTTGTCCGCGACCTGCTCAACCTGGCGAGCTCTGCTCATGGACGTAGTTGTCGCCTTGATCGCACCGACCTTTGCAACCACGCGTGGTGTTGGAGTTACCCGCAACGCCTGCAGTCGTCTCTGATTGGAGAGTAGACTTGCAGAACTCACATCGCTCTCGTCACTGCCCATCCACACCCCGCTGTCAACGTTTCTACTGTTCTCGTTGAGCACGGAGCCATCCCGTTGAGGCCTTTTGCCCATACTCCACCACGGACCCCGCACCATGCGCTTCCTCCGTGGCCGGTCGCACCCATCCTCCGAGTCGGTCGTGCCCTCGGAGAAGACGGGATCGCTGGAAAGGTCAAACTCGAACTGGCGCTTCCGACTGGGCGGGACAGCGAGCGCCGGAAGCGGCGGCGATGACGGTGGGTCAATTTCCATGGCCGTGGGAAGAATGGGAGGAGACGAGGGCAGGGTCATGGCTGTTGTCCGCCCAAGCTGACGTGGAGCGGCAAGCAGAGGAGGAGGAGAGGTGGAGATGGGATGAGAGGTGGGACGAATTGTTGGAATCATGACGCGCCTTGGACGCGCCGTCGGAGAGTTTTGAATGCCGAGCCGAATGCGAACATCCCGTCGTCCACGCGAGACGGGAACCACCGGGCACCGCTCTCACCAAGCCGCATTTTAATGATTAATCCTCTCGCTCCCGCATGACACGACACAGAGACCCTGCCACGCGCAATCGTGCGGAACATGTCGGCGAAGAGGTCGGCTGCGAGCCCCGACGAGGAAGATGAAGACGACTTGCCCCAGAAGAAAATCAAGCAAGAATCCCTTGAGCCTGTGCCTCTACCGGCCGTTCCGCTGTGGTCTCTTCRTCCCGATGCTGTGCCTGTTGGCACCAAGAAGATATATGCTATCTTACGTGGACGCATTCCAGGTTTCTACTACGATTGGGATGCTGCAGAGCGACAATGTAAAGGATTTCCTTCCGCGCTCCATGAGTCGTTTCCGAAGGGTAAACCCAAGAGACTCGACTCCGACATCTTGGATCAGGTGGTCCGTGATGCAGTCACTTATATGAACCACGACTCCAGCAATTGCAGGTACAGCTGTCACAACACCAGCAATTGTGTTCAACCTAGGCAAGTCGTCCAGACCTCGCAGCAAAACTTCCAGCACATCGATGCTGTCGCATCTCGACCGAGGAGGGATCGGCGCTCGTGTAGAGCGTGTGGGACACTTCCGCTCCTTGGCCGGCGAAAGGTCTGTTCGGACTGCCCGGCATTGGACCATTTTTTGACCAAAGTGCGATCGTGTGCGGGTAGATTTGAACTTTGCGATGAGCAAGTCAAATTGTTGGAGTCTATTGCCATGGGAGATAATGTCTTCTTCACCGGCGCAGCTGGCACTGGTAAGAGCCGGGTTCTCGAGGCATTTTCAGACCTCTTTTCGAGTATCGAAATCGCCGGTCAAATCTTGGCACCGACAGGAATCGCCGCGCTCCACGTTGGCGGTATCACAATACACGTTTATGCTGGCTGGTCTGTCAAACTATCCCAAGCTTCTCGGGGGGAGCTGCGCAAGCTTGCGGGAGAGAAGAAAGTGTATAACCGATTCAGGAACACAGATGTGCTTGTCATTGACGAGATCAGCATGGTCGAAAGTGACACCCTGTCTCGACTTTCGTGCATGATGCAAGAGGCATTGACACCTGATCTCCCATTCGGAGGTGTTCAGGTAGTAATCACAGGTGAGTATCAGCACAGTGGACACCACCGTTCGAAGGTAAGCCGCTGACAACGCAAGATGGAAGGCGACTTTTTCCAGCTGCCACCGGTACTACCCTTTCGGACCTGCATCGAGTGTGGCGAAGTTTTAGAGCGCTCGAGCGGAAACTCCAGCCCCGGAACATGCGCATCGCATGGTCACTTCCACGACGCAGACAAGTGGGCTTTCAAGAGCAGCGTGTGGCAGGACTGCCAATTCAAAAATGTCCAGCTTGTGACGGTACATCGTCAGCAAGATCCACACTACACCGAGATCCTGCACTACGTTCGCAAGGGCGTTAAGTGGTCACTGGAACAGGAGAACTTGCTTTTCGATCACTATCACAACGTCGTATTCGATGATGCCGTGAAGCTCAATCCATTGCGACAGCAGGTTGACACGATCAACGAGACACATATGGAGCAGCTTCAAACCCCAACCCAGCGGTAAGTGGATCCATGAGGAACGCTAGAGGCAGGATTTCCACCGTCTCCGGTTTCTCTTTCCCTCTTTCCCTCTCTTTGTTGAAAGTTGACTGCATCGGCATGAATGGCCAGCTACTTGTTCAGACGCCATGGGCTCTGGGAGAACTCTACATAGGTCTCCAGCTCCCTTTTCCGTGTCTGAAGTATCGCTGATCCTCGTACCCGCGAATGTAGATACCAGAGTGTGGATCACTTCCACTGGGAGAAACATCACCCGGAATATCAGGATCGTAAGATCACTGCATCCTTATCTCAGCATCGTTATCAAGATGAGCTCGAGTTGAAGCAAGGCATGAAGGCAGGTGAATTGTGAACCCCAGAAGATCTAGCATCCTTCACTGACGTTTCACCTCGCTTAGGTGCTTCTGGTCGCAAACCTTGATCAAGAACGTGGACTTGTCAACGGTTCAAGTGGAAAAATCATTGGCTTTGAAGAGATGACTGACGCCAAGCTACCTCGCGCAAAGAGAAAGGCAAATGACACTTCGCTTGATGGCGAGCCACTCATCACGCACAAGCACAAACGGTATGCTCAAGAACGAGTCCGAGAGTTCAAGTATCAGTCCAAGGAATCCCAACTATGGCCCATTGTGAGATTCACAAACGGTGTGGAGCGCGTGATCTACGCACATTGTTCGATCACAGAGCTCGGAACTACGGAGCCCTTCAGCCTACTTTCTAAAACCCAAATTCCTCTGATCGCCGGGTAAGTCAAAGCATCATATCCGGAGCGCAGAACGATTGCTGACGCTAATCAAATCGTTAGCTGGGCCATCACCATCCACAAATCGCAGGGCATGACTCTGGACAATGTAGTCGTAACGCTGGGCGAATGCTTCGCTCCGGGACAGGCGTATGTAGCACTTTCTCGTTCGAAAAGCCTTTCCACAATGATCGTGCAAAGTCTGCCTAGTCAGCGGAATCTACAGCCGGATCCAGATGTCAAGTCTTTCATGGACAAAACTTTCGGATGAAGATATGCGGCTGTCTATTGAAGCACGTGGACGAGGGCCGAGGGTATTGAAGCCTGCCGGCTCTCGTTTTCAAGCGACGAAGACTACGCCCACGGACGGGTAGCTATGATCACTAAAACGAGCAGTGTTGCACACAATCCAATTGTCTCGCCAAAAGAAGTCTTCTCGATTGTGCTGTACCTCTCGCGAAAAGGACAACGTCTTTGGTTGCAGTCGGTACAAAATACCTGCCAGTAAGGGCGGCAACTCAGGCTTCAATCTCGCTGCCGGTTTCCGAAACTATGCCGTTCCTCTTTTAACCTCACTTGCTACAATTTCCATCTATATGGCCGACGAGCATCGGCCGCGATGCAACACCGCGCAGTTTTGTTCGACGCATGAGTCGAACTCTCTCTGGATACGGACGCTTGAACGAATGTAGAGGCTGAGGCGCTTTTGCAACCGAAACAGTCTGGACGGCAGCAGATAGCGTGATTGAAGAACGATTAGACTGTGGATATATACAATACTTAATATCTGTAGTCCGCCTCATGCTGTCTCTTCTCTCCATTTTGGTCCTCGCATTGCCGGTGTCGGCAAGCCATTTGGTTCATGCTTCCCCATCTCGTTTGATACGCTCCATCATCTCTCATGGTGTCGCATGAACATTAACATTATCATCTACATCAATCATTCCATCATTCCATGAAACCACCGTATGGTGGAAGCTGATACCAGATCAGCATCGGCTGTCCCATGCACTGGTAGGCCAAGAGTAGAAGAAGCCAGGAACACCATCGCGCTGTTGCGTATGGCGTGCTGGTGAGGCCTGAACTTGCCACGGCTGTTGCAGCCCGATACTGGTCGTTTCTAGACCGGCCGCAAACGAAAAGCTCCCAAATGACATTGGTATTGGCGTGGGCGCAGCCGCAGGTTCGATTTGCGCACAGCAGTTGGGCGGCAGACACACTTCCGTTCGTAACAGATTCTGTGCTGGATACACTTGGGTGCAGGGAATCTGCTGTGGTGATTGGCCCGAACCATGCTCCGAGTAGCTTGGGAAATCGTAGCGCTGTGTTTCCGGAAAGTTTAGTGGCTGGAATCCAGCAGAGTAGATCTCGGAGGTCGCATTTGCATCCGCCCGAGAAGACCCGAACGACGATGCAACGTCGACCCAGTCATGGCCAGCAGAAGCACGCCAAGATTGGACTTGATCAACCTGAGGTATTGGCATTGAAGGTTGAGTCTCGATCTTAACGCGAGAGGGATCGATCGAGTTGCTGAACTTCTGCCTTTGGGCTCTGGCAGCACGTCTGCGGCTCATCATACTGACAGGTGGATCCGAACTTGCAAGGCCGTCGTCTGAAGCCATCATCGATGGCTCGATATGCTGGGGATATGGTTGGACGCTTGTCCAGTGAGACTGAAGGAGAGCCCGGGATGCTCGAGTATCGTTCGAAGGCATGGCTGAGGCAATCGCTACACTTGGCTCACTGTAGGACTGGTCCTGAATATTATCCCAATGCGGGGACTGCTCTCGACTGGCCTTCTCCGTAGGTTCTATCCGACCCTCGGAGCTCAATCCGGCCGAGGTGAGAGCCGAATCGTCGCTCTGTCTTGGCTTTTTGGCCCCGATGCACCTCGCCAATGCAACTGACTCGCTAGAATCATCTCCAGAATCATCTCCGACGCTCGAGGTCAGTGATAAACTACGAGATCGCTTCAAAGCCACTTGTCTTCTCTCTTCCCCTTCTTCCTCCCCACAATGGTATAGAGATCCACCATCTGCAACATATTAGGATGTGCCCCCTGGGCAGAGTGGAGACTTGAGACTCACCGATCTCGTCCTTCTCGAGCTGCTCCTCCATTGCCGCGACTTCATACATCTGAGCCAAGAGATTCTGTCTAAGTCTGACCCGATTCGGCGCCTCTTTGGGAAGATCATCAAACACATCTGGGCCAGCAAGCTCCTTGAGGAACGCGGTCCAACCACACCGCACATGAGTCTTGTTGTCTTCTGTATGGTTGTTGTTCCAAGCGCGGAGTTGCTGGGGAGTTGGGCGCAGACGAAGCAGGTGTAGGCACAGCTGCATACGTTCTTGGAAAAGTCAGTACAAATCTCCGCTGCTATGGATACAACGCCCACCTTCACGCTTGATGTGGTCGGGTTCGAGGAAACGACACACCCCTTGTTCCTGTGGCCACCAGCCAGGAATCCGAGGAACTTCATTCCCTCTCTGCTTGTTTCGATAGGGAAAGTTGGCTTGCTTCTTGGGGCATATGCCTTTGATCCATGCCTTGGCAATCTTCTTGACAGCCAGCTGCTGCAGCCGCTTGAGCCGACTTTCGAGGTACGCAGTGACATCAGCCTTGGAGTCGATTCTGAAGGACTTCATTGAGCCTTTCTTGAAGTCAGGTCTATGATCTGCGGCATCGGATGCTGCTCCCCCACGAACAATCCTCGAGTACGAGGAAGAAGCTGGAGAGGGTTCTCGCAGCAAAGATAACCGCTGTTGGTGCCTCGCCCTTGGGAGCGTGCAATTACTAGTGTTGGATGTGAGGGTTTGCCGTTGCTTCATCAAATTGAGATGACATGGCCAGGAAATTTCACCGGCTGAGTCTAACTCGGGCGAGAAAGCTGCTGTGTAACTCCGTCAGCTGATGGTCAACAAGACGGCAAGGCATACGAACGGGAAGATCCGGAGTAGTTGTGCTGTATTGATAGCGTGTGCGCGTCTTCAAATCTGGCGGCAAAGAGTCGCTCGTCAAGAAATCCTTTGACCTGTTTCGATGCATGAACCTGTGCATTGCCATCCTTGTCGATGGCCACAATGGCGAAAGGTGTATCTTCAAAGCCATTGTTTTCGAGGTGCTTGACCATTGAGTGGATTTCCTATCAGCTGGTAAGAAGTTGATCTCGTATGGCATGAACATCCTCACTAACACGATGCCCTTGACCATGAACGGTCGTCTCTGTGTGCATTGCCTGTCCTTTGCTTTCGGGTCGGGAGACTAGATTGCTTGCAACAATCATTTCGACGAACACGAGTCAGGCCGAGATTATCGACGCCAGAAGCGTTTGGCAGATTAGCAAGCGTGCAATGGTGCAGTTGTAGTATCTTGGAACAATTCGACTGTAACGATCGAATGTCAACAGTAGAGGTATTGACCACAGTCGATCTGTTTCACTCAAAGCAGCCGGGCTTTGCGAGCAGAACGGGTTGAGTGTGATGGATGGGGAGTTCGTGTGGGTAGCGCGGACGACAGATCGGCGTATTAAAGATGGCGACTCGATTGCCGGATGCACGAGTATATAAGATACTGCAGAGATTTTGATAGATGTCGATGGTGGAGGCGCTACTACGATCTTTGCGACAACGGGGACCTGCTTCCGTGTACTTTTTTCGAGATTGGCGCAGCACGTAGTGGGTATCTCGCTGAGGACTGCTTCTGGAGTTGTCGCAGCGTACAGTGGATTTCGATCTCGAGCAGGGTATTGTGCGGGAATCACGCTTGCGCATAGCGTTGCCCGACTTCGATACGCCAACCTGGCAATACACAGCAGGAGCCGTGTAACATGTGCCTGTAATGTAGACCAGGTCGTGGGGCCGATTCACAGTCCAGCCCGCGCGGAAGCCGCCGTTACCACTCAAGATCTGGTCGAGCTGCTGTGAAACACATGCCTGTGAAATGCCGATGGTCCTACGCCAACAGTGGATCTGACTAGGCCTTGTGTGGCCAGTGAGTAATCTGGGGAGGCGCGGCTCGGAATGTGTTACTGCATGTAGGCGAATCTTTCGAGGCGGGACCGGCCGTGGAAGAGCGGCCGGCCGTGCATAGAGAACGCAGCACTGCACCGGACTCGGCACGCCAGGCTGTGCATCATGTCTAGTCCTCGTAGTGTAAATAGAGTTCCAAGCAGCCGGGTCAAGCAACTCTTTGATGAAAGGTAGCCCGGTAATCGTGGCGCGGGAAGAGGCCTCTTGCCATAGACTCCCGCGGGATTGCGCATGTTGTTGGAATGATCAATGGCTATGATCGATGGCTCTGCGCCCGACAACCTCTTGCTGTCGTCGCCACGGCACGAGTCCTGCAAAGATCGAGATAGGTACTGATGCCCAGGCCGGAGAGTCGCGTCTGCAATTTCGCGATCTTCATGATCATCATGGCTCCCAGTCAGCTATCGACAGCGTCCCACTTGATGAATGTTATGAGACCGTGATTTTCTTGATTGTCTCATCACAGCCGTGTGGCCATGTTCAAGTAGTTTGCGGCTTGATAGCCTTTGTAGGAATCAGCACATACTGTTAGAAGGTTAGGAGCATGCAAGAATAGTTAGCTTAGAAGGGTCGAGTTAGGGCAACGCTGTGGTATAGGGCATCGTCGTACAACGTAGTGTCGCCCAGATCTCTGCTTGTGTCGAAAAAAGGCGCCGAATGCTAGAAGCCCAGAAGACTGCGAGAAGACTTAGCGTAGAAGGTTCAGTTAGGGCTGTACTGTACTGCTATCGGTACCTCTCCTGGACTCAAGAAGCTGCGATTACTGTATCGAGTCACCCAAGCAAGTTTGATCTCACACGCTGTAATCGGATGACATGGGAGCATGGTGCAATCACAATGTCTTGACATCGTGATACGCTACCGCAGGTCCGGGCGCCCGCCGAATTCCACCTAGTGTGGAAAGGCGCTGTGTTCGGCTTGCCGACCCCTGATGCACCAACCCTGCTAGCGGGAACGGGCCTGCTTCGTGGACCCTGCTGTGGTAGAAGAGGGTGGCGGACTGTGCAGGATCTGTTGGTCCGAGTTCGCAGTCCGTAGTTGGGGAGCGTGGCGGTTCAGCAGCGGCATTCCGATAGTCACTCCATAGAGGGGACGTGACAACACGTCGGCCTTGTTGAACCTAGCTGTATGTCGAGGAATGCAAGAACGGCGGAAAACGGCCCACAACCCACTGGATTGTGCATCCAACGGACACGATGCTGGTGGACGAGCGTCTGGCTCAATCTGAGAAGGCTCCGTCCTGGTGCGAATGTGTCCGACAAGAGCTGCCACTTGGCATGCACACCGCTTTCGCATAGCTGCAGATGGCAAGTCCCCATTCATGGTCGGTTGAGCGTTGAAGATGGGAGGAAGTACGTCGTGGGCTCGTAATACCTGGAACGGATTGGCATACGGGAGCGTGCATCAGTGTGGGATATACGAAACTGCTGTGACAAGACGACTGGATGGGACGTCTTTGTGGTTCGCCCACGTCGTCACTCGTGACAGGATAGTGCAWCTTCGGTAATACATACCTACGTTACGTTACCTACTCCTGCAGGTGGGYCGGGAATGATCCACCCGCGGTCTGTCCCGCTATGACAGCGGGGGGAAGCGGCGGCATCGGCGGAATTGGCGAAAGGGAAGGGAAGGGAAGGGAAGGGTGTCGATGCGATGCGTGAGTGTCACAGTCTTTCAATGCAGGCTGAAACGAATCTGAAAGCGGAGCGATGGCATATCGACCGATTCTGATCTTGATCCTGATCCTGATCTTGAATCTGATCTCGATTTTCGCAAGTGATCGTATCGCCGTGAGCATTCCCAGACTACCTTACTTTATGGATAAGTACCAGCCGGTGTGGCAATTCGACATTGTGGGTGTGAATTCCTTCCTGTGTGGCAGAACTCGAGACTGTCATGTAGAGCCCGACAAGTTCCGCGTGAGCAAAGTGCAGGCAGGCATTGCCATCCATGATAGCGCATACATACCTAGGCACCTTGTAGCATGTAAATGGCCAGCGTTTTTTGCGGATGTGAAGTTGTCGCAGCTCGTTGCAGCTCTGGCTGGACAGGTCGTTCGTCTTTTCCGTAGATCTGAGCATTGTAGGGCGTAATTCCTTCATATTTTACTCTACATTAGGTATCACCGGGAGGACATCATCAGCGGGAGGAATTGGTCGTGAGCTCACAGAGTTTAGAAGTTGCAAGGTCATGAAATATTGGATGACATGGCATTGGGAAGCAACGAGGGAACCCAAGGTGCCGTGAAGCTCGGGCCCTGACTTTCCGAATCGGACTTCATCATCCCACTTCCCACTGCTTTCTTCCACCTACTTTGACCGCACCACTTTTTCGCTCGCCCATCATGTCCCCCGACTTCATCCTCAAGTCGAGGAAACGCAAAACGCAGAAGGTGTACACGGCCAAGAAAGTACGCAAGCCCGCCACCATCATGTCAGGCGCGCTGCCGTCATCTTCGGCAGCCAAAAACGCGACTTTGTCGCGAAAAGACGCGAACATTCCCAATGATGGCGAAGATATCGACTCCGCTACGCCGCCCTCTGCCCAACGTCCACCCGCCTCGAAGTCATCACCCATCGATGCAGACGACGGTGATGCTGTGGAGGAGGTCTCGCAACCCGTCAAAAAGGCTGTTCCTGCGGAGGCAAGTCCCCAATTTCACTTTGCGGATAGACTCCTACTCATACCTACATCTAGCGCAATGCCTTCACCGTACTTGCAAGCTCTCAGGCCGCGAAGACCCCGAGGTCAACGCCAGCAGGCCGCCCTGCTGCTCAAAAGTGGACATCGGAGGAGGAATGGACAGTGGCGGAAGGTATTCGCGAAGGCCTGAGCCAGGCTCAGATTCTACTCAACCTCCTACCGTCCGAGCGCTCGGCGAGTGCTGTGCGAGGCAAGAAGAGGGAGTTGCAGGAGAAATTTGGCGACAAACTGGAGAGACTGGCCAATATGCCGAATTCCACTCCACGTGTTCCGGCTCCTCCGATGCCTCCTCGAAAAGCTTGGTCACCCAGCGAACTGACCACGTTACGGAAATGCATGACTCTGGGCATCAGTGATCGCGACATCCAAGCTCTGCACTTTCCCAACCGAACTGAAGACTCTGTGATTGGTAGACTGCGGAAGGTGCGAGCTGTGTCCGCGAAGAGGGCGCAAAGACGTAGTGGGGGCGGCATCCACACGCCTCATGCCTCCCAGACACAGTATCACAGCTCCAGCCCGGCAATGTTCCCTCTGTCTAGCCAGACTCGAAGCTCCCCGGCCCAAGCCGCAGCGAAGCGCCAGTTAGAGGAGGGCACTACTGAGAAGCTCCCCGTTGTGCAGGAGGAAGAGAGTGTGCTGCAGGATGTTGACGACGTGGACGACTCCGAGGAGCCTGAAATCGCGGTCGGGGACGCCAACGACGACATGGACGACTCCGAAGAGCCTGAGATCGTGGTCGAGGACGTTCTCAACACCAAGGACATGGCAGACTCCGAGGAACCTGAGATCTCGGTCGATGATGCTAACGACGGCACGGATCAGTCCGAAGAGCCTGAGATCGTGGTCCAGGACGCCATCAATACCGAGGACGTCCAAGTCACAGACGTCGACTGCGAAGAGGTCATCATCCCCGACAGCCCCGTTTCCTACCCCAAGGCTTCAACGCAGACGAAACCACTGCGAACAGCATACGTGGTAATTCCGGCTCGCCCTGACCTCAGTGATGTCCTGGACTTCCGGGCCGGACCCTTAGTGCGACGCCGCGCTGCGGTCAATGACCAAGAGGCAAGATACGCTGCAACGACCCCACCGTTCGGCTCGGGTCAAGAGAAGGACAGGGTCGGCATGATGCACTCAACCAAGCTGAGCATCTGGCGCGAAGCCTATTCCTACTCTCAAGGGGATGCCGAGGCCGCTTATCGGATGTACGCGAGCCTGACGACAGACGAGCACATGTTGCAAGCGGTTTGCAACCTAGACCACGAAATCATCAACGGTATCAAGGCTGTTCGGATGCGCAGAGCGCGTGAAGATGCTCTCAGAGAAGGAAGACCACCGCCCGTTACTCCGGTACGAGATCAGCCCCAACATTTGGACCTTTTTGAGAAGAAGGTCTATGGTCGATACTGGTCATATCATTCATGGGAGAAGGAGGTCAAGGACATGTACCTTAGGGAGCCTGTTGTTTTCGGTCCGAGACCAGTGCCTGGCGAGCCAATTGACTATTTCGACCCCATGCAAGAAGCCATGTATGATGACGGCGACGACGGCGACGACGGCGACGACCCGTACGACGAGAGACTTAGACCAGCCGAACCATTCCATGGTCATGTGTCAGAGATTGACGAGGAAGAAGAAGCACCGCTGAAGAAACGAAAGGAGATAGACGAGGCAATGCCGCCGCCCCCCGCCAAAAAGCAGAAGAAAGAACGAGAGTGGAGGCAGAGGCATTATCAGAAGATGCAGCAGAAGAAGCAGAAACAGCCGCCGAAGGAAGATGGTAAAAAAATCAAACCAGGCAGTAAACCGACGCCTGTAATTGGGAAGAAGGGTCAGAAAAAGAGCCAGGCGGCTTTGAGGCGACGCAGGCTTTCGCTCCGTCGCCCAGACGCTTCCACATCATCCAAAGCGGCCTCCGACCTATCAAAAGATGTGCAGACAGTCGAGCCTGGGAGGACATCTGCGGTCCCCGATGATCTTGACGATGGCGACGAGTCGTACCAATGGATGCGTGACATCGTCAAGAACGCCCAGCACAGGCCGCCTCCGGTCCGTCGCAAATCTCCCCCACCGATCGACCCAAATAATCTGTTTGGCTGCGGCGACCCGTCGGACTCATCGAGTAGTGACAGCGATAACGATTGACTTTGTGAGTGAAGGAAGGCAACTCTTCTGTAAGATGTGCATGAGAGAATGGGAAAGAGGAGGTCGCTGTGATTCAGTGTCACTAGTAGTACACAACATAACTAGTTTAAATACGATTGACTCTCCTACCCCTCCCGGGCCTTCCCCTTCTCTCTTCCTCCACATCCTCGACCTCATCCTTGCCCTTTTCCAAGGCTCCATCCTTCAACTCCCACGGCTGTAGATCCCAGTCCTTGACATCGTACCAGTCCTCACCGTCGCTCATCTCCGTCACAGCATTTCCCTTCCCATCAAGGATAACATGTCCTTCGGCTTTGGCACTGCGATAGACGAATTTTCTCAAACGATYCGCTTTTTGCAGTCCGAAACACAATTCCTCTAGGTGACGACAGATTTGCTCCTGCTTTTGAACATACAGGAGAAGAAGCTTACGTGTGTCCTCTGCTTCGTGGGGAGGGAGACCGAGATCACGATCTGTGAGGGCGGAGGGTGGTGCGATGAACCAAGGGTGAATGTCCGGGACCGATGCGGAGTCGCTGGGCGATGGTGAAGGCGTGCGTTCTGCAGGTGATCTAGCACGTGCACGCGTGGTCATGGCGTGGCGCTCAGTTGCGTTGGAATTGGACGCTGTTTCTGAGTTGGCCTCGCGGTCGGCGRGATCGGTGACCACGGGGTTAGAGGCCGGTTCGAGGCATGCGTCGTCGGTATTCGTCGGTGCTGTACTCTCTCCGTTGGTGGCTTCGACTGTTTCTCCGTTGACGAGGTCTGCCGTGTCTCCGTTTCTGTTCGCTGGCTCCGTATTCTCCCGTGCCGGCTCTGTGCCCTCCTGCAAGGGCCGCACGCTCTCTACAGCGTCATCAGCTAACACTAGAGCGGCCTGATCGACTCTCTCGATGCCCTCCATCGCTTCAGCGTCCATTCCCAGGGTCCCGGCTGGCACAGTCTTCGTAGGGTCCGCATTCTCTTCGACACCCTGGGGTGGTGGGATGTCCGAATCCATCGCGGACTGTTCCATGATAGCACTGGGTACAATACTTCGCACGCCCACGCTACTGTGCCCGCCCAGCAGTAGATACTCGTCGTGCTCTGTCTCAAACAGCCCACACGGCACCCAATCTCCGTCGCCTCTGAACCGCCGCAGCAGTCGCTTGGCCTTGTACAGACTTGCACGCTCTCTCCGCAATGTCTCGGCGGCCTCATCGGCCATCTGCGTCAATGCCTTGCTTTCGTACGCAACTTTCAAACTCGGATGTTCGGCCAGGTCGGCAGCAGAGTTCAGAGGTCGTAGGAGWTTCTCCAGCTGCACCTCTCCAAACGGGTTGTCATCCTCCGCTTCAATTTCAGCGTCTTCGTCGAGCTCTTCGTCGTCCGAGGCTGCGGGGGAGTAGGCATAGCCATACTTGTCGTAACGCTTGGGATTCGTTGAGATGGTGTTGCGCGTGTATCCCGCGTGGTTGACTCTTCTTCTCCAGCTCAAAGAATCTTGACTGTCCGGGTTTAAGTGAGGCCTGGTGTCGCGTCGCTTGAGTTGCCCTCCCAAATCGTCCTCGGCCTTGCGCTTCATTGCGGCCTTCATCGCCGCAATTGTTTCGGCAATCATAGCGTGTGATTGAGCCATGATTTGCGGCGTGTTGTTGAACCGTGGAGGAATGTTGCGAGCAGACTGTGGGTCCAGATGAAGCGAAGGGTCTCAAAAGTGCACCTGCGAGGATCGGAGCGTCACGAGCGTGCACTGTCGTGGAGGGTACCTTGCCTCGATCTAATCTAATCTAATCTGTGCCGACGCCGACGCCAGACCCAGAAAAAGCGCGCCGTGGAAAAGTTCTGGAGATTGAGAATCTGAGACGTGCACCTTTCGCTCACCATACTCAACCATGGCAGGCAGTTCACTTGTGTCTTCGGACCTCTGGGCCAACTCAGAAACACCGCTTCCCACCAGTGATCTCCTCTCTCAAATTGCGCATACTCTCGAGCAACTCGGATACTCAAAGACGGTCGCAGCACTTGTCAAGGAAGCCAGCAAAAACGATGTCGTTGTCGACCCCGCGGAATGGTCGCGTGCAATCAGCGAGCAGACTGGCGTACCATTRCTCGAACTTTATGAGGTGTACCTGAAGAAAAAGAAGTCGTTACCTACGCTTCCCCCGGCCGCAAAGGAAGGCGCCAGCAGCAACAGCGACGACAGCAGTAGCAGCAGCGACAGTGATGACGACGAGGAGGAGGAGGAGGAGGAGGACAGCGATGATGACGCATCGATGGATGATGTAGAGGCCGGCGCTCTGGTGGATGTTGAGGCCGAATCGACCAGCAACGACGATTCAGACAAGTCGAGCAGCACCAGTGAAGAGGAGGAGGAAGAGGTCGCACAACCCACCGCAAACAAGAGGAAGCGCGTCATGAGTCCGCCGTCCTCGAGCGAAGATTCTGACGGTGACAGCTCGGCCGACGAGGCACCCATTGCAAAAAAGGTTAAGACGAAAAAGGCCGCCTCTGTCTCATCCTCGAGTGCCAGCGATTCGAATTCGAGTTCGGAATCTGGCTCCACATCGTCCTCCTCTTCCGACGAATCCTCCTCGGACTCCTCGAGCGCCTCCTCAGACAGCGACAGCAGCAGCAGCGATGATGGCTCCAGCTCCAGCGAGTCTGATGCGCCTGCGCCTCCGCCCAAGAAGGCCAAAATTTCAAAGAAGACCAAATCCGAAGAGCAGCCCAAAGTCGAAGTGGTGTCTGCACCTGTGGTCGTCGTCGAAGCAAAGGCCAAGGACAAGAAAGATAAGAAGTCGAAGAAAGCCCAAAAGGAGGCACTTGCCGTGGTCGAAGCCCCATCATCCAGCTCCTCCGCCACCCTTGAAGCTGAATCCGCCAGCGAAGCACCCGAAAACGTACAAGAGTCCTCCATCCACCCATCCCGCCTAGCTCAAGTCCCCGTCGTTGACCTGCCAGCCGCTACACGTAAGCAGATCGCTGCCGAGGGCAAGGGTGCCGTCATTCCCTTTTCTCGCATTCCCGCCGACCAGAAAGTCGATCCGCGCTTTGCCAGCAACGCTTACGTGAGCTACGACTATGCCGACCGCGCCCACCGGGATCTGGTGGTCACCAAGGGAAAGGGATTCACCAAGGAAAAGAACAAGAAGAAGAGAGGTAGGTTTATCCTCGCATCTGGTGATGCTATTACATGGCCAAAGCTGACATCATGTGCATAGGCGCCTACCGCGGTGGAGCGATCGATTTGACACCCAAGGGTATTAAGTTCGACGACTAATTGGGAAGTCATCAATTGTAGTCGAGAGTTGGAGTTCGTTGGAAATGCCAAAAAAGATATTGCGAACTGGCGATGCTTGCCATGCCGACAGTAGACCATGCGTAGAGTCTGCACTGGGGAAGTTTTCGTTGAGTATTTGATGTTCATTGAAGTTCAGCGGGACCGGGCTCTGGAAATGCTCATACCTTAGATACATCCACAGACAAAAGCTTCCGCGCTGTGTTCATGTTTGTTGCCATTTTCCGAACGTTCAGACTTGACAAGGCCCCTGCGCTTCAATTCCTTGTGGCGCCGACCTCAGACTCATCACAAGCTGCTTCATGCCGGTAAGTGCACGTCCTTCTCACAACATTACTGTCAAGATGCAAGGCACACTGGCATTGTGGAGAATCATATAGCATAAGTTATTGACCTTGATATACGAACTCAATCTACATATACAACCATACATATACATTCAAACCCTTCGATTCACATACACACACTCGCGCTGACAGTGATGACAACAAGTGGCACGGTGGTACCCTCTGTCTTGTCACAAAGAAAGAAAAACCGTCTTCATCCGGAGGTCCACGGTGGGATCAATGACCAGCAACCCGCTCGACGGTCAAATCCCACCGACTGTCGGTAAAGTACGCACGACACTTTGTCATACCGCAGGGAGTAAGCCGCATCTGGACCTTTGGCATGCGGGTCATGATATCGCTAAACGAAGCCGCCTCGCCCAGATCCTCGACCACACTCTCAAGTTTCCTCATCTCGCCTTGGAACATGTTACTGACAAACTCGTTCGCGTGCTCCAGGTCGTCACATCCGGCAATCACTTGCATCTCCTCCTCCTTTTGGAGCGAGTACGTGCGACGCGACCAGATCGCAAATTTGTTGAGGTGCCACGAGTATTGGAGGTGTCGCCGCTTCGACTGAGATTCAAGCTCCCCACGCAACATTTCGAGCTGGGTGTGGAGTTGAGCAGCTTTTACCTCTAGATTTTGTGACGTAGTTGCGAGTTGCACAATCTTTGCCTCGGCGAGCTGTAATGCTTCACTCGGTTTCGTCTTGAGCTGTGTAGCTWTCGCCTCAGCGACTCGTAATGCCTCACGAAGAGTCTGCCTCTCCATCTCACGAGTCCGCTCATACTCCCCAAGCTTCTCGAACACCTCGGCCAGATCGATGGACTGGCCTTGCTTGACTGTGCGTCTTGGCGATTGTGACATGCTTGAAGTCGCGATGTTCAGGTCTACTGCGGACGTCGCTGTGACCACCCTCGCATCGAGAGGAAGTGCAGTAGTACCGGGCTCCAGCTTTGGCTCTGCCCCTGACTTGACAAGATCCGAGACAGTTCCGCACATTGTCCCATCTGCTGTGATTCCGTTCTCCTTGATAGTATCAAGTTTGGTAGCGGGCAAGATTGGAACTTGGACTTGCTCCTTCACAAGCGTGCCTCCGTCCTTCGGCCCAGACCCAACTTGCTCCTGGACTTTCAAGCTCTTTTTTGTCCTCTTCTTCTTGGACTTGCGTTTGGAGGGACTAGCCTTGGTGGAATTGGCGATCCTTTTGTAAGGACTTTCCCCCTCGCCGAGGCCTCCCGACATCAGAAGCGTGTCGTCCGAGTGTAGAGACTGCGGCTGCGAGTCCGTAATCAAGTCTTCGGTGTCGCCGTCATCTTCGTATCTTGGCGAGTTGATCTTCTTGCGCAGTGGCTTGGGCGACTCTGTCTCAGCAGCAGAATCTTCGATGGCATCGACTTCGACATGCGTGGAAAGGGAAGGCCGAGGAGCATTCGGATGCGGAACGTCAACGGACTTGATCTCGCGTTTGAGTTTCTCCGCCGTTGGTGGAGGAACTGTAGAGAGGCTGGCGTTCGCGACATTCGAAGCTTGGCCATTGTTGGCAGTACGTGCAGCCGCTTGAAATTCGAGCTTGATCTGAGCTGAGGGAGTGGATGCCACAAGACGTGATGAGGGGGAGGGCCGCTTCAAGATACTCTTGAGCTTTCCTGGCTTGAGCGGCGCAGGAGGGGTGGTCTGTGCAGGGAGTGCATTGGAAGCGACACTCGATAACTTCCGTTTGGATGGCATTGCAATGTTTACCACTGAGAGTCGGGCAGGATCGAGGTTAGGAATGAGAAAGAATGAGAGCTACATGAAGTTGTACCATCGAGGACAGACGCGTCGAAAAGAAAGCTGACCAGTCCTTCGACTTACCCATGTCTCGCGTCGCGACGCGTTGTACGTGCCGACTTTTCTAGTCCTGTGTCACGGACAGGGTAGGAGAAGTAGACCCCCGGCCCATCTCATTTCCGTGCTGACCCATGATCTCAGATGGACGCCTGTGATGAAGAAGCATGAGCGAGCATGCGCGAGAGAGGAGAAGATGAAGTGTGATCACTTCCTTCAGGTTCGAGCGTCGTTGTAGCTTTCCCGCAGGGCAGAAATTCAATGGAAGTGTGAGTGTGAGGTGGCATTGGATGTGTGTTTTGGGCGTTGGCGCTTGCTTGCAGATCCGCCAAGCCGGTTGGTTACACTTCATCATTCTCCCGGCAACCCCTCAGGTACAGGTACATCCTGGCCTCAAGTGGTCAGCTTTCCATTGTGCACGTCACAAAAATGACAGGTCGAGAACACAAAGTCGAAAGACTGGCCTCAAATRGGTACACCACACTGTAGCTGCATCTGCGGTGACTTGCCAGTCTAGCTAGCCAAGCAAGACCTTCAGAAACATCTTACCCGCCACCGGCCCACCGCTCGCCAGCCCAACCATTCATAGGTACAACCCAGAACCTCGCAGCGGATCGCGCGGTCCTGATAATCATTTGGCTTCTCTCAAGCCCCAGGTAGCTTCTTCGAGGTGTAAGGTACATATATCCCTGGCCAATGCACTGCCGATGCAGGAGACGCTGTTCCTGTGCTCGCGATCGCGAAGATGCGTACATACAAGTACGCTTCCGTGGGACATGAAGGGGCCATCCGACCCGAAGCTTCCTTCCGTGAAGATACCTCAAGCATTTGCAAGAAAAGAAGTGTAGAGTCGCTCTTACTATGATGGCTTTGTTGCTCTGAACCACCGGCATGACAAAACGCCGTCAACCACCAACCCGTCATCGATGTAAGGTGTTTTCATCAACCGCTCCATACATCACAGAGGGTCCATCGTTCAGGGCGGATCCGCATCTTGACTCGATTGGTTCGATTGCACACGGAAGCGCGAATTTGGCAGGTTTGACCAATTAAATCATCATGTCACGGACTTGTATACACGGGCGTCGTCGTTGCTTTTTCAATCTTCAGCTGGTTTAACTCCAACTCCCCGGACTTTTCAGGTTAGCCCTGTCAAGAACTGGCCGCTAGGCCGGCTCTAGAGCGCCCAAGATCTGGGCGAAGGAGCAGACCAGCCAAAGTACCTATCTTCCCCAAATACAAAAGAACCACACTCCCCTCCGCTGGACCAGATTCGCAAACCCACAACGAATCGGCACACGAACAGCAGCATTTCGATCGTCAAAGCGAAAAACAGGACTTAACCATGTCGTCCACCCAGGGGTCTTGCAACAAAGGTAGCTCCGGCAGCTCCAGCGCTGGCGGCTACAACGTGACCTCTTCCGGCACCAACAGCAGCGTATGTCTCTGACGAAGTACAACTTGCACCCTTCCTTCGTACTCATGACATCTTCAGGGCAATCACTACTGCACCCGCGATTATGGAAGCTCGGCCTCGAACTCCAACTCGTACCACTATTCAAACAGCGACGGAAGGTGAGTACAACATCTATTGGCTAGGTGCTTTATTAATCTTTGCCAGCTACTACTACTCCAACCCGAACGGTAGTACTTACTACAACACTGGTAATGGAGGCAGCACCTACACTGCGCCGGGCCGCAAATAGGAAAGAGAGAGGCTTGGCCAAGGCGAAGGAGGCGAGGGTCGACCTCAATAAATGATGCAAGCACGAAATTCAAACCCGACTCATCGCTCCATAGCTATCGAATGGTCGGGGCGACTACAAGAATTGATTGCTCCGCTGATGCACGACCTCCGCTATTGTATCAAGAGCCGCTGGCCGCCTAAAGTACATGGCCGAGATGGGGACTGACAGAATTCACCTGAATACATACTCCAGGGACTTTAGCAAACACATCTCCCCGCCTTTTCCTTTCCAAGACCTCCCTTTCATTCCAAGCTCCCCCTTTCCCGTTCGCGCTGTCACTACGACACAGTTCTTCTCGCCAGCTTTGCAAAGTGTCTACGAACATCCATCTGTCAACGTCCCGCCAATATGACTTCTCACCATGACTTCAACGCATGGAACGCGTATCAAAGGGAGGAATCGGTCTCAGCAAGGTAGGATCCTTTCTTGTGACCTCCCGGGCACCGACAACAACGTTGGAGACCCTCGAAAATACTCATCAAAAGACTTCATCCTGCCTTTTGACCAGGGAATCACCGCTGCTCGCGCATCTGCGTCACTTCTCAACCCTGTCAAGTATCGTACCACTGCTCCAACACGGGCGAAAGGTATGCACATGTCCAGCTTGACAATCATCTATCGACTCGAATTACCTGCTGATATGCACTTCTCAGCTACCGTTACAAGAAATCCGACGGCAGCACGCACTACAGTGGCGATGAGGACAGCAATCACATGCCGGCTAATAAGAATGAGCGATCCATTGCATCGCAGTCGATTCGTGCCGGGCCTCTGGTCGTCGTCCTGCTTATTCTGTGGATCGTTCAGGGGAAAGGGCACAAGATCGGGCCAGTACCAACGATTCTCGTTATACCGTGTAGCTGAAAACAGTTTGTGTGGCGGGAGAGTGCCTCAATTTGTGTTGGCTGAGCGCCGCACGTTGTTTGCGAGCTTGTCCAGCTGCCATTCAAAGGAGTTGGAGATGCGATCGTTTCCGTAGAATCCAAACAGGGCCCTGGTGCAAATTTGCCATGCTCGCTCAAATGATGCTTGCTTTGGGATGAGAACAATTGCTCTATTATTGTGTTTATTGAACTTCGCAAAAGCCGAAAGAAAGCCTCTCCGCTGTCGATCATTCCCGACGGCACGGGCCGATATCGCGGATCTGCGATCTCACGGCGAACGCGACTTTCGGAATTTGGATGTCCTACCCATCTCACACCTTCCACACACAAATCACCACTCACCTTACACCACCCCATCYCTCCTCCGATGTCCACTGTAGGCCCCTCACGAAAACGGCGGAGGGTTTCACCAGGCGACGACGTTCCGATTGAAGGCACCCTCGAGTCGGAAACAATGGCTTCTGCTGCCCAAACGGCTTCTCGCCAGGCGGCCGAGCCCATTGAGAAGGAGGAGAACCACCACAAGAAGCCATGTCACCACGAACAAGAACTGCTCAGCCTACACAACGACCTCAGCTCGATGCGCCACCTTATCACCTGCAATATCTGCCAGCGGTTCATGTATGAGCCGTACGCCTTGCCATGCGGGCACACGTACTGCTACAGCTGTCTGGCCGAGTGGATGGGGACAAACCATAAGAAAACGTGTCCTGACTGCCGCACCTACACCAAACAAGAGCCCACTCCCGCATTCATAATCAAGGAGATGGTGCTCATATTTGTCAATCGAACTCAATTGCTGGCAGACGGCGAGACATCTGAGGAGCACCATCAATTGGCTCGAGAAGAGGCTGATATCGTTGCAAAGGATCGCGCAGACACGGATGAGCGACAAGGAGGACTTTTCAAGGGCACATTCTCGCGTGCGTCGGCACGGCCCGTCACTGCTGTCCACGATACTAGTGACCACGTGGATCGTTGCCCGAATTGCCTCCACGAGGTGGAAGACGGCTGGTGTCTCACATGCCACGTGCGTGTAAGATCGTCTGACAGCGACTCGGACGATACGGATTCATCTGACATGAGTGGGGAGGATCACATCGGCCTGGACGTACATCATCACATCACCATATCAGACATATCATCCGACGACGGCTCGGATTCTGAGGATGCCGAAGATCTCTCGGGCTTCGTTGAGAATGACATTCGATGGGAGAGCGACGCAGACCAGCCGGACTATTCCTTCGAGGCAGTGGACTTTGAAGACACACCTCAACCGCAAGGACAAGCTCCACTCCTGGTGTCCGACGAATCCGATTCCGAATCCGATTCGGACGACATGCAGCCAATACGTCGACGACGCCCCGTGACTATTGACTCCGACTCAGAGGACGATTCTGATGAGGTCGAGGATCCCCCTGTGCGGCCCAACGGTATGCGGAGTCGTGGCGTCAACCGAACGGACGTCGAAACGTCGAGCAGCCGCAGATCTGACAGCGAGGACACGACCCGGCATGATGCCAATGCTGGCTTCTCACCGCTTCAGTACGATAGCGACGAGAGCAACGACACGACACGGCCCGTCGCCAATTATCACGCAAGTAGCCGGATCCACGTGGAGTCAAGCTCAGACGAGGAATCTGACCAGGCTAGCGAATCCAACGTTGATGAGGAGAGCGATCGCAGTACAAACGGCGAGTCAGCTAGCGATGACGATGAGGCTGGACAGACTGACGACATGGAGATGGGAATGGGTGAGCCTGGATCCGAGGAGGACAGCGACGGATCTGAGCAGAGTACGGCTACTGGGTGGGATCTGCGTCGCCATTTGGTGCCCTTTGATCAAAAACTAACATGCCTCGCAGATACTCCGATTGAGGCAAACCCTCGTCACCGTCTAGAGACTTTGGTTCAACGCCGCGCGCGCTTCGTTGATCCAGGCTCGTACAACTACACCGGTTATCCCCTCTCAATACCCGACCTGCGGGATCCACGAATTTCACGTCGCAGCATGCTTCGGCCTCAACTCACTCATTCCTCTACGCGCCGCAGTGCAGAGATCGAAGCACCAGCTCATCCATTCAACCTCGACAGCACGCTGGCTCGTATCAGCGCGGACCGAGAGGCGTCCCGTCGAGYTCGCCTTGAACTCGCGACAACAAGCAACCAGAACCGGCGAGGCCAACCTTCACACCGCCACTCTAGCTCTACTACCCCCGGAACAGCAGGCCGACATGGGACGAGAGCGCCAGCTTCGGGGTCGAGTGGCAGTGAGAGTAGTAGGACCGCGCGTGACAAAGACCATGATACGGGGACTCATCTGATGGGAACAATGGATGACACGTCTGACGGTTCGTCCAGTTGGTGAAGTTCTCAATGTCTTGGACGGACCAATGGCTCAAATACCCTTTCAATGGTCCAGCGTACAGGTGGACTCCGTCTGAGATGCACTGCGTCGAGAAGGTTGAAGACTCTGGCAGTGGGTGGACAATGCAAACTTTCTGATATGCGTAAGTAACGAGTTTCAAAGCTACAAGATATTATGATCAAGTCCGAAAGCTTGAAACTCATGTCRCACGTGTCTCTCATCGACGCTCGCATGAGATTATGCTGGCTGCGGACGGCGTGCGCGAGGAGAGCAGTTTACCTAGAATCGAGGTCTTTGTATCTCGCTGGCCTCCAGGATATCCATCTTGCTGCTGGGACGTTCACTGAGGAGCGAATTGGCCACGTATGAGCAAAATGTCGTAGGTGAATGAGTACAGACTCTGCTACAGAGCAGAGTTTCCTCGGACACAATTGGACGACAGTGCTTCATCGGATGCCGTCTATGTTCTCCATAACCGTACGCGTAGGTGCACACAGCCTTCCCCTCCCCCCATCCGCTCGCCTTGCGCCCTTGTGTTGTTGCATCCTCTGGTAMTTTCCAGTGGCATGACCCGACCTCCTGCGATCCTTGGGCTCGTCTTAGGGCTCCACTTCATAATTCACAGCCTGTGAGAGAGCAATGATTGCTCGCATCAGAGTATGCGAGCTTCAAGTATCTCTGTCTCATCTGCACTGTGATTTCGTTGGCCGATGGGATTGAGACAGGCACCGGTCGATCGAATAAACTTACGGGAGGTAGCAACCAACATCTTTGAGATGCCACTCGCGATGTCGAGTTCGGGAGGTCCGCGCAAAGAAAGGAGGCGTACGAATCGGGGCGTTGAAGAAATGTTGGATCCAGGATGATTCCTACGAGGACCCGAGAGAAGAAGAAACCGAGGTGTAACATGTATACATGTGTGTACGGTATCACAGAGCAAATACGTTCTGAAGCATATAATTGGTAATTGTTTTGCTCTCCAACCCACCAGCATGATCGCTCTGAAACATGCGCCTAGAAATCCCACCATCTCCTTGCTTGAATCAACCAAAGAACTCACCATTGACAAGCAGCTCCCACGGTTTCCCCGTGTCCCACACCGTCTGCATCAACGAACGAGCGCGGCCTACATGCGACATACCCCATCCTTCGACGGCAGACAGACGATCCATAAAGACTTTCCGCTGCTCATCGGTCTGCGCTTCGCATCCTGCGGAGAACATGGGAAATAGCAAGCATCCTTCGGCAGGACTCCCTCGCCTCACTTTCGCCAAGGACTGGATCACCCTCTCAACCGACTTCTGTACCTGTTCATGACTCGATGGCAGCGCGAGCACACGTCTGCTCAGATGTATCAGGCCGGCCCAGTGATATGCCTCGTTTGTGGCATAGATCTCCTCAATGTCCTGCTCGTCCCTGTGACCGCCCGGCTCCTGCGCATTCGGGTTTGCGTGAGAATGTGTGCAACCCCGGAAAACGGTGCTTGCGCTGGCTTCGATACGCTTGCGCAGTTCCTCCGCCTGAGTTTGGATCTCCTCACTCGGCATCCAGTCTGGTCTGATCTCATTTATGACAGCATCGATCCGCTGGAGATCGCAGGATGCGGCGAGCTCAGCAACTTGCGCCAGTAGAGCGATGCATCGCCCCGAAAAGCCGAAGAAGCAGTCAATTTGGTAGATCTCCTCGTTGTCGCGATTGACTAGCCATAGCCCTCCGCCATCTTCCAAATATGCTCCGAAGAGCGGCTGTTCATGTCGATTGGACAGGCTACCCATCACGTCAAGATATGCAAACCAGCGGGAGAGGAAGAATATGGTCTTGTCGCGGACGCCGTCAGCGTCCTGAGAGAGGTGGTGCAGGCCTCCCTTGGCTACGATCAATTCCCGCGCGACGTTGACATGCTGCTGCCACGGGATCCGGATGGAAAAGGTGTGAGGAGTGATGATCTCGAGAGATGCGAGCATGACCGCAGTCGTGAGAGGAGCCAGAGATGCCGGATCATTCGGTTCAGGCATGCTCGGGAATGAAGGGTCGTCCAAAGCTTGACGCAAGGCAGGCAGGACGTCGGTCATCCATCCCGCAATCCGATTAGCTGGCTCCGGGTGGTCCAACAGTCTCGCTCTATGAGAGGCTGAAAAGGCCAGCAAAAGATGGAGCAGATTGACATTTTGTACGGCCATCAGAGGTAGTACTGTGCGGAATGGATTTTCTGGGCAGTCGTGAGGGACCAAGATTCGGCCAGTGTGATGGATGAAATGGTGAAAGTAGAGCAAGTTCATCTGGTTGCCCGCGAGCTCTGGAGGCAGTGGCTCGAGCGAAGTGGGGAGTCGTACGGCGACTGGCTGTGCGTAGTATCCACCAGGCTCGAAAGCAATCTGCCTGGCATCAATCTCGCCACTGTGCCCACTGACCTCAGACGGAGCTGCACTGGCGCGCCGCAGGTCGGGAGATCTTGGCAGTACTACGCTGTGGTCGTCGTTGTGAGGTACATCGAGGTCCGGGAATCCATGATCGTATCCATATGTGCGGTAGCCCTGATTATCAGAACGAGTACTCCGTACCCGCGGCGTCTCCTCGGTTGAGTCGGAGAGCAGAGACTTCACCGACAGTCTTCGAAGATCTGGTGCTTCCGGCACTGCCAACGCCGTGGACTGTGCCGAAAAAGGAGATTCGTAGGCTGTGCTGGAATCTGGGGTCGCCGGAGTGTTTACAATGCTACTGATGCTGTGAGCGGTGACATGGCTCGAATCTGGAGACTGGACCGGGGGGATGGAAAACTGCGAAGACGCCAGAGCTGGGTCGACGTGGAAGGCACGGGGACTACTGAGCCTGACACGTTTTGCACGATGCTGTGGCGACCAGCGGAATTCTTCCGTAGGATTAGAGGTTGTGGACGCTGCTCCTAGTCGAGAAGCTGCACTCGCATGATGATGGGGATTGGCTGGTACCAAGGGAACTGCCGCATTTGGATCGGGAGGTGAGTATGCCTCATACCCAATCACCTGCAGACGTGGGTCGATCATGGCGGTATTGGAGCTGGGCGTGGCCTGCGGCGTGGACGCATTCGATCTGCAACTGCTGCTGGTGGGTCGCTCTGAGACTGTGGCAATGTGCTGAGCAGAGAATATGTGCTCGTGTCCCGAGCCATTCTCCTTGGAGTAGCTCGCCGCACTTGGTGCCGAGACGAACGAGAAGCCTCCCTCTCCTTTTCCATCTTTGTCCCTTTTGGTTCGTCCTCCCCAGTTCAACCGAATGCTKTAATCGCACGTCTCGCCCGACTTCGAGCAGTTTGCACAATTTGGCTTCTCTTCCCCACACTTGACCTTCCGCGCCTTGCAGGGCCAACAACCAGTGCGACTTCGCTTTTTGGGCTCTGCGCCTGCTTCCTTCTTCGGTCGAGGCATGGCAATTGTTGGTGCGATGCGACCTTTTCAGCGGTGGCAGACGGTGTGTTTGTAGGCGGTGCTTCGTAGTTGCCGCTTCCAGAGTCCATATAGGGACTTTGCTTTCACACTTCAACGCAACGGCGACATGGTGCGCGCCCTCGGATGGTCCAGTGGGTACTCCTCTTGAAGAGCTCGCAAGTCGCTGGTCACTGTGTCGAGCATGCATGGGATCGCTGCTTGGAGTTTCACCGGGTGTGTACCGTAGTCCGAGAATCGTCGGGTCCAAAAGTCTTACAGCTTGCGAGGTTGGAGGCGTGGGGGGTTGTATGGTGTCGCCGTCGTCGCGGTTCGGTGCGTAGTAGGTAGTACCTTACCTATTGATAGAGAGAGTCGGGCATCGGCAGTCGGCATTGAGATGGACCGAGCGGCGACGACGCGACCTCCACCAAGCGACGAGCGAGAGATGACGTCCGAAAAATGCATTCACTTACCGACAATCACGCATTTGTGCCTTTCCAATTCGGCTCAACTTAGCATTGATGCATCATGGCAAAGTCCACGGCGCATAATGTGTTTGTACACCATCTCCAGAGGCTGCCATCTCCCTCCCGCGGACTTTCAGCGGCTTTGCACGTCGCAGGATTGAGCTCCTTTGCATACTCCTTTGCCTACCTCGTCCAGCATCCCAACCCGGTCAGCGACTCCTATGGTTGGCACATGCAGTATCTCACCATCATCGGTCTGTCGCTCGCAACGCTCACCTTTGGCGCTGGTCTCCTCGCAGACATCACACTCTCCCCGCGCCTGTTMCGCGTTAAGAATGCCCTCAGTATCGCCAGCGCACCAATGGAAGTGCTGATCAGCATTCTGTACTGGGGATTACAGGCCGTTGACCCCAAGCTTGTCATGCCGGACTGGGCGGCACCGCTAGAGCTGCACGCGGATCTCTCCTTCCACGCTGTCCCTTCTATTGCACTGGTCCTTGACCTGCTCCTCTTTTCTCCTCCATACGCAGTTGATTTTCTCCCCGCTTTCGGTCTGAGTGGCTGCATTGCATTCGGGTATTGGTTTTGGATTGAACACTGCTACCAGAAGAACGGATTCTACCCGTACCCCATCTTTGAGCTGCTCGATACAACACAGCGCATCGGGTGAGTTTGCGCAAACTATGGGAAAGTAATGCTCCGCTGACCTGTTGTAGGCTCTTCGCTTTCTCCGCGCTCTTGATGACAGCATCCACTGCACTGCTGATCTGGCTGTATGCTGTAGTGAACGGACAGGGAGTGGGTGATTTGGAAGAGAAGGTCGAGGGCGAGGTCAGGAAGGAGAAGAGCAAGCTGTCGAGATGAGCGCACGATCTTTGCAGATAAATGGATACAAGATTCCCTGGAAAGCAAAGCGATTTGCTCGGAAGATTAGCGGACTTTCCACCCGCGCCTTCAGTATATCCAGCACATAGATACCCAGACATACGCATGCCATGCTTGCACGCAAGCTCTACAGCCTTGACCTCGCTGCCTCAAGCGCCACAAGAATACCATGTCGGACAGATTCCACAATATCTCCGGCGGATTGCTCGATTTTCACCAAACCCACGCCTGTGCCGGCCCACGTGGCCGCTCTGCCAGAGAGATCCGCCGCAAATCCCCGACTGTCTTCTTTGATGGCTTCAGAGTGACGCTCACGAATCTCGTCAATGTGGACACCTTTAGCATGCTCTTTAAAGCTCTGGATCCGAAAACTCCGGCCATCATACGGTTGTGGCCATGCGTTTGGACCTCGCAGCTCGTCGAAAAGCTTGGATCGAACAGTGCATTGTCCACCATCCTTGGCACCGAGTATAGCTCTTCGATATTCGGGATGAACGTTGGTCTCCGATGCTGCCAGAAAGCGGGTTCCCATGACGACTCCTTGCGCTCCGAGTGTGAGTGCGGCGGCTGCTGCTCGACCTTCTACGATACCTCCAGCAGCAACAAGAGGTATGTGGCTGTATCCAGCAATGGCTAGCGTGTCCACGACCTCCGGAAGAAGTGAAATGATCCCGGCACCCTGCTCATATCCATGGCCACCTGCGTCAATTCCCTGATGTCGTATCAGCTGCGTTTGAAGGTGGACGAGATCAGGAATGGACAAGTTAGCAAAGGCCTGAACAACGCTTTGTCCGCAGTCCTCGATTATTCGCCCTCTACTTACCTGTATGCACATTGTATCAGGCTTGACATCCTTCGCAATATGAAGCGCGCCATCGACAGATCCAATCTGTACCCACACCTGAGAATTCGGGGAGACTCTACGGACCTCTTCAGCCCACGTCGTGTAGTCGTGGATACTGCGAGCTGCAAAGAGCCAAACGATGCGTGGTCTGAACCTCTGTATCACTTCGAGGACGGCTGGCATCTTCATGGCAAACAAAAGAATGCCAACACCAATTGGTAGTAGGTCGTTGTGCCGATCGAGTGCCTCTTCTACTTTGGTAAGCTCGGCTGCCAGGTTGGTCAAGTTCCCATCAGATCCAATGAAGCCAAGACCTCCCGCTTTGAAGACTGCAATGGCGAGATCTGCGAGGGCGAAACCTCCCATCTAGCTTCAGACGCACGGTAAGTGTTTTGTTTGTGTGGGCTTTGATGCCCGCGGGCGCTTACGGGAGCATTGATGATCAAAGGCCATTGTGTGAAGGGTAAAGACTCGCGGAGAGACATGCTACAGCTGATACAACGAGGTTAAAGTCAAGCGGCGGAGGTGTGCTCGTAGGCGTGAAGATCAAGGCGAAGCTGAAGCTGACGGAGGTGAGGTGTGCTACCTTGTTCGGCTTTCGGCAAAGCGGGAGACGGGCTCCACAGTGAGATTGGAGGCGTCGCGCATCCTTTCCCATCGACCCAAGAATATCATTCATCGACCGGTCCCTTTGAGAAATGCATTCCGTCGGTGCGGTGACTGCCCACTGTAATAAACCCAACGAGTCCCGGGATGAATTGTGGCCAGCCTTGCGGTTCAATGTCAAGCGGTCAGATCTAGAAGCAGAGTGGCGGCTCCCGTTCTTGCCTTTTTGAACACGACACAACCTCAATGTTTCTCTATCAGGGCGTATCACGACGGTAAAGCGGAGTCTTTGCACCAGGTCTCGTATGGGATTCGTTGCGCCAATCGTAGCGGAAACCACGGAGGATGCACGAAGGATCAAGCCAGCATGACTCATAACGGCCCTGCCATGGATACATACACTCGATGCGAGGAGACGAATTGCTCAACCTTTCCACAGCTTCGTTCCTACAGCAATGCCTTCTAGCTCGTCTCAGTTGCTCCTTGACGGGGTGATCGACACGCTGTCTGCCTTGATGTCTGGAGGGAACAGCCCAACCAACCTCTCGCAGTTACGCCACCGACTGAACCTCCTCACCGCATGGCTTGGAGACCCTTTCTCGGAATCCAACATCTTACCTGGCTCTACCGTTCTCGAGATTGGCTGTGGGCAAGGGGACATGACGGTGCCACTGGCCCATTTCGCTCGTCATGTCATCGCCGTAGATCCGGCTCCACTGGACTACGGCGCACCCTTCACTCTCGGTCAGGCGCAAGACCAAATCTCGCGCTCAGCTCAAGTCGGGGAAAAGATCACGTGGGTGCAAAGCGATCCGATTCAATATATCCAGAGGACATCGGAACTACTGCCAGACTTTGCTGTCCTCGCTCACTCGCTTTTTTACCTCGAGTCTGAACAGTACTTCGTAGAGCTCCTTCGAGCTTTGGCCGTCGTGGCTCGGAGACACGGGGACGGGAAAGCCATGAAAGTCCTGATTGCGGAGTGGGGCATGCGAGCCTCGAATTCTGCAGCTGATGCGCATGTTCTCGCCGTAAAAGCTCAGGCTGCCAATCCAATCACGGATGGCAACGTGCGGACAGTGATCACGCCGGCAGATATTCAGAGACTAGCTTCAGAAGCTGGTCTGAAGATCGAACGGGAAGTCTGGCTTGCCTGTCCCGATGTCGAAGACGGGCAATGGGAGGTGGGTTCTGTAAAAACCATGGAATATGATGGCGTGGCGGGGTTTCAAATTCGCGCGATGGAGCGTGCTGTAGCAGAGCTAGGCGATCGAAAGATTGCAAGTATGGATGTCTGGACGGGTGTCTTTGTTTTGTGAGCGGCGTGCTATACGCTTCCTGATGAAGGGCGCAAACCACAACACACAACAACAACCAAGGAGGTCATGCATTGCGTATGTGGTTGGACGAGGGAATGATTTGCTGTACCTCGCCGAGTGAATGGACAGGACTATAGGCTCTTGATATAGTCCTCGCTTAAAGGCTGAAGGCGATCGATCAACGTGGACACTTGGTAGTGGCGTGAAAATGAGTGAAGAAGATTCGATAGTCTATGTAAAGTTCGAACAGAAGCTGCTTTTTGCATGCCCTATGTCTATACCAAGCCACTCCGCGGAGGTGGTAAGTGCCCAAGCTATTACTACGTGTTACGGGCGAGCAGCGTATACACAGGAGCTTAGGTGAGGTTTTGATTGAATAAGTTCGATAGGGAAGAGAACTATCCTCCGCGGATTCCGACACAAAGTACGCGGATGCTAAGCGTTCTATATAGGCTACGCCTATGCTTCGGCCTTAGGGCTTCGCCTATTATATTACCCCCCTCCCCCCTCTCCCCCTTCCTTTTCGGTACGGAGCGCGGGAAAAAATTCCCGGGCTCCGGCCGCTTACTTTACTACCGCCCTCCGCTTTATAATTAGGTAGCCGCGTGCGTATATATACGCTTCCCGTCCTTCCCGCGTTCCGCCCTTACTTTACTTTACCTCTCCGCACCGGAACCGTCGGACTTAGGCCGAAAAGCGCCGCTAACTTATAATTAGAGTTGTTTACTGCTGCCTTACTCCGCCGCCCCGCTATTTACTATACCGCTCCGCTACGTATATATAGCGGATCCCCTCCCCTCCCCTCTTTCTTTCGTTAGCTATACCTTTACTAACGTGCGTATTATTACCCTTTCCCCCCTTCCCTTCCTCCTAGGAGGCATCCCCCCTTTCCCCTGCTCTCCGATAGTTTTTAACCGGTTTCCTTAGATGTCTAAGCCAAACTATATCTACTATATTAGCTACGCCAACTCTAGGGTCGATTGCTTAACTTAGAAGGTAAGTCCCGGACTCCGACCCTTTTCCTACGCTCTCCGCTAATATCTTAGTCTTCCCGCACTCGCGCCTATAAGTTATGCTCTAATAGGCGTTAACCCTATAAGGCCCTATATATATACCCTAGGTTCCGACCGTTTTACCTCGCTAACCGTGGGATTTAGCCCGTCTCTCTACTATACTACGTATGCTGCCTAGACTAGAGCTAGGGATAAGGAGGACGCGTAAGATATTGCCCGCTTCCCGATCGTTTTCTATCGGCTTACGCGCGTTTTAGCGAGATTACCTTTAAGGACCTTAAGACCGCTATTAAGGTTATTAACCCTCTAGAGATTCTAAAGCTCTAGATGCTACTCCCGCCGTAAGTTCTCCGCTCTCCGGCCCTTTTTCGTCGCTAACCGAACTTTAGTTATATATATAATACTTTTAACATTACTATCGACACTAAGGCTATATAGGCCGCTCTTACGTAAGTTTACCCCGTTCTCCGCTACTTTTCCGTCGCTAATCGTAATAGTCCTAGTAGTCTGGTTCCTGCCCTATAGCTAGGAAAGCGCCGCTCTTAGCCTAAGTAAGTAGTGTTTCGGTCGGGCTCCGTAGGAATAACCCTAGAGTCCGTAAGTCTCTCCTAGTCTGTCTAAGAAATAAAATGTTACTATTATAAAACGTCGGTTCCCGTCTCTTTTTCGTCGGTCTCCCGTAAGTTCTACAATCTCTAATAAAAAGTCCAAAAAGCAATCGTATAACGCCTATATCCGTAACCCGTTCCCCGGGGGCCGTTAAATAACGGCCGGAGTCTCCTAAATCGCTTTAAACTCCCGTAATCCTATACTCTACCCTTTATCCCCGTAGTGTCTCCTTTTAAGTCCGGCGTTTAGTCGTCGCTTTCCCCCATTTTTCCTTAGGGCCGTCGTTCTCCGCTACGTCGCCGTATTAAGTCTCGAAAAGGTCTAGAGCCGCGGTGTCCGATAAGTTTTCTAAGGGTTCCTACGTAGGCTCGTAGTATTCGGCCTATTTTACTAGCACTTCCCTCCCCTTTCCTCTATTTCGAGGTTTGTTCCTCGTATAGAGAATTTGCTCTACCTCCTACTCGTCGTAAGTCTTAAATAGCACTAGGTCCGGCTATTTGTCGTCGGACTCCTACTTAGGTAGAGGGTCGCTACTCGCTAGCATTAGCTTATCCGGGTAAAACACGGGGTAGATATTCTTAGGGAGCCCCGTTAACCTAAAGGAGACCGGCGATAATACTTCGGAGACAGTATATTTTACGTGTCTCTCCGCTAGACTCCTCTTCGGCCGGTCGGTATCGTAGTTCCTTAAGTCGAGCTAGACTTTATCGCTAATATTATAGACTAGTGCTAGTTTGCGTAACTTGTTTACGGCTTCCTCTTATTTCTATGCGGAATCCGCTATACTAGCTTAGGATAAGGTAGTAATTTCCTTAATCTTTTCTACGAATTAAGCCGCTCGTTCTACGGCGGCTAGCTTCGGAGAATCGTCGTTCTCCGGCTCTAGCGCTACGGGCGGTAGCGCCTCGTAGCCGTAGGTAGCGAAGAAGGGGCTTATCCCTAGTCTCGCTTAATACCTCCCGTTTAGCGCTAATTATGCTACGGGGAGCTATCGATTCTAGTCGGATTGCTCCCTATTAATGTAGTTCCGAAGGTAGGCTTGTATTTCCTAGCTTATTTTTTCCGGGCCTCCGTCCGTTTAAGGGTAGTAAGCGGAGCTTAATCGCTAGGTTACGCCCGTAAGGCGGCATAGGGTCCTTTAAAAGGTACTAGTCTAGTTCGTTCCTCGATCGCTAGTAATTACCCGTAGTAAGCCGTAGTAGCGCACCTAATACTCTATAAAGTTCTATACGTAGTCCTCCGCTTTTATGCCGGACATCGCTTATATACGACTAACTTACTTAAGCGGTCCTTAATTACCTATAGGTAGCGGTTACCCTACGAGTCTAGTAGATCCGTTATAAAGTCTATAGAGATCTCCTAGAAGAACCTTTCGGGGACCGGTAAGGGCTTTAGGAGTCCGTGCTTATGCTCTCGCTATACCTTATTCCTTCCGTAGTAATCGCAATTACGTAGGAACTGCCTTACGTGTTTCGAGTATAGAGGCTAGTAAAACTGCCTTCCTACTAACAATGCCGTAGAGTTCCGCTTAGGGTAGCGGTATACCGGTAAATCGTAGACGGACTAGATTAGCTTCGTCCGGAGCGTGTCTCCTCGTAGAGCGTCGTAGTCTGCTACTTTATATTCGGATTCCGACGAGATTAGTACTTCGGGCACCTATAGTTTGCCTCGGTATTAGAGCCTCCCTTCTTTATTAAGGGAACAATCGCTAGCTTACACTTTTAACTTAATATCGCTAGGTAGCGTTCGGTCTCCGTCTTAAACTACGCGGCGTAAGGCTTAGTAGACATAGTCGCCCTTTTCCACTTCCCCCTATAGTACGTTTAGTTCGCGTTCCTAAAACGGTCCGTTAATTTCCGACGGTATCTCTCCGGAGATCGGCTATTCCCTAACGGGAACGAGTTCTTATCTAGCCGTATCTCGGAGGGAGCTAGTCGTAGCTATAACTACGTCCGTAGCTTCTTCTACGGGTTTAGGCTAATCTTTTACGGAATCCGGGTTTAAGAATCGGCGGAACCTCGAACGTTTGTCGTCTTGCCTAAGGGTGTCTTATTCTCTCCTCGATAGGGCGTCCGGTATAATTACTTCGGCTCCCGGTCGGTATACTAGGGTGAACTAGAATTGCGCTATAAATTCCACCTATCTAATTTAGCGTTCTAATAACTGCCTTCTTACTATAAAGTACTCGAGGTTCTTATAATCCGTCTAAATCGTAACGGACCTACACGCTTTAGCTCGGAAGTCTAGAATTTTAAGCAGGAGATAATTACTAGCATCTCTTTATCGTAGATGTCGTAGTTAATCTCTGCCTTGTTTAGTTTCCGCGAGAAGAAGCCTACGAGGTATAGGACTCCGTCTTAAATTTTTAGGAGGGCGCCTCTAATCGCAAACCCGCTATAATCGGCTTTAAGGAAGGTCTCTCGCGTTAGATCCTAGTAGGAAAGCACTAGAGCCTAATAGTACGCTGCCTTAAGTTTCTCGAACGCCTCCTCCTCCGCTTTTCCCTAGGAGAACGGCGTTCCCTTCCCGGTAAGCGCCGTTAACGGAGCGGCTAGCTCTAAATAACAAGCGATAAACATGCGGTAGTAGTTCGCGAACCCGAGGAATCTGCGGGTCTCCTTCTAAGTTTTAGGTCTTACCTAGTTTCTTACTACTTCTAGTTTTTCCGGGTCGGGTCCTACTCCTTTTCCGTCGGTATAGATAATAAACCCGAGGTACTTTACCTTCTTAGTTACGAACTCGTACTTCCTAGGGTCTAAGTATAGGCCTCCGTTCTAAAGTGCCTAGAGTACTTAACGAACCTTCCGGAAGTAGTCCTCTTTTATTCCGCTAGAGTAGATAATTACATCGTCTATATATATAGAGCAGAAGTCGTCGAGGAACTTTTGTAGTAGCCCGTTAATATACCGTTAGAAAGATGCCGGGGCCCCTAACAAACCGAACGGATATACTAACTATTCGAACGAACCGAACCGCGTACGGAACGCGGTTTTCTCTTCGTAACCGCTAGCTATACGGATATAATAGAATATAGCTACGACGTCTACCTTTATAATCTACTTAGCACCCGACAAGTTTCGCAAGGTCTCCGGGATTAACGGTAGGGGGTACCGATCCGGCTTCGTTAACTTATTAAGTGCGCGGTAGTTATAGCAGAACCTTAACCCCCCTCCGGGCTTCCGTATAAAAAGCACGGGGGCTACTACCGATAACGTAGAAGGACGTATATATCCTTTCTGCATTAAGTTATCTAAGGTCTTTCGTAATATAAGAAGTTCGTCCTTCGACATACTATATAGCGGGCCCTAAGGGCAGTTCTAGTAGGGACCCGTCTAGTTCCCTTCGGAGTTCGATTCGGTAATCGTACTCCCCTCTATACGGAGCTAACTTGTCCGCTTCCCGCTCGAAGAATAACGGGAGCATATCGTAAAGCTCTAGAGGTATGCTCTTCTTTAATTCTTCGAGAGTCCGAGGGTTCTTAGTCTTTAGAGCCTTCTCGATATCCGCTAAACAAGTAGCGGCTAACGTAGTAATATCGTTAACCTCTAGGTAGTTCCTTCCTTCCTTTACCTACTTCCGTAGGATTCTATAATAGAACCGGCCCTTATCTAGCGCGGTCCTAACCTTATTCTACGCCTTCTAGGGATTTCCCAAAACTAGCGGAAAGTCTAAGTCTAGTACGATATACGCGTATATAACTTAACTATATCCGTCGATTTCCATCCGAAGGGCTACTACTCCTTCTATCGCGGCTTTCTTTATGCTTAAAGTAGCCCCTTTTACCTTACGTTTCTCGCGACTTATAAAGGAGAGTCCGAGTCCTTCTATAAGGTCTCCGTAAATTGTAGCATAGTCCTAGTAGCCTTTATCGATAAGAGCGAAGCTTCCGAAGGTTTTCTCGAGGACTACGTTACTATATACTAGGCGACCGTCTATTATCTTCTTCGCTTCGCTCTATCCTGCTACTATTGCTTCCTTTACTCCTAGTTCCTAACTCTAAACGGGAGTTACTCTTTTCCCGACTCGTTTCCTCCTTAGTCCGACCCTTCGTAGTCGGACTCTAACATTAGCCCGACGGCTATCGTATTAATCTACGTCGCGGGGCGGATAGCCGGGGCGTATAGACAATCTTTTACTAGGTGTCCGCCCGCTCTAAAACGGAAGCAGAGCCTTACTTATCGGCATTTGTCTCGCTCCGCCTAGGAAACCTATTTAGCTCGCTATTTCCCGTTTTCCTTACGGTCTCCGTTAGTTCTTAGTCGGTTCCCGCCCGGTCGAGTAGGAGCTATTACTACGTCTCCGTCGGAGTCGACGCGATAAGTCGCGGGTCTCGAGTAAGAACGAGTAGTAACCGTTATAGTAGTGCCGCTATCCGAGTGCTTTTCCCTCTACTTCTTATTCGAGGATTTAAACTAGTCTGTCTCTTCGAGGTTAGTTATAATCCTTTCTACTTCCTCTACGAAGTCGTAGTAGTCCGTTAACTTCTATATAGAGGCCGTATGCGTACGTACTAGGTTCGAGAAGGTGTTCTTTAGGTATACGATCTTCGCATCGTCGGTCTAGCTCTATCCGCTAGCACTTAGTAGGAGTCCGTCGAATTCTAGCTAGTAATCGTACGAAGGTTAGCTAAGGGAGTGTCTAAGACTCGTAAGCTGTTCTAGGGCCTTTGCTCTCTCGTTACTATCCCCGAAGACTTTCTCGATCTACGTGAAGAAAGCGTCGGGATCCGTCGCTTCGGCGGCTAGCCCCGCTTCCTAGAAGTAGCGTATCCTCGCTCTCTCCCTAGTAGGGAGGGTGTCGTAGATAGAGTTCTAGTAGTAGTCCGCGGAGAGCGTTAGCTTAAGGCCGGAACGCACTCGGTAGGAGCTTTTTAGCCTAAGAAGGTAATCCCTAAAAGTGTCGGCTCTACTATCCTAGGTTAGCGGTCTCTAGTCCTTTAGTCCCGATAGTTCCCGTACGGAACCCGCCTAGGTTAGCGCTAATACCGATTCTATAAGGTTCCGCATTATTACACTTATAGGGATGTTGTAAGGGCCGTGTGAGAGCCCTTGCAATAACAGGATTAATAGAGGTGGCTGGATCAACCAACCTCAGAGAAGGGAGTGTAATGTGGCCTAACTGCTTAGCGCAGGCTTGGCGCATGCATAACTCCTGCGCACAGCGCACATTCAACCTGCAAGAATTAGTCTCATCTCTAATCGAGTGATTACGGGTGTCTAATACATTGCTACATCTTTACCCTTACAATTCTAATTCTTCTTCCTCTCTGAGGGTAGCGATCTATTAGATCCTAACGAAATGGCCCCTAGGCGCGCCGCCCGCGAAGCGACTGCTCCCGAGCAGCGCTACGAAGAAGAACGCGTCGAAGAACTCCCTAACCACGATGTCGAAGAAGTCGCTGCCGTAGAGCCTATACAGCCTACTCTAGACGAAGACACGATAGATTACGGAGAAATCGAACGCGATAAGGAAGAGACGGCTAATAAGATAATCCAGCGCCTCGAAGGCGAGAAGCAGGCTCTACAGCAGCAAGAGACGATTCGCTAACTTCAGTTAGAAGTCTAACAAATAAAGCGCAATCGTAACCGCGCCGACGCAGGCGTAGCCACTGCTATACCCCGCCGCGGAGTCGTGCCTACGCGCCTCTTGCATAAGGAAGATCCGGATGCTATAAGCACCTCGAGTTCAAGCGTAGCGCATGCGCGCAGCGGAGTAGGCGCAAGACCTAAGATAAAGGATCCTAAACYATTCTTAGGGGATTCTATTAAAGAGGCACGCGAATTCCTACGCCAACTYAAGATAATCTTCGCTAATACTACTACTGGCCTAGAGAGTRACTATAATAAGGTCCTCTATAGCGTTATGTAGCTAGGAGGTAACGCCGCGGAGTCGTGGCACAACGAGCACGATATCGAGGCGCTTACGCCGAGCTATACGTGGGAGGATTTCCAATCGTTCGTGCGCAACACCGTCGGGGACCCTACGAACCGCGCGCTCAGCGTTACGCTTAAGTACGAAAGGGTTCGGCAGAGCCAGGATCAAACGGTAAAGCAATTCGCCCTTAAACTAGAAGTGCTAGAGAGTTAACTAGACTACACGCAAGCRCAGCTCGTGCGTTAGTTCCTCGCTAAGCTAAGACCAGCTCTCCGTTAGGAGATTATTAAGTTACACTCTATACCTGCAACAAGGGTAGAGATAGTAGCGCTAGCAAGGCGCATTAAAGCAGCCGATAAGGGTACGAGCGCATAGCTTGCGGGTACTAAGCGCGGCAATTATAAGTCTTAGGACTATAACCGTAGTGGCAGCAGACTACGCAAGAATACCTACAATCGTGATAAGGAACGCAAACCTAAGTCCAACCGTAGTAGCGAGCAGCCTTTACGCAAGCGTGAAGAAGGCGCTAATTCAGACCTAAAGTACTCTAACTGTGGCCGCACCGGCTATGCTAATAAGACATGTTAGGCTAAAGGCGGCGGCGTAGAAGGCCAAGGGCCGAGCAATGCGCGGAGTAAGGTCACCGTAGTCGTTACGGAAAAAGCAAAGGACTCCGAGAAAAAGCTCAAACTCTAAGTCCAAAGCTATTAAGCAAGGTCGACATGCATCTAGCGCGCCACTAGCGCGGCGCAGTCGAAACGAAGGCAGGACCAATGTAGGTCGACTGCCTGCTAGACGATGCAGCCGATATTAACGTTGTATCGAGAGAGTTCGTGCTTCGAGCCGGCTTACTAGCGAGAGTGGATGCGCTATTGCCATCTACATCCTCCTTTACCGGAGAACTAGGTCACTACTACGGAGCGCACGTTATGCGCCTGCGTATCGTAGACTCGGAAGGAGTCGAACGAATAATAGAAGCAACCTTCTATACATACGAAACTCCGAAGCCCGAACTAATATTAGGCCGCCCCTAGCGACGTACACAACGTGTGATCGTCGACAGCGCTACGGATGCGTGGCGCTTTAGCAAACTAAGCTCCAGCCGAATTAAGGTTATTAATCTACAGGAGTTTTACCGTAAGATGTAGGGTAAGCACACAAGGGTTCTCGCAGTAAGCGTATTACGCACTAGCGAAATCCTTAGCATGCCCGAACTTCCGGAGGAATTCAAGGCATATTACGATGTGTTCTTTCCTACGGATGAGGCGAGGCGCAAGCTCCCCGATAACGTGGAGCACGCTATCGATTTGGAGCTAGGCAAGAAGCCGCCCTTCAAACCTCTCTATTATTAGTCTCCGAAAGAGCTAGTGTAGCTATAGGAGTACATTACTAAAGCGACTAAGAACGATTGGATCGAGCTTAGCGAAAGCGAGGCGGGTGCGCCTATCCTGTTCGTTCCGAAAAAGGATAGCTCACTGCGCTTATGTGTGGACTATCGCGGCTTAAACGAAATCACGATTAAGAACCGCTATCCACTTCCCTTAATTAGCGAGACGCTTGATCGACTTAGGGGCAACGCATTCTTTACCAGCCTAGACCTCTCGGCTGCGTATTATCGCATTAAGATCAAGGCTAGCGATCGCTAGAAGACTGCGTTTCGCACGCGTTACGGACACTTCCAATATAAGGTTATGCCTTTTAGACTGTGCAACGCACTAGCGACTTTTTAAGGATACATTAACCGAGCCTTATCGGGGCTAGTTGATGTAATCTGCGTCGTTTACTTAGATGACATTCTCATCTATAGCAAAGACCGAGCGCAACACTAGCGTGACGTATGCGCCGTACTCGACAGGCTAAGGAAGTTTTAACTTTACTGCAACTTTAAGAAGTGCAGTTTCTTCTAAGATTCAGTCGATTTTCTCGGCTTCGTGGTTACTACGCAAGGCGTTACGATAGACCCACGTAGGGTAGACGCAGTCGCCGAGTGGCCTCGGCTAGAAACCCTTAAGGATGTGCAAGCACTCCTTGGGTTTACCAACTTCTATAGGCGGTTCATTTAGTAGTACTCACGCATTATAAGGCCCTTAACCGACCTATCGAAGGGAGCTATTAAAGGCAAGAAGCTAGGGAAGATCCCTTAGGGCGCTAGCGAAGAGAATGCGCTAAGCCAGCTTAAGGAAGCCTTTTAGTTAGCCCCACTGCTAAGGCACTATAACCCTGCGCTTCGCCTGCGAGTCGAAACCGACGCATCGGACTTCGCGCTTGCGGGCATCCTCTCACAGCAGTTTAAGGACAAACAGTGGCATCCTATTGCTTTTTGGTCACGGAAGATAATCCCGGCCGAATGCAATTACGAGACCCACGACAAAGAGCTACTTGTAGTAGTAAGTGCGTTTAAGCAGTAGCGCCCGTACCTCGATGGCGCTGCGCATGCGATTTAAGTAATCGTCGACTATGCTAACCTTAAAGCTTTTATAACGATAAAACAGTTAGTCGGTCGACAGGCACGATAGGCGGTTTAATTAGCGCCCTTCGACTTTACTATCGAACATCGCGCAGGGATAAAGAACCCTGCGGATGGTCCGAGCAGGCGCAGCGACTACGAAACGAGTGCGACGGAGTCGTCTTAGCATATAAGCATACTATTACCTACACTGCAGAGCAAACTTTAGAACTAGCAATCTAATAAAGCTCTTCGAAGCGAGTTAGAGCCCTCTATTAGAAGAGTAAGAGCTATGTGCTACGCGATCAAGTGCGAGGGATTACTGCCTGCTAGAGCATGCGGCGAGCTTTCGCTACCTAGGCGTGTTACAGCCGTCCTAGCAGCTACAGACTTAGCCCTTAGAAATATTCCAGACCTAATACTCGGTTACGCTAAAGCACTAGTGAACGCAGACGCAGATGCTTCGAGCATGCGCGACGCGGCTAGGGAGAAGGGCGAGTACGAAGGCTACATTATTAAGGATGGAACATTGTTCCACGGCGATGCCCTATACATTCCGAAAGACCACGCTTTGCGTGCGCAACTAATGCGTATACACCACGATAACGCTCTCGCCGGACACTTTAGGAAGGCGAAGACGCTCGAGTTACTTCAGCGGAAGTACTACTAGCTACGCATAGCTACTAATGTCGCAGAGTACATTAAGGGGTGCTACATATGCCTCGCAAGTAAGGCGCGGCACCACCGCCCCTACGGAGCAATAGTTCTATTGCCTATGCCGGATCGAGCATAGCAAGAAATCAGCATGGACTTTATTACGGACCTACCTCCTAGTAAGCGCGGAGACAGCGTCTATACTGCGGTGCTCGTAATCGTCGACCGCTACAGCAAGATAGCTTTGTTCATCCCTACTACTAAGCAATGCAATATAGTAGAGCTAGCGGATATCTTTATATCTCACGTAGTTTGCAAATACGGCGTGCTAGCAGGCATTGTTAGTAACAGAGGCTCGGTTTTCACTAGCTAATACTAGTCTGACTTCTGCTACGAAGCGCATATAAAGCGCAAGCTAAGCACAGCCTTCTACCCTTAGACGGATAGACAGACTAAGAAAGCCAATTAGACGCTTGAGCAATACCTGCGCTGCTACTGCGGCACGCAGCAGGACAGCTGGGCGCAATAGCTACCTATAGCTGAATTTGCGTGTAACAACAGCGTGTACGCGGGCCTTAAAATGAGCCCTTTCTAGATCCTCTACGGATGGAACCTAGAGCTGGCGACGCGCCCTCTAGGCGATGGCGCTAATGCCCAAGACATCGCTCGGGACGAGCTCTTAGAAGGGAGAATGCCGGCCGCTATCGACTTAGCGAAGCGCATGCGTAGCGTACATAAAGAGCTTACTAAGCGATAGCGTAAAGCCAAAGAGCAACAGTCAAAGTACTATAATAAGAGCTACAAGCCTATGAGCTTTAATGTTAGTAATCTAGTGCTTCTCTCCACGAAGAACCTTAAGCTAGAGGGCAAGAAGAAGATAGGACCTAAATGGCTGGGCCCATACCGCGTAATTAACGCAATCGGGACTTAGGCGTATCGCTTGCAGTTACCTACCTCAGTAAGGATCCACAACGTCTTCTACGTTACTCTATTAGAGCTATATTCTAGCCGGAAGAGTAAAGCGCAAGAGGAGCGCATGCCACTCGCAGTCGACGAGGATGGGCAGTAGGAGGTTAAAGAGATCCTTAACAAGAGGGTGCAAAAGGGCGAAACGTTTTATTTAGTAAAGTGGCGTGGATGGCCATCAGAATATAACTAGTAGGAACCTAGTGCACATGTTAAAGACTGCGAAGCTCTCGACAAGTTCGAGGCGCAGGCTCCGCGCAAGCGTAGAGGCCGCGCAGCAAAAGAGGCTCGGAAGTAGAGCGGAGCAAAATAGAGGAAGAGTGATAAGAATCAAGTAGTTTCATTACGGTTAGACCTAAAGGGGATTACTTTACAGACTGTACTACAAGATAGGCGCATGCGCTGCGCAAGCCTAGAGAACGCGCCAAGCACTCTACTTAAACTCATTCTCCTCCGCCTCCGACTCCTCGAATAGCTCGTTTCTAGCCAGGGCAGCATCGAAGGCATTAGTGGACTGCCCCATTATCTCCAACTACTACATAGACGGTTAGCATTATAGACGCATGCGAGGAGCAGGCGAGACACTTACGACACGACCGACTTGAGCAATAGCTGTAAGATTGTTCGTTAAGCGAGTGAGATTAGGCGCCTCGACTGCGCTGCTTATGCGCCGCACACCCGAGGCAGGCTCGTTAACACGGATCTAAGCATCCAACTTAACACTAAAGGTGTTTGCCGCCGCCTTGTAAGCCGCTTCCTCCTAACTGCCCTTCTACACAGCAGCATCCACTAGATTAAGCTCGTAGGCCGTAGCTATAACGCTGTCGTAGCGCAGGCGTATCGCTGCCGGCACGGGTTCACACTTGTGATAATTGTTCCTTTAAGGGAACGTTAGCGCTGCGTAAGAGAGGAGCAGGCGTCTCGAATAAGCGTTACTTACTTGCAGTAGTCGCACTTGCGCTTAAACGAGCCAAAGACCGCGTTGTAGCGATAGCTAACACGAAGGTGTGCTAACCGCGTATAGCGGCGACAGGCCGCAGGCACCTCGACGGCGCGGCGMTTGCTTGCCGACGCTTAAGCGGGGGTCGCCGGCGGATCGGGTGCGCTACGCTTGCGGGGAGTGCGTAGTGGCATAATGAAGAGTGGATGTTTAGAAGAGAAACCTACAAGGTAGAAAGAATGTTAACAAGAGGTAGTTGCTAGGGTGAGTCACTTAGCAAACAACCTACTTAGAGATCTGCAGATACAAGACCCTTGCGGACAGCAGCGGTACCGCATACGCCGCGTAGTAGGGGACTTGTCGACCCTCTCCTCGAGCAGCGGTCGTTAAGGGAATTGAACCCTCGCCCTTCTTAGTACGGCATTTGGCCTACTAGAAGGAGGATGAAGTTCCGAAAGCGGTTACATCCTATATAGCTAGTTTAACTAGCCGGCTTTTATGTGAATAGCCCGAAGGTTGCTTAGAAAATGGGCACTTCACTATATGGAGTCTACGGACCCCGAGCGCGACGCATGCGATGCGCGCGCGCCTCCATTTCCTAAGTCCACGAACTAAGGCCAGTTCGTATAGGGGGAAGGAGGTAATTGTAAGGGCCGTGTAAGAGCCCTTGCAATAACAGGATTAATAGAGGTGGCTAGATCAACCAACCTCAGAGAAGGGAGTGCAATGTGGCCTGACTGCTTAGCGCAGGCTTGGCGCATGCATAACTCCTGCGCACAGCGCACATTCAACCTGCAAGAATTAGTCTTATCTCTGATCGAGTGATCACGGGTGTCTGATACATTGCTACATCTTTACCCTTACAGATGTCGTCGTTAGCTAAGCGTTCGGACCCCGTACGTTCTAGCGCAGCGCGCGTAGCGCTTATCTCGGCTTCTATAGCCTATTGCTTAAGGTACATCTGTTCTATAGCTCTACGTAGCTCCGTAGCAGGTTCTACGGGTGCTTCCCGTTCTAAACTCTCGTTATCCGGGAAGTTCCTTCCGGCATCCTAATCCGAAGGGGTGGTTATCGTAAGGCGATCGAACTTAATGTTACGGGCGAGCAGCGAATATATAGGAGCTTAGGTAAAGTTTTAATTAAATAAGTTCGATAGGGAAGAGAACTATCCTCCGCGGATTCCGATATAAAGTGCGCGGATGCTAAACGTTCTGCATAGGCTACGCCTATACTTCGGCCTTAGGGCTTCGCCTAACACACTACGTAACCGAAAGTAGAGCTTTAATAGGAGAACAATAATGTTAGAATGTCTAAAGAGTAGAAGAGCTACTATCGTAGTAGACACCGGCTTAATATAGCGTTTCTAAAACTTTGAGGTCTCTTATATAAGCGGACGGTCTATATAGTTAATTCGGAGAGCCCTTTCGGACATTATTAAGCTGTTATAAGCCCTTAGAGTAATAGCTATCGACTACTCAAAATTGCTTCTATTCACTTACGAAGATTCACTTAACTTGTTAAATATTGGTCGGAGGTTCGCAGATTTTTAGGGGTGGAGTAAAAGAGTATCTTGATCTTTAACTAGCTTACTGTCTCCGATAGGCAGTACTTGAAAGTAGGAACTAATGTGTTGATTTTGTTTTTTATCTAGAGATGTGTCTCCATCTCCTAAGAAGAGATTTTACCCTAYATAGAGTTATATAACCTTGTAGCTACTTAGCTCTCTGTTATGTTAGATGTACAGCTATTCTATAACTGCACTTTCTAACACTCCTACTTAGGATAGAATGGACTATATACATTTCCCCAGATCTTTTAAGATTCTATTAAGTGTAGAAAGGTGGTTCTATAGCCTAGTAGTATAATTCTATCTTAGCTACTATCTTAGTGCAATTCCTTAACTTGGTATTATATAATCGAGTATGTCTGTTCGGACATTCTTAATTATATGCTTTTGCCAAATTTTGGAATGCTTATTGTATGCTAAGATGATTTACATATGTCTAGAAGTTTAGACTAGTAAGAGGTTTAGTTAGGCTATCTGCAACTATTTCTTTTATTAGAAGGTATTCTATATAGATCTTCTTTTACTACTAAAGTCTTCTTACAAAGTTATATGCAATGTTAATGTGCTTTAACCTTTTATAAACATATGCATCCTTTATAAGGGTAAGGCAGGCTTAGTTATCCCTAAAGAGTTAAACTAGCCTAAGCTGTTTAGCTGTATCCTTTCCTGCTTTAATTATTAGTTAAAAAGCAGATAATCTAATAAGCTTAGTTTGACCTATTTCTCTAAGCAATGCTAAAAGGAACTATAATTGTTTTGCATATGCATTTATTGCTATAAACTTAGCTTCTATTGTAGAAGTTGCTACAGATTTCTGCTTCTTGCTTATCTATAAAATTAGGGCATTATACAACTTAAACACATTTCCTAGGATAGAGATCCTATCTAACTTATCTATTACAAAGTCTAAGTCTAAGTACCTAATTAAGCATCTAGATCTAGATCTTATAAAGGTTAATCTAAGGTTAGGAAATGATCTTAGGTACCTTCAGACTTTCTTTAAAGCTTTTAGGTAGGCTTTAGATAGATCACTTAAAAATGCACTTAGCTTTCTAATTGCAAAGGCAATGTCTGGTCTTGTTATAATTATTAGCTACATCTATGTTCCAATTGTTATCTAGTATTCCTCCTTACTGCATCTCTTATTATTTAGGCCTAACTTAACAAGTCCCTTATAATTGTCTATTAGTAAGAGAGTTAGCTTTAAGGATTTTAACTTAATGCCCAGTTTCTAAAGACTTTCCTAAATGTAATAGCTTTGATCTAGTTTTAGGGTTCCAAGCTTCCTGTTTCTTATAATGTTCATTCCTAGGATTCTAGATAGTTCTCTAAGATCCTTAATCTTAAAGATCTTTCTAAATTCCTTCTTAAACTAGTTTATAGAGTTCATTAATAGGGCAGCAATTAGAATATTATTAACATATGTTATAACTATAAGATTCTTTCTATAATAGAACATTAGATATAGGTTAACCTCTAACTAAACAAATCCCAAATCTTTGAGCTTTAAAACATAAAGCTAATTCTAGTCTCTAGCAGCTTG